TTCTTCCTTCCTTCCTTCCTTTCATTTTCTCTCCACAGTTCTGGAAGGCAATTATTATAGAGAGAAAAGATTCCACTGTGCTGCTCATTTCCGCAGGAAAGAAGTCTTGTCTAAGTTTCAAGGTTAGCTGGATTCCATGAACCTGAGAGGCAGGAACATTGCAGGGAGAAGGGAGAGGAAGGGGACATGTGGGGTGGAGGGGCAGGCAGAGAGAGAGTTTCGAGGATTCCTTTTGAGGAGAAAACATATTGGGGCACAGAGGGCTTCCCTCCCCAGGGGAGGACATGGGTGACAGCATCTCTTTAGTCCCCCCACAGTCCTCAAGGGCACAAGTCCTCTAGAAGTGAGAAAAAAAGTGAGTCAGAGACAGTCTGGAGGGAGTCGGTGACCTTAGGAAGTCTTAGGACATGTTAAGGTGCTGAGATAGTCTATCGCAATCACTGAATCTCAGAGGCAGAAGGGACCTCAGAATCCTTCCAATCCAACCCATATCTCTACAACATGCCTGACAGGTGGTCATCTAGCCCGTGCTTGCAGATCTCCAGTGAGAGGGAATTCACTAGTCCAGAGGCAGTGAATGTGTGCTAGGAGCGTCATCTAATATGTGTGGACTGGACTAGTTTTTCCTATAAAAGGAAGGAAACACACATTTATTAAGCACCTACTATGTGCCAGGCACTAGGAAAAGCATTTTACAAATAATACCTCATTTGGTCCTCCCAACAACCTTGTGAGGGAAAGTCTAATCCATTTTTACAGATAAGGAAACAGGCAGGTAGAGGTTAGGTGATTCGCCGAGGATCACAGAGTTAGTAAGTGTCTGAGGTCAAATCTGAATCCTGGTCTTAATGACCCCAGGCCCTGCACTCTATCAGCCTAGCTGCCTTTAGGTATTCAGAGCCCTTCATAACCTAGCCCCCTCCTATCTTTCCAGTCTCCTCCCACCTTCCTCCCTGATGCACACTCTTCAATCCAGTGACAGGGGCTTCCTTGTTAGTACAGCAACAAGATCCTCAAGTTCTTGGCTCCTGGAATTCTCTCCGGCTGTCCCCAGAGCCTGGAATTCTCTCCCTCTTTGCTCCAACTACTGACCTCCCTAGCTTCCTTTAAGTTCCAACTAAAATCTCACCTCCTGGGGCAGCTAGGTGGCACAGTGGATAGAGCACCAGTCCTGAAGTCGGGAGGACCTGAGTTCAAATCTGGTCTCAGACACATAACACTTAATAGCTGTGTGACTCTGGGTGAGTCACTTAACCCCAATTGCCTCACAAAAAAAAAAAATCTCACCTCCTACAGGGAGCCCCCCCCAACCTCCCTTAATCCCAGTGCTTTCCCTCTGTTAATTATATCCTCTTTGTGCTATATATAGCTTGCATTGTATATATTTCTTCATATCTTGTCTCCCCCATTAGATTGCAAGCTTCTGTCTTTTGCCTCTTTTTGTATTCCCAGAGCTCAGCACAGTACCCGGCACATAGTAGGTACTTAATAAATGTTTATGGATTGATTGATGAAACCAGGCTCAAGACTTAATTGGTCTAGGACTAAGTCTTGAATTTCATTGATGTGTGTGTGAACTAACAAAAAAAATAATAATTAAGGAAGGGAAAGAGGTGACATCTAAGGAGGCAGATGCGGCTGCCCTGGGAACTCACCAGCCAACTTTGATTTCTCAGAGACATGTACGAGAGATGGAATCTGAGGCAGATTACAGTCAACAGGAGGGTCATGGTTCTAACAGGAAGGAGAAGTCTCAAAGGAGGAATTGGGATCCATGCTCCAGGTGAGGAGGAGGATGAAGAGGAGGTAGTGCTGCTCAGCTCTTCATTTGCTTCTCCCCTCTCTACCGAGGAGAGCTCCCTTTGCACTGAAATGGAAGGAAGTAGTTCATACATCTGGATTCTTCAGATAGGTAAGGAGACAGACAGTAAGAGAATACCTAGCCACCCAGGGTGAATTTCAGACCACCTGACTCAGATGGACTTCATCTTTTCATTCCCAGATCCTGATAGAGCTGGCAGATGGGATGACTGAGTCAGTGTCAGTGAACTCTGAAAGATAGTGAAGTGGCCCTGGGCAAAGGGCTGGATTTCCCCCTCAAAAGTTCAAGTCTAAAGTGTGATGCGGAAACCAGGGAAGCTTGTGGGAGCATCAGAGCTTCCAGGAATAGGGAGGTGATAGAGTCCCTCTGTCCTCTGCCCCAGGCAGAGCCCTGCTGGAGTCAGGTGCTCAGTTCTAGGCACTTTGATTTAAGGAGGACATTGAGAAGCTGGAAAACTGTCCAGAGAAGGCAGCCAGCATGGTCAAGGGCCTTGGGTCTGTGCCTTCTGAGGATAGGCTGATGGAGAAGGGAAGACTCTTGGGGGACAGGAGAGCTGTCTTCAAGTATGCATAGGGTGTTATGTGGAGAAGGTGTTGTCCTCAGTCTGCCTGGCCCCAGAGGGCAGAACCAGAAGCAATGGGGGAGGAAGAATTTCAAAAAATCCACCTTAAGTTAGATGTCAGGAAAACTTCCTATCACCCAGTGGGAAGGGGCTGCCTCAGGGGGTGGTAGGCTCCCCACCACTGGAGACGTGCAAAGAGAGGCTAGGTGCCCACCTGTCAGGGCTTCTGCAGAAGGGATCCCTGCTGGCTATGAATTCGGGAAGATGGCACTTGAGAGCCCTGAAGCTCTGCGGGTCCTAGTATAATGCAGAATATTATTTTATCATTTTAGGTAGTAGGGCCCTTTAAGCCATGGAAAGCAGAAATTACTGCTTAATCTCGCCCCAGACCTCTTTCCTCCTAAATCTAAACAATAGTGAAATGTACTCTTGCATAGCTCAGCACAGCCCATACCTCCAACGCAAATGGATAAGAAAGCTTGCAATATAATTGCTTTAGATAATTATGTTTATACCAGAGCCCAGGACACCTGGTCTGGTTTGTGTGATCTCTGACCTGTAATGATGAGGTCCTCGGGTGCTTGTGCTTGTACTTGGGCCCCAATTTCTCCCTAGTCTCAGAAACACTGTCTCTGACAACCACTAGCAGTTGTGCCTAGCAGTTATTCATGCATGGGCCTCAGCACCACCCTTATCTCTCTCCCTGGTACAGCTGCTCAGGCCCCAGCCCTCAGATCATGTCTCTGGAAGCCTCCCAATTCCTTAGTAAGTTCCTGTGTTGTGAGAAAGCTTTCCCTTGTTGCAGAGCATTCTCTCATCAAGACAGAGGGAGAGGGGTGTCCTTGGCCAGCCTAAGGACTCTTCCTCCTGCCAGACTCCAAAGATCCATCCCCCTCCCTGTCCAGTATACTCCCCGTACTTTCCCATCCATAGCCCCCAAAGACACCTGCATCTTTGGATTACCTCATCAGTGTTCCTGGCATTTCTTTCCCATGCTCTTTTCCATAAAAACCCTAGCTCGACCCCTGATCGGGGCTGCTTGATTTGGGTGTGCATACCCCTTGCAGCTGCGTGCTAATAAATCCACATTTTAAATTACGTCTGGGTCTCGCTCGCTGATTTCTCGGTACAACCCTAGAGAGGGTCCTAACCCTTTGCTTGGTTAGGATCAGGGTTATTGCCTCTTTTATACCCAGGCTCCATCTTAAATGGCACAAGAACTGATGCTCTCCCCCATAAGTCATACACGTGCTCATGTTCGCTCATACACACACACACACACACACACACACACACACACACACACACACACGGCCATGAAACTGGTCCCTGCTGAGCACAGGCCTTTGAGGAGCCATCCATAGGCACTGACCCTTGATCTGAGCCAGACCCAGGCAGAGAAATCTCAAAAATGGAGCTAAGGATCTCAGAAGCAGAGGTCCCACTCCCAGCTCTATTTAGGTCCTCCCCAGACTGAACTGGACTCCCTCCAGGGCTGGGGGTGGGGGTGGGGGCAGCATCAGGGAGGGGAAGTGAATTCACCCAGGCCAGCCCTGCCTGCTCACTGGGATGCTTGTCACTGATGCTGACCAAGCAATTCATGTTTGCATGGAATTGTAAACGTCACTCGGAGCCTCAGAAGCATGACTTGGGAAAGCCCCCAGGTTACTCCTGGATACTCCAGACCTCCTCCAAGACTCAGTCACACCCCTAAATTCAGAAGCTCTCCTGGGAATCCCAATTGGTGCCTCTGTTGGGGGTATTTCTGTTCTTTCCATGAATGGAACTGGGTATAATAACACAGGAATCAGGAGACAAGGGGGGCAGCTCAGGTGCCATCGGGCTCATCCTACCCATCTTACTTTGCCAAGATCCTGGCTGGTCTTACTGCAGAAAGAAGGTTAGACACTTGCCAGGAGTCAAATAGCCCACCTGTGCCCAGCTGGCGGTGGCTGATACCAAGGCCAGGTGAGCAGAGGAGAGAAGAGACAGGTAGAGACAAAGAGACAGACAAGCTGACCCTCACAAGGCCTTTCCTGAGTCCAGCAGGGTAGGGAGGGGGAAGGGGGGGTAGAAATAGCACCAACTTGGATGGGGACAGAAGTGTACCTGATCTGCCTCCAAGTAAGGTGATGGAAACATCCTTTTTCTTGGCCTCTGTTTCTCTCTATGTCTCTTTCTGTTTCTATCTCTGTATTTCTCTCTGTCTCTTTTTGTGTCCATATTTCTTCTCTCTGTCTCCTTCTGTCTCTGCATTTCCCTCTCTTTCTCTTATGTATTTCTCTTTCTGCCCCTGTATTTCTTCTGTATCTCTTTCTGTTTCTATCTCTGTATTTCTCTCTGTGTCTCTGTCTCTTTTTGTATCCATATTTCTTCTCTTTGTCTCCTGTTTCTGTATTTCTTTCTGCTCATGTATTTCTTTCTCTCTCTCTGTCTCTCTCCCTCCTCTCTCTCTCTGTCTCTCTCTCTCTCTCTCTCTCTCTCTCTCTCTCTCTCTCTCTCTCTCTCTCTCTCTCTCTCTCTCCCTCTCTTTCTCTCTCTTTCTCTCCTCAGTTGACTAGAGAAGCCCAACAGGTCAGCTAGCTCTCTGTCCCATCTGCCTCTGCCTCTCTCAGGATGTCCAGCTCAGACAGACCCTCAGGGGAGACAGATGTCCGGCAGCTCCTGAAACTCTACCGAACGGAGATCTCTATGGCGGTGGATGACACTTTCCCACTGCTCCACGGCCTGGCGGATCATGACGTCATCACAGAGGACAAGTTCAAGGTAGGAGAAGGGAGACTTTGAGCCTTGCATTTTGGAGCTTTAGGCCTTGAGGTCTGCAGGTCTCTCACACCTCCTTGTGCCCTGATGCTGGATGAAAAACCTATGAAGGAAGCCTGCTCCTCACCCCTCCCATCCCCAATCATCAAAGGTGAGTTTGATGCTGCCACTGCCCATTCAAGGCCTAGGAGGTTCATGTTGGGACCCAGGCTCTCCCCACCAGGAGTCGAGGGGGGTCAGCCCCACTTGCCCTTGGCTAAGTTCCTTTCCTCTCTGGGCCTCAGTTTCCCCAGCTTTGGAGGCTCAATAGCCTCCAAAGTCATTTCTAATTCAATGGTTACAAGATAGGGGAAAATTGGGAAAAGATGCCCAGACTTTCCCATGCCCATTGCGATGCCATACGTGCTTCCTTTTAGGAGACTCAGAGTCTAAGAGAAAAGGACGGCTGCCACAAGGCCCTCCATGCCCTGCTCAGCTGGCTCCTGGGGAGGGACTCGGCGTCCATACGCAGCTTCTGGACCGTGTTGTTTAAGGACTACAACCTGGAGAGATATGGGAGGTTACAAGCCATTCACAGCAGCTTCCCCAAAGGTGAGGGGAGGGTGGTCTGGGGGCCTCCCTCTGTCCAGATGACTGCCCTGGCAGTGCCAGCTCCTGTCTCACCTCTATGGATCCTGGCTTCCTCCTCTACATGTGAGGGGCCAGAGGAAGGGGAACTATTCCACCAGAGAGCCCTGCCTGCTCCCAGCTCACTTGGAGGTCCCTTGTCTCGCAGATGTGGACCTCAGCCGAGGCCACAAGGGGGAGGAAACCCCCAGTCAGCCTGAAGGTCTCAAGCACCCACAGACTCCAGGGGAAGAGGAAGGGCCTTGAAGAAAAGGAGTCCCCTCAATCAGCCTCCCAGTCCCTCAGAAGTGCTTCGAGTCCGGGTGGGTGACAGAAAGATTCTTGAACGTGCCTGGTGGTCCCACGGCCCTTTGTGGCCCTGCTGCCCTAGTCCCAGGTCCTGGTTTCCCTGGTGGTCCATCCCCACCTGATGTGAGCACACCCTGCCTTAGGAGGCTCTGTCTACAGCTATGCAATGCTCAGGTCCCACTGCCCCCCACCTTTTCCCCATTAGACCCAATCTCTGCCTAGGAGGCAATTTACCTTCTTATTACTATGCAGGGCCCCCCCACAAGGTGAAGCCCCTCAAGAAGCCGGAAAACCCAGAGCCCCCACGCTTTCCTCTGGGAAACGGTGAGTGAAGCCTCTTTGAAGTGTACCCTTTCAAGAGCTCCTGTGGGATACTCCCACTCCCCATCCGCCATGACCAGGCCCATGCTGGGTGTGAGAATCCTCCTTCAGGGGTGAGGCTAGACTGAGCTGGTACCCCCAAATGTCTGCCTGCAGTACCATGGTTGGGGGGGGGAGCAGACAGCAAGGGCTTTTGAGATAGCTGTGCCCCATGGGCCCTTAACCCAAGTCACCAACACACCCAGGACAGCTCATGTTTGCCAAGCTCTTTACAAACATGGCTTCCTTAGGTCCTCACTATGCCCATTTCACAGAAGAGGACATTGAGGTTCAGAGAGATTCAGCAATAGTCACAGAGTCATACAGCTAATAAGTGTCAGTTTCGAAGCTCAGGCAGTTTGAATGAGGATGGGGGTGGCAGATAGCTAATTCACATTCTACAAAAAGATGTTGCAGGTTATTGTCAGGAGAATCATTCTCTATTTCTGAATTCACCTTTTTTTTTTTTTGGCAAGGCAGTTGGGGTTAAGTGACTTGCCCAGAGTCACACAGCTAGTAGGTGTTATGTGTCTGAGGCTAGATTTGAACTCAGGTCCTCCTGACTCGAGGGCCAGTGCTCTATCCACTGTGCCACCTAGCTGCCCCTACCTTGTTGTTAGTCACTGAATTGAGCACTGGTTTCAGTGAAAACTCATTTGAGCATAACTGAAGAGTGTGGACCCTGAGGAGAGCAGGCATGGGCCAATCCTGGGCAATCTGACTGATGTCCATCCTCCCCAGACCTCAGTTCCTTGCAAAATGAGCAGAGCTTGGTGGCACAGTGGATAGAGTGCCAGGCCTGGAGTCAGAAAGACTCATCTTCCCCAAGTTCAAATCTGGCTTCAGATACTTACTAGCTGTATGACCCTGGCAAGTCACTTAATCCTGTTTGCCTCAGTTTCCTTATCTGGAAAATGAGCTAGAGAAGGAAATGGCAAACCACTCTAGTATCTCTGCCAAGAAAACCCCAAATGGGGTCCAGAAGAGTCAGACGCGACTGAAAAATGACTGAACAAGTGGATTGATAGGCAGTGTGTGGAAAGGAATGATGTCTCCAGGGCATCCAGTCTGAAATGCTCAATAGTCAGCCTGTCAGTCAATAAGCATTTATTAAACATAAACAGAATCTAACAGTGTTCTTGACAGACAAAGACAGAGAGGAAAGAGAGACAGAGGCAGAGAGAGACAAGACAGAGAGACAGAGAGAGAGAGAAACAGAGACAGAGAGAAACAGAGAGAGAGGGAAAGAGATGATGAGGATGAGGATGACAATGATGATGACAATGATGATGATGACGATGATGATGACAATGACTATGATGATGACGATGACAATGATGATAATGATAAGTAACTTAGGAGAAAGCTGTTTCAGCTGAATGCTGAGGTCAGCAGCCCCGTCACAAAGGTGGGAGAAGTGAGAGAAGAGATACAAACTGTTGGCAGCTTTTTTAGGAGTCCAAGTGAGAAATAGAGGGGAGATAGAGGATGATATTTAGCAGGGGTGGTAGAGTCTAGGGAGGGGTTTTTGAGAAAGAGGGAGACATGGGCATATTTGTAGGCAGCAGTGATGGAGTCAGTAAATGAGAAACTGAAGATGAGAGAATGGGCATCTGCTAGAAAAGATAGAAGGGCACGGGATTAAGGATACATGGGAAAAGATTGGCCTTGGGGAAGGGGTGTTAACCTCTTCATAACAGACAGGAATAAAGGTGAGGGTGGGGGATGCTGCCAAGAGGTTGTGAGAGGAGGAAGAAGGGAGGAGAAAGGGAAGGTCTTGGTAAATGGTCTCAGGTTTTTTTGGTAAAGTACAAGGTGAGTTTCCAGCTGATAGGGTGAAGGGAGAGGGTCCAGGGAAAGAAAAGAAGGTTTAGAAAAGCTGCTGAGGTGAGTGAGAGAGTGAATCAATTAAAGTATAAAAGAATTGCCTTGCTGCAGTAAGAGCCAAGCTGATATTACGTAAAATAAAATTGTTATGAATGGGTCTGTGATTTTCTCCAGCATCATTCTGTAGTACATAAGCTGGGCTGCAAGCCTCGAATGGTGGGAATGATCCAAGACTGAAGCTTGACAGGGCAAGATCAGAAAAAGAACAGGGCGATGGACTCAAGAGAAGAGGGTGGTAGAGAGATGAGCCGGTTCACCAAGGAGTCAAAGGGGAAGAGAGGAGGGTGTAGCCATTGCAAGAGTCATGGGCTAGGGAAGAAATGAGGGATGGAGGGAATTGGAGATTGCAGTGAGGATGGAGGATAGGAGTATGATAGATGTAGGGGGAGATTGTGCATAGAAAGCGTTCAGATCAGGTACATGCTTTAGTGCAGGAGCAGACTGACAGGTGTCTTATCTCTTGGCCCCACAGGAATTCGGAGTGTGTCTGCATCAGTCCAGAGGGCTGTGGCTGTGTCGTCCAGTGAGCTCCCAGGCACCTGTGGGGCAGTGGAGGGTGTCCTTATCAAACAGGTGTTTGAGTCAGGTAGATTTTTGTGGGGGGGCAGGGCCTGAAGAGTAACTGAAGCAGGAGGGATGAGCCCCTCTGGCCATCTTGTCCTTAGAGCCAAAGAGGGGGAAAAGGGTCTGGCTCTGAGCTGACGGGGTGGCCGGCCACTAGAGTCATCCTGCATCAGACCTGTGACCAAGAGAGCTGACATGGGGACAGAGTACCCATAGTGCCCAGAGGGGGCATGGCCCCCAATCCAGCCCTCACCTGACCCCAGGCCTTCCTTCCAGGAGGCTCCAAGAAATGTATCCAAGTTGGGGGAGAGTTTTATACACCAGGCAAGTTTGAGGAGCCCAGCGGAAAGAATAAAACAAGAAGTCCAAAGCCACCAACACGAACCAAAGCTACCCAAGCACCCCAAAACATAAGGCCTGCGGAGGTGAGGTTAGCAGCCCCTGTCCGAGTATGCAGTGTCTTACTCCCCTCTCACCTGCGCTGCCCAACAGCAGCCCCACTTCAAGGGCCGAGGGCGCTGATCAGGAGCTGGGAAGCCTCAGGGGCAGTCCCAGAGCTGCCTGGGAGGAGAGGTTCACTGAGCTCCTGGAGCCCCTCAGTGACTTCCAGGTCCCCGACCAGAGACCATCCCTGCTAGGGCCTGACAGAAACAGTGTGACTGTGGGGGCAAACAGCACTCACCATTCTCAGGACTCCCTTGGCCTCTCCTCATCCGTGTGCTGCCTCTGAGGCCCCCAAGGCCACCTTGGGCACCACTAAAGTTTCTCTTTGTCCCCATCACATCTGCAGCCTGGGCACCACAGCGGGTCTTTTCACGGAACTGCTAGAATGACGGAGCTTTGCCCAGTGCAGAAGGCAATGACTTAGGGCAGAGCACACCTTCCGATGGGTGAGGACCCTCTGGTTTTCCACCTCCAGGGCAGAGCAGAGCTGCAGCTGAGCCAACAGAACAGCGTGCCTGCTGCTCCAGCCCAGCCCCCAGAGCTGCACATCCACCAGGTAAACCCAGGCTCCCTCCTTCCCCCTCCCCTTTCTTGTCCCCTTCTCCTTCTCCCCTACCCTGCTCCATCCACCAGGCTTCCCAGCCCCTGGCAGAGGCGAAATGGGTTGGGTTCAGGTGCAAAGAACAGCGAGGTAAGTGAGTCTAACAGAATTCTAACCTACTCTAACTGAGGGGCTGGAAGGACATTGGAGAGCCCCGATAAGGCCCAGAATGGGCATGACTTCACGTCGAAAGATGGCAATTCTAAGATTGGCAGTGACATCCCCTCAGGAGACCTACACTTTAATTTGGATGAATGGCCATTTTCAAGAATCTGAAGGGCTGTATTAGGAAGGAGGGATCAGCTTTGTTCCACTTAGCCCCCCTCCCCCAGGGCAGAGCCAGAAGCCTGGAGAGGTGGGAGGGGAAAGCTGCAGCCTGGATGTCAGAGAAGACTTAACAATGAGAACTGTCTCAGCGTGGTGTGGGCTGCCTGAGAAGGGGGTGAGCATCTCCTCCAAATGCAGGCTGAGTGACCCCTTTCTGAAGGATACAGTAGAGTAGACAGCCTCTGAGTTTCCAGCTCTGACATTCTGTGATGGGGGGGCAGAGGGAATGAGTTATTAACAGGATTATGTGAGCAGCTCACCGCTTTGGGAAGACCCTGAAGGGCGGTAAGGCAAGCTGGTGGGCACGGGCTCCCAGGCGAGAAGAGATGAGGCTGAAGAACAGGACATGGTTCACTGGGTTGGGGGAGGAGGTGAGATGGACCCCTTAGACCATATGACCAAGCCTGCGCAGCCCTGCCCCTGCTGCCCCAACAGATTGGGTTCTCTGGCTCAGACTTGTGCTTAAGCAGGGAGGAGGGTACTGGAGCAGGGAGCAAGACTGGCTTTTCGGTTCCTCCCGGCTTTAGAAGAATGATGATGAGTGTGCTGTGTGCAGAGACGGAGGGGAACTGATCTGCTGTGACGGTTGTCCCCGGGCCTTCCACCTGGCCTGCCTAGAGCCACCACTGACAGAGATTCCCAGGTAGGAGCCCAAGGGAGCCAGAGCCTAGGAGGTCCACAGTCCCCTGGCTCTGCTTACCAGGTCAATCCCATGCTCAGAGAGCCTGGCAACTGGGAAGAACCTTGGACATTCCTTCATATACCTCCTCATCATACTGAGGAGGAAAATGAAGGGGGTGGGGTATGATTTGCCCAACTGGCCATGGTCCTAACCACTCTTTGGCATGACAAATGGGGGCTTGGGGGCATCCTAGGGTGAGCGTATCATCACAAGTCACCCTATAAACACCTCCCAGCCAGAGGGGGAAAGGCTTAGCTGGACAGCAGTGCATCTTGCCCAGAGGATATAGGGAGAGTTCATCTGAAGAAGATGGGCTGGGGGGTGGGGAGGAAAGAGTAATAGATTACAAGTCCAGTAGGCACCAGCACTATAATATGACAACTGAAAAGGCTAGTGAGTTCTTAAGCTGCCTCCAGGACCAGGGAGGAAGCGTTTGGCTGGCCTGTGCTCTGGTCAGACCCCATCTGGAGGCCTGTGGTCTGTCCTGGGCACCAGTTGAGAAGGACATTGATAAGCTTGGAAGTGCTCCAAGGAGAGCAAGCAGGATAGTCAAGGGTACCGAGTGCAAGTCACCTTGGGGAGCATGACAGCTGTCATCAAGTGGCTGAAGAGCTAACCTGAGGAGGCAGGTGGAGGCTTGTTTTCCTTGGGCCCAGAGGACAAAACCAGAGGTGTGGGTGTGGGGCCGTGAGGCCAAGGCAGGGAGGTTTAGCAATAATACAAATTAAGGCTGGATGTCAGAAACAACTCCCTAAGAGCCCAGAAGTGGAAGGGTCTGCTAAGGAGGTTTCTTTCTGGTAAGGGTTGGATTAGACACCTCTGGGGCCCCTGCCAGCCCTGAGACTATAATTCTGTGACCAAAAATGTCATTTCTAACTTCCTAAAATAGACAGTTTGGGAAAAGGGGGTTCTGGGAAACACTGGTAAATGGACTCTCCCTTCTCCCCCCTTCTCTGTGCTCTTCTGCCTGTTGGGAGACTCTGCTTCCAGTGGCATGTGGCGGTGTGGGTGCTGCATAGTTGGGAAGGTGCGCCAGGATGGGCATCCTGGGGAAGACAGAGCCCTCCACCCAGAGACTCTGGTATGCAACTGAACTGAGGCCCCTCAAATCGGCAGGGATGTGAGTTCTCTGTTCTCCCGCAGTTGCCTTGTCCATGGTCCTGATTATCTCTCCCCAAACCCAAAAGTTGGTGGGCGTCATAACCCAAAAGTCAGCTTGAGGATCGGTTTTCCCTTTCATTGACACTGTCCAAAATAGGTCATTTAACATTTAGAACTGGACATTCCTGTTCTTCCCAAGCAGGCTCTCCTTGGGCTGAGGCCAGCTAGAACACAGGCAAGGGACCCCCTCCAGGAGCCCACCCCAGGCCTAGAGGCTCCTTTCACCTTCAAGCAGCCTCTTCCCCCTGCTTCTTCTCCATCTCTGATGTCAGCACATCCTCTGGGCACCTGCCAGCCCTTGCAGAACTCAGGGCCCGAGAGGCAACAGGTGAGTGAGATTCTGCAAGGTCACAAGCTGTGGATTTCCAGTCCTTTTCTGCAGCCACCCTAACTCTCTGGGCTTGGTCTGGCTCCTTCAAGCAGCTTGGGCCTATCCCCAGCATTCTAGACCCTCCTACCTTTTCCTCCCTCTCTGTCGTTTCATCTGGATGGTAGTTTTAGGCAGCCAGCAGGTGCTGGCCAGGGGCTTACTAATGACCAAAGCAAAGGACAGTTAAACAAAGCCATCCCTTCAGAAGCTAGCAGCCCAGGCCTTTTAGACCCACAGACCCTCAGGGCTGTCATGGACTATAGCAGCCAGCTTGTTCAACCCACACCTGAGCCAGAAGGTCCTCCACTACATCCTCCACAAGGACGGATTCTTCTGCTCACAGAACTACAAGAGGGGGCACCCGCTACCTCCTAAGGCAGCTTGTTCCATTCTGGAACATCTCCTGGCTGATAGGTCTCCCCCTGGAATCCTCCAGGAGCCAATCAGGCTAAGCCCGAGGCCTCCAGCACAGGACAGCCTTTCAAATGCCACCAAGCTGTGGGGGAGAACTGAACTGACGGTGACAAATGTTGATTGATTGATTGACGACACAATTGGAATCCAGAAGAGTACTGGGCCAGAGCTAATAATAGTCTTCCTTCTGTCTTTATGTCCCCAGAGATTTAAAAGAGATTGATCTAAACTCTTACACATGAGTTTAAAAATCCAGCTTCACAAATATGAGAGGGGGGAGGTGTGACTGGACAGTAGTTCATCTGAATGAGATTCCAGGTTTCTGGGGACTTCAGATCTAACTGAAATTGCAGCTCAAGCTGAGGCTGCATTGAGAAGCATGGGGTCCAGGACAAGGGAGGTGAGAGCTGTCCTCTGCCTTGGTCAGACCACAGGTGAAGGGCTGTGGTCAGTTCTGGGCACCATAGTTTAAGAAAAGTAATGATCGCTGAGTTCAAATCCAGCCTCAGACACTTGACACTTACTAGTTGTGACCCTGGGCAAGTCACTTAACCCTGACTGCCTCACCAAAGAAAGCGAAAAAAAAAAAAAAAGGGAAAAAAAGAAAAAAAGGCATTGATTGGCTGGAGAGTGTCCAGAGGAAGACAGCCAGACTGGAGGGACCTAGAAACCTCAAATGGCATGCTCGGTTGGAGAAGAGGACACTAGCTGGAGGAGGAAGGGGTGAAGGAGGGGGAGAATGGGACCTGAGGACACTGACCACAAGTGTTGGAGGAGCAAGGATGGATGAAGACAAGGGATTAGGCTGGTTCTGTTTGGCCCCAGAGGAGCTATGGGTAGAAGTAGTCAAAGGCTAATGAAGGCTTGATTGAGGAAGGACTGGCCTCCCATGAGAATCTGTGCCCTGCCCCCGCCTCCGCTGCCAAGTGGCCCAAGCTGCCTCAGGAGGTGGTGGGTTGTTCCTCAGTGCAGGGCTGTAAGCCAAGGCCAGGTGACCACTTTTCCTGGAGAGGGCTCAACTGACCTTGGAGACTCTTTGACTATGACTGAAGTTATGCTTCAAGATGAGAAGCTACCAAAGGTTTGGTTTGTAGCATTATAAAGGATGTGGCACTGCCCTCCCTCCCCAGACCCCCCAACTCTCTTCAGGCTTCTCTTCCTAGGCTAGGACTAGCTTGCCTGTCCTTGCCCTCATGCTGGAAGCTCCAGAGGGCTGCTCACACAGCTACAACTCACCTCTCAGGCACCTAGGAGTTGAAAGCAGGCAGAGAAGCAGATGCAAAGTGGAGTGAGCTGAGAGTCCAGTTTCTGCCCTCTGTAAAGAAAAGCATTGGGAGGAGTTTGGTACTCAGCCCTCCAGTTCAGAGGAGAGAGGAGGGCGGTGATGTCAGTCAAGGCTTGAGTTAGCAGTGTGGCAGTCAGTTTAGAGCTTAACCTGGGACCACTCAGAACAGCAGATGCAATCTCTCCCATCCTTCTTTCCTTCTGAGGAGCTCTCTCAATCTGGAAGGGAGGGGCTGCTTTGATTCCATCTTCTCTCGGCACAGTGTCAGGCTGCTTTTCTTTATCTTTCACCCCAAATGTCCTTTCCTGGCCTCTTTTAGTAAGAGCAATGCACAGATAGAAAAGGAGGCAGTTCCTTCCATGCAACATCATTGTATATTGTGGAGTTATACCTGCAGAATTTCCCGAATGGGGGCCTCTCTGGGAGAGTGCTATGGTCTCAGAGACACAACAATTCACTGCCAGCTGTCTTTTTTCTGGCAGGCTCTCTCCTTGGAGGAGCAATCACAGGGAGGAGAGCATTGGCAGTTGGGGGTGAGATGGGAGGAGGGGGCGTGCTGTGCTGCCTGGCTAAAGTTCCTACGCTGCCCTCCTGGTGATGAGATCTCTCTGTAGCCGAAGCACTTGGCTGAGGAGAGGTGTGAGGTCTGCCAAGGAAGTGAAGACGTGCTTCGCTGTGTCCAGTGCTCCAGGGCCTTCCACTGGTGCTGTCATTTCCCAGCCAACTCCAGCAGGACAGGGTGAGTGAGGTCTGGGCGATGCCGCGCTGCTGGCCAAAGCAAGCCTGCTGGAAGGAAACCCTCGCAAGACACCACTGGGGACCAAGGAGGGACTTTCTTAGAGCCCCTGAGATCTCTGATCTCTAGGAATGTTGGGCACCTTAAGCACACCTCCTAACCTGCTAGAAGGAGGCTGAGATTTTGCCTTTAGAGATGCATTCCTTTGGGTGTCAGGCATTCACATCTTCATGGGAATCACTATGAGAATTTAAGTTAGGAAGGAAGAGATTAAGGAGTAACCTTGGAATTTACAGTCCAGAGGGAAGGACAGGGCCCAGTGGACATGATCAGGGACTGGGTTTGTATCAGGGAATGGGACACCAAAGTAGAGCGGAATGTCAGAGCTTAAAAAGACATCAGAGGGGCAGCTAGGTGGAACAGTGAATAGAGCTCTAGCCTTGGAGTCAGGAGGACCTGAGTCCAAATCTGGCCTCAGATACTTGACACATTCTAGCTGTATGACCTTGGGCAAGTCACTTAACCCTAGCCAAAAAGCAACCTTCTTGAGAAGTGGGAGAGATTTAGGAACTCAAATTTTTAAAAAATGAATGTTAAAACTTTAATGTAATTGGGAAATATTTAATGATATAAATAAAATTTTTTTTAAAAAAAGACATCAGAGTTGATCTAGGTTGTCCTGCAGAAACAGGAGACTCACCTGGGACAAACTCTTCAAACCTAGTTAACTTGGGCTTGGTAAACCGAGCCCTTCCACAGGAATGGAAACATTAATGTGGGGAAACCTGAGCCTCTGCTCTCCTTTGCCCCTGTGTGTCCTGCCACAAGCCCAGCTCACCCCACCCTCTACCCAGCCACGCAGGAAGCATCTCTACCTTCTCTGTCCTTTCCTCCTATTCCAGGGGGGTCGTCAAGTGCAAACTCTGTTCACAAGACCCTGCCCTCACTCCTGGAGAGGAAACTCTGAGCTCTAGCATCTCATCCCTGGAATCTGTGAAGGTCAGTGGGGCCCTCAGCCATTACCAAGTTTATCAATCTGCTGAGACTTCTTCCTAATCCTTGCCTATAGGCCTATGAAAGGTCTAAGAAATCCCTCGTGTGAACAAGGGCAATGCTAAGACATTCACTGTGTAGGTTCCCCTGATGCCCTCCCAGGAGCCAGAGGAAGCTTCAGGCTTTACCCTGCACATGGCTTCACAGGCCATTGTCCACTGGAAATGAAGGGAAGCTGGGAGGTTCAAGAATGGACCTTGACTAAAGTGGGTCCAAGCCTCCTTTCTGGAATTCAAGTTAATCCAGAAGACACTGATTAATATCTTCATTAACTGACAACTTTGTTGTTTTTTTGTTTTGTTTTGTTTTGTAGGCAATGGGATTAAGTGACTTGCCCAAGGTCACACAGCTAGTAAGCGTCAAGTATCTGAGATCAGATCTGAACTCAGGTCCTCCTGACTCCAGGGCCAGTGCTCTATCCACTGCACCACCTATCTGCCCCAACTTTGTCATTGTTCAGTCATTTTTCAGTTGTGTTTGACTCTCTATGACCTCATTTGGGGTTTCTTGGGAAAGATACTGGAGTGGCTTGCCATTTCTTTCTTCAGTTCATTTTACAGATGAGGAAACTGAGGCAAACAGACTTGCCCAGGGTCACACAGCTAGTAAGTGCCTGAGGTCAGATTTGAACTCAGAAGATGAGTCTTCCTGACTCTGGTGCAGGCACTCTATCTATTGTGCCACCTAGCAGCTCTTAACTGACCTAAATAACCCTATATTCAAACTGCCAGCTTTCTAGATTCCCTGACCCACAGGGCTCCCCAGACTTTCAAAGGGAATTAAGAACAAAGCCCCTTTGAGTCTGTGGAGCCAGCCCCAAGGTGGGAAGGGAAAGAGGGTTAGAAAAAGTAGCCCTCTCCCCTCCTGTGGCAGGAAGTATACACTGGCCCCAACCCCTCAGGACCAGAGGCTAGCAGTCCTCCAGGGAGGGCCAGGACAAGGGCCTCTGGGCAGGCTGCTAGCTGGGGTGGTGTCCTGGGAAAACATTTTGCCTTAGCCCTAACTACCACTTGAAACATGGCTAACATTGCCCTTCTCTCCAACCCAGGTGAGTGGAGATTCTTCCCGGAATGAGACCATTCTGAACAAAGATGAGCTGGACTCACTTCTGGGAGAGGTAACTGACCTGTGGAGTCCCATGTTAGCCCCTAGCGAATTCCACCTTATTGGATTTGACTCAGAGCCCTTTGAGATTGCCCTCAATCCAGACTGTCATCTCACATGGAGATGTGTCCCTTCTGTGCCTTCATCCAAGTCAGTGCTGAACACGTGAAATACTCCAGGTATCAGCACAGATCCCTGGGGCACTCCACTAGAGACCGCCCTTAAGGCTGAAATTGCTTTATTATTCTGTGAATCCAGTTCTTCAGCCAGGCACCTGCCTGGGTCACGTTCAGCCCTTCTACCTCTCATCCTCTCGTACATAAGACTTTGTGACATAAGGTCCTTGGACCTGATGATGGCTAAGGTTGCTTCCAGCTCTGAATCAATGCTCCCAGGGTACCTCTTTGAACTTCAGTCTCTGCACCTGTGACACGAGGGGGCTGGACTGAGGGGTCTTAAAGGGCCCTACTAGTTATATCCACCTAGTCTTCTTGGTATGGAGGAATAGAAAATTCTTACTGTCCTAGAACTTGGAAGTTCAGAGAATGCCTGGACAGTTCCTACATCTAGTTAGCTGTTGTTCAGGTGGGATGAGGTCACGGCAGGGCTGAAATGGAGGGATGGGTTAGAGGGAGGACCATGTGTCCTTCATGGTGCCCATGAAGATCTAGAATCATGGGATCCTACACTTAGAACTGGAAAGGGCCTTAGAGGCCCAACCCTCTCATTTTACAAAGAAGGTAACTGAGGCTGAGCATGGTTCAGTGAGTTGCTGAGCATCCCACAGCTACTGTGTCTGAGGTAGAATTTGCACCCAGGATTTGTCCCTGACTCCAAATGCTGCACCCTACCCACTAAGCCCTGGCTGCTTCTCAGATGGGGCTCCAACCCCCACTCCTAGGCTGAGGGTGCCAATGCTTTATCTATTAGGCAGGCAGCCTTTTTTGAGAGGGAGGCAGGTGGGTGGCATCACCTTTTCCCTGAACCCCCTGAGAGCATGGTGGGGCTCTGTCTTCCAGAATTCCTTTGATGGAATCCTACAGTGGGCATTCCAGAATATGTCACGCCCCCTCTCTGAGGCCCAGAGCTTTTTCTCTTAATGCCCTATAAAAATGGAGCCCAGCCAGCCAAGGAAGAACATAGACAGATGGCGGTGATGGACGTCTTGAGAGGTCCTGGGCTCTTTCCCACAAGCGTGTCCAGCAATCTGCAGATTTCTTGAGCACCCTCTGAATGCAGGAACAATGGCCAGTGTTTGGCTGTGTCGTGCCATGGGACAAAAGTACTCATTTACTTATTCAAGATTACTCATTTCCGTGCTTTTCGGGAGGAGATATGGGGGGAGGGGGAGGGGATGGAGTGAGTGGAAGAGACAAAGGTGGATGGCTGAGGAGGGAGGCACCACCTGATCCTGGATAAAAATCAATGAGACAAATAAAATAAAGGAATAAAAATCTGAGTCAGAGGCTCATGACGCAGGGGAGAGGGGACTGGCTTTGGCATCTGGGGGCTTCAAGGTCCACCTCTGACATTTGACCTCTGCATGTGACCCTAGACAAGTCACTTCACCTCTGGTGTGTGGGCAGCTTTACTGAGCAAGACATCAGTGGGTTGGAGGGCATTTCCACATGGTGATATCAACCTTCCTCTACTGCGTTTTGCATTGTACAAACTCACTAACTTCTCACCTGTGGGTCAGGTGCTGCTGAAAGGAATTGGTTTGAATACCTGCTCTACCACTTACAAACTTTGGGCACATAGCTTAACCTCCCAGGGGCTCCCACCTCCTCCTTGGTAAGATGAGGTCCCTGCCAGATTCACCTCCCATGACCCGAGGGCCCTGTCTCGGCTCAGTCTTCTAGAAGAAGAGGCCAGCAACTTCACCACATCTCTCAGGTTAGGGAAATGATTAACTGAATTGTGCTCAAGAATGAGCCTTACTGTGCACACAGGCCAAAATCTAGAATTCTTCCCCAGAGGCTTTGATGTATTTCCACCAACAAGAAGGTGTGAATGGTTCAAAGAGGAGCCAGGCACAGGATAGCTTTGTGGGGGTGCCACTGTCCTGGCTTCCTGGGGCCAATTGGCATTCTTGGCATGTGTCTGGCACCTCTTTTTTCCCCAGGGTGTGCAGCCTCTCCAAGGACACTGGAACCTGCTCCTCCCTAGACCCCTTCTCCAGTATCCACGGACCTCTCTGCCCTCTGTGCCTACCTTGGCTAGAAAAATGACTCGCTGTGACTTCTTGGATTTCCCCATCAGGATTCAGTTTGGCGCTTTTCTAGGTCTGGTTGAAGGAGTTTAGGAGAGCTCACTCTACTGCTTTCTGTTACCCTTCTAACTTGGTTCTGTCTCCATCATAATAAGCTTTTTCAATTCAAATTAACGCCTACTACGTGCCAGTCACTATACTAGGTGAAGATACAAGTACAAAAATTAAATAGGCCTTGCCCTCGAAAACTTAGTTTACATGTGTGTAATAACATGCACACATATAAATAAATAAAAAATACATAGCAAACAAATACAAGGGATTTTGGGGGGAAGACCCAACCACTGGACAGATCAGGAGGTGGCTACTGAACAGAGCCCAGAAACAAAAAGTTTAGGTATTTTCCAAGCCTTCAAGGACACCTTGGCCAAGGCCAGAAAAGCGGAAAGGGAATATTGATGGAGAAGTGGAGAAGGAACTTCAAAATGGCCCAGCTGGACGGAAGCACGGAATGGTGAGAGCAGGGAGAAATAGGGAGGCGCTGATCTGTGATTTAGAGATTTCAGGGTTGCAGCTGCGGGAGGGTGTATTGGAGAGGGTGGAGAGGGGAGACAGAGAGACTGCCGGCTTTTTTTTTTTTAAATACAATTGACGAGGAAGGTGGGCTCTGCGCTGTCCCACCCGGTGGGAAGGGGTGATGCTGTACAGCATCTTCAGAGAACTAGTTCTCAGGGAGGCGGGGAGTGAGCTCTCCGGCCTCACTAAGTGCGAGGCCGGGGGCCGGGGCGGACCCTCCCACTGTGGGGGACGGAGCGGAGCGAGACTGGGTTGCCTGGAGACGGCGTCTGGCCCGGTGGCCAACGGAGCCCAGAGCGCAGCGAGAGGTAGCCGGACCCAGACCATGGCGTCCCAAGGGCGAGAGAAGGCGCCTCCGGACCAAGTGCATCAGAACCAGATCATGTGCGAGCTGATCCGCAAGGAGCTTCGGGCCCAGAAGCTGTACACTACTTACCACGTGAACCCCAACTGCAAAGGTGCGTCCCACCCCGCCCAGGGGAGAGGGGAGAGGGCTCGGAGTATCAGCATGCGCCTGCCCACCCCTGGCCTCTCCACCTGTGGGGAGGGGAAGCACCCAGGGATGCCCTCGGAGAAAATAAGGGGGCCCGAGAATCAGACCGGAAAACTGCGCATGAAGGATCACATGAACCCCCTAAGGGGCATCCACACTGCAAGTGCTAAGTGAAGGATGCGCCGGCCCACCCACCAGTGGGGAAGGGTTGAACCCGGGGAAGCACTGGGATAGGGTAAGGGGAACCCCGAGAGTCTTTTCCCCAGAACGTTGCGCTTGGAGGATCGCGTGAACTCCACTGGGTGCACCCACACTCACCCCGAGTCTACTCAGGATTTAGTGGGAGTCCTACAGCCCCCTCTATGTGAGGTGTGTCTGGGGTTGGGGGGGGAGTACTGGGGAAGCCTGGGGTGTAAAGGTCAGCTGCAGCTGCAGAGAACAGCACACCCCGGACAGCTGGGGTGGGGAGTGAAGGGACAGAAGGGAGAGACACCTCTAGTGCTAGATCTGGAGCCAGGAAGACCTGAGTTCAGATCCTGTCTCATACACATAATAATTGAGTGACCCTGTGGAAGTCTTTTGTCCCCTCTTTCAGTTTCCCCACCTGTAAAATGGGGATAATGTTAGAACGGACCTCCCAGGGATGTGTGAGAATAAAATGAGATGATATTTTGTAATTTTCGCAAACCTTAAAGGGCTATATTAATACTAGCTATTATTTATTAAATAATTTAGTATTTAATAATACTAGCTATTATCACTATATTATAGTATAGCTAAATACTAGCTATTACTATGATTGGTGGATTCTTTTGATGACTAATTTGCCCTCTGGTCCTAGGACTTGAGGCCCCAGGTTCCCCACCTCTGGTAAGATAAGCCTTTATCTCTGGAAGTCCATTTTCCCTTTAAGGCCCAGCTTGGTTGCCAACTCTCTTAACAAGGAGTAATTATAAAGCACAGTAAGGTTTGCAAAGCACTTTACATGGGTGATCTTATCTGATCCTCAGACTCTGTGGGATCAGTGCAATTATTCACATTTTATAAATGAGGAAACAGACACAGAAAGGTTTCACAACTTGCCTACTGCTAACAAGTGTCTGAGGCAGAATTTGAAATCTGGCCTTCCTGACTGCCAAGTCTGAGGTTCTAGCCTTTGCACCATCTCGATACCTGCTTCATCCCTGAAGCCAGCCTTTCCCACTTGACCCCAGAGAGCAGGGATCTGTCTGTCCTTGAATCACTAAGCCCAAGCTGTTTGATCTTCACACTCCTCTTGTGAACATATTTGTTAATTTTCTTTGCTAAACTGCACAGATTTCATTTTTGTCTCCCTGGTATCTAGAACACAGTAAGTCCTTAATCCTTTTCATTTTTCTGTCCGAACCCAAGGTTTCATTCTCCCCCTCCCAAGACACTGTTCTTCATCTTAGCCCTAGAAAGCTGCCTCCTGCAAGGCAAGGTCATATAGTATGTGTCAGAAGTGGGACTTGAACCCAGGGCACCACGACTTTGAGGGCTGTGCTCCATCCCTTGCACCAGGCTGCCCTTCCTAAAACAGTGATTAAACACAGAATCTCAGTTTGGAAATACCCATTCTGGATGCAACCATATTGGCTTTCTGTGGTCACTGCTTCCTTTTCTAGATATTTCTCAGCCACCCCTTTAATTACACATTTTAGTTTTATCAAGAAATCAGATCTTATTGGGAATCTTTTGTGCTTTTCCTTTCCATTCTTCTTCTGTGAAATTTAAGACTCTCATTTTAGATCATTACAGTGAAAAGGAGGTATGTCTTAAGAAGACGATCAATAAAGAAGACTTTATTAAGCACCTGCTACGTGCTAGGCCATATGCCACGCTCTAGAGCAGGGGTGGGGAGCCCTCAGCCTTGAGGCTCTATGTGGCCCTCTGGGTCCTCCAGTGTAGCCGTTGATTGAATCCAAACCTGGATGCTGCAGGTTCCGCACCTCTGCTCTAGGGATACAAAGAAAGGGAAAAACCAGGAATGCTAGAGACAGTTAGGAAGGTAAGAAAGCAATGTGGGCTTGTTATTAGGGTTGGCTTCCTGGACATCAGGGCACTTGGACTGACCTTAAAGGGTGGGTGCCATTGGATCGTTAGAGACATGGGGGAAGGCATTTCAAATGGGAAGAACAAAACTCTTTTCTGAGTCTCATTTCTGTCTCAATCCTAAACTATATATTTGAGGGAGGGGCACAAGGAATGAAAAGGACTTGTTTTGAGTGCAGCTCAGTTAAAATAAAAACACTTTGTTTCCAGCTCCAAGGCTGGTAGTTCCCCCTTTGGGGACCTAGATAAGGGATTGGACTCAATCTTGTAAGGTTCTTTCTAGTTCCAAATCCAATGAGGCCACAGATGTGGCTCAGTCCCATTGCTTTCACTCCTCCAAGAGTGCTTCAGCCCTCAGCCTGGGGGACAGAAAAAGAGGAATCAGGGCTGGAGTAATGGTCTCCTCCTGCTGTTGTTTTTCCAGTTCACACCATCATCAGACTTTGGACAAGAGTAGTAGAGCACTGAATTAGAGTCAGAAAACATGGGTTCAAGTCCTGGCTAACCTCTCCAAGCCTGAGTTTCCTCATCTCTAAAGTGGGGATAATACTACCTGTGCTGACTATCTCACAGGGTGGTCGTGAATCTCAAATAGGATAATGTACAAAGTGGGATCTGAATGTCTGTTATCTCCACCTTGGGAGTGAGACAAACAGGGTGGTGGTTAGTGTTGGGGTCACGGTTCTCTGGCATTGTCTCTTTGAAGTTCACAAAATGACCTGGTTGGGGGCAGAGCAGTTAGCTCTGAAGGGAAGGGGAGTTAGTGCTGTGGTCAGTGTTTCAAAGAATTACGGAACTGCAGGATCCAGGAACTTAGCAGCCAACAAGTCCAGCCCCTATCCACAAAGGAATCCCCATTTACAACATACTGAAGTAATGATCCTGCTGCGTTCTGTTATCAGTCTCTGCAGTTCACACAATTGCCATACTTTGAGCAGGGAGAGTGAGGTATAGGAGAGAGTTAACATCCTGCTAATAGGTCTGATATGGTTTATCTGCATTTCACGCCATCGCTTCCTTGAGGGTGGGGCAGAGAGAGAGGGAAAGGTCTTCTGCCTCTCTATCTCAGCATCATCACCAGGCGTGGTGTAATGTTCCCAGGCATTGTTTCTCTCCAGTTCACACCAGGCTTGGGGAAGGGGGGTTAGGGCATAGAGAGGAAGTTAGTGCTGGGGTGATGGCTCTCTTGTATCACCTCTCCACAGCTCACACCAGGCTTGGGGGAGGAGTAGATGGATTGTAGAGTTAGTGCTAGGATAAAGCTTCTCTTGTATGGCTTTTCTTCAACCCACACTAGGTTTGGGGCAAGAGTAGGGAGTAAAGAAGAGTTAGTGCTGGGATAATGGCTCTCTTATATTGTCTCTCTGCAGTTCACACTAGGTTTGGGGCAAGAGTAGAGTGTAGAGGGGAAGTGTTAGTGCTAAGGTAAAGCTCTCTTGTATGGCTTTTCTCCAGTTCACACTAGTTTTGGAGCAGGAGCAGGGAGTAGAGAGGAAAAGCTAGTGCGGGATAACAGCTCTCTTGTATTCTCTCTCCAGTTCACACCATCACCAGGAAGCCTATGTCCTGGCATGACAATATGGAGGAACCTGCAGATGGTAAGGATTCCCTCTTTGCTCAAACTGATGAACTAGGTGGGGACATTTCACCCAGCAGACACATAAGTTCAGCTCTGCCCTGCAGTGGTCCCTGGGGCTGTGGGCTAGGAGCAGCAAGTTGCAAGCATACAAGTAGTAGTATTCAGAGGTGTTCAGCCCAGACTCTGATATGGCTCAGATCCAAATTATAGCCAGATCATCCAGAAGCTTGATTTTTCAGGTGGGGGGGAGGAGGGGAGGAAGGGTTTATAGCATGGGGATCCCTGAAGGCTGAGAAAGCAGAACACAGTTTGATGGGACTCCAGTTGCACCCAATGCTGCATAAATAATGGAGGTCATCAATCAGCATACTAGTCTGGCCCAGACCTGCAAATGGACAACAAACTGGGCCCAGAATCAAATAGAAGACGGCGGTGTGTGGATTACTGTCTAGTGCTTTACTGACCATGGGCTTTGTGATCTTTTTAACACCATTCCTCCTCTGTCATTTTGTCTCAGAGTCTTAGAAGGATTGAAATGGAGGGTCATGGGGAGTGTGAGTAGGCAATGTGATAGATGAATTAGACAGAAGTGGTACTAAGAATGTCATCAGTGGGGGCAGCTTGGTGACACAGTGGATAGAGCACCAGCCCTGGAGTCAAGAGGACCTGAGTTCAAATCTGGCCTCATACACATAACACTCACTAGCTGCGTGACTCTGGGAAAGTCACTTAACTACAACTGCCTCACCAAAAAAAAATTGTCAGTGTAAGACCAAATACCCCAATGCCACCACCACCGCCGATGGGCTGGTCACAGGTTGGGAGGAGGACCGAGAGATAGCCCTTTAGCCCCACTGATATCCCCACAACGTGAAGACCCTGCGGCCCATTTAGGAGAGGGCATGGATCAGGGCAGCAATCTACCTCGTGGTCGGTGCTCACATCAATGAGGTCACAGATTCAACACAGCACTGAAGGGTGTCCGAAGTGACAACAGTGCCGCCACAGCAACAGCAATCTACACCTGCCGACTTCCAGGAGCCTAAGTCTGGTCACTTAACTCATTAACCTGAACGGGAGCGTCCTGTTATCACGACCACCAGGTGGTGCTAGACTCAACCTCTGGCCTCCAGTCCCGGCTCCCTACCCCACAAGTACCGAGAGGCCGCTGAATCTGGACTCCAGGCAGGGCCGCTCCACTGAAATTCAATTCATGCAAACCAAGTCAAGACATCACCCTGGAGACGTCAGTGATCCTCTCCAAGAACGCAGGCACAGCCGCCCTCACCCTACTCTCCAATCCACCACCCCAGTCTGGTCGTGCTCCCTGGACTCCTCTACATTGATCCTGTTGGAGGACAGCATGGTGGTGAAGCGTTAGGAATGCCCCGTCCTGCCCCATCCACAGCCATGGGCCCCTCTCTGAGGCCAACTTGTTGACACTCCCCCACCCACACCTATGATGGCAGAGGTGTAGCAACACAGCTTATTCTTAAAAGATCCAGGGGTTTTGACAGACCACGAGGCCACCACGGACATACTACTGTAGGTGGCTTTCAATGCCAGGCTGAGCATTTCGTTTTCATCTTAGCAATGAGGTGATACAGTCAGATCTGTTTAGAAATGCCAACTGGGTGGCTAAGCAGAGGATGGGTTATGGTATGAGATGGTCTTTTGCCCATCACATCTCAAAAGCTCCCCAACTTGTCTCTTATCTACAGCCAAGTTCCTCAACATCATTCACTATGCTGCCCAGGGACCCAAGAAGAAATACTCGGAACCCCAGACAGAGAGCCAGGAAGTTGGCTGGGACTCCAAGCCCTTGGTGAGTGATCTCACTCCACATCCTGGACAGCCAGGGGTGGCCTTCAGAGAGGGAAGGCCCCAAATCCCCACCCCCTTCACAGCTGACTCCTCACTCTTCCAGGCCACAGGCCCAATGAGCTACACTGGCCCATGACCACAGAGGATTAGACAAAAGGAAACAGGCTTACTTTGCAGCCACAAGGGGGAACGTGAGCATCTCAAGATCAGATCTTTGTCCCGTCCCTCCCTGACCGCTATCTTTTGTTCCCTTATGCTGCCCATCCTTAACCAACAGATGAGGAACTGAGACATAAAGTAACCCAGGGTGCCACAGAGAGTTAAGAACTACAGCCAACATTTGAACCCAGGTCCAGTGCTCTGACCCCTCATGAATGGATCACAGGGGGCTGAGCTGCCACTCCACGGCAGCAAAGGGGCCCGCACACCAAGGAAATGGGACAAGGACATTCTAGCAGGAAGAAGTCAGGAAAAGGGTAGAGGAGACGCAAGAGGCGGAGAGGAAGCCGGGTCTGGCCAGCCTAGGGCTATACCCAATCAAACTCAAGCCATGATGCTCCTGACAGTCATTTATTTACACAGCCCTTGGAAAGGGACTGGCATTGACCCCACAGCGGCTATGAATGATGGGGTGGTCGGGATCCAGGGGCAGGGCAGCAGGGGGATAGCCACCCCGCCCCCTCACGGCCACGTGTGTCCTCCTCTCTCCAGATCCCCAGTGAGCGCAGCGATACCAGGATCAATTTTTTCCGCAGCTACAAGGACATCACGAAGTACATGGCAGAGTTCTGGCGCATAAAGGCCAAGCAGAGTTCAGACTAGTGGGGCCAGGTCCCAGCTGCCTACACCCAGTTTAGGCCCCACCCCCCAGCCCCCACCAGCCAGCTAGTGCCAGAGGGGTGCCTCACACCCCCGGGCCCCCTACTCAGAAAGCAAAGGCAGCCAAGGGATGGCCTGGGTCCTCTCTGTGCCTGGTCCTCCGTATAAAAGGTGGCACTTAGCGTGCACGGTTCTTCATTTTCTCTCTTGCCCTTTTCCCAGGTCTCTTCTGAAAAAATAAAGACAAAAAGATACCCCCAGTCTCAGCCGTGTCCCACTGCTCTTCTCTCCCTCCCGCCGAGGGCCCAGGCCTTTGAGTGCACTCACATTGGACAGCTTCTTGCCCATCTTCTGGGGGCCCTTGCCATGGGCGGTGCGGGCGCGGAAGCTGGACACGTCATCGTAGCTCTCCCGGGTGTTCCGCTTGGATCCTTTCTTCCTTCCACCAAAACCAAACTTCTGGTTTTTGTACCGCCGCTTGGCACTGGGCCTGAAATCAAACACGGTCTTCCCTCAAGGTCTCTCCCCCACCAGGCTCCAAAGCCCTTCCCAGACACACCCTCCAAGACAAGGCTGCTACAGTATGACCCTGTGAGCCCCAACCTGGGATCTCCAGGACCAAACAGAAAATCCTGTTTGGCTTTTAAAGCCCTTCCTGACCAGCCCCTTCCTCTCTTCCTAGAGTAAGCTTCCTCATGCACTCTACAATCAGAGACGTGGCCTCCTCCCATTTCCACAACTTTGCACTGGATGTACACCATGACATAACTCAGAAACCCCACCTTCTGTGAATGATCTTTCTCAGCCATAACGCCCATCCCACCTCTTGCCCTCCATGCTTTTACCTCTCACCAACTCCATGTACATATCCTTCACTGATCATATGTTGTCTTTCCTAGCACAGCTTGGGCTGTGAGGGCAAGGAGGGCCTGGCACACAGTAAATGCTAAATAAACACTTGCTGATTAGCAAACCAGCTTCTGCCCTGGCGGGTGTCTAGGTGGCACTGTGGATCTCAGGCCTGGGCCCAGAGTCAGGAAGACCTGGATTCCAATCTGGCCTCAGATCTGAACTTACCTCCCAGCTGTGTGTGATGCCAGGGCAGGTCACCTAAGCCCAGGCTCTTCCACTGCACAATGGATTCAGCACCTTGTCTCACTCACCTCCACAGTTGTGAGGGTCAAATGAGATAAGGTGTGTAAAAGGCTCAGCACAGCGCCTGGTCCACAGCAGGCACCCCCTCAGTGTTCCCTCCCTCCCTTCAGTCTCTTCAACAGCTCACCCCTTCTTCATCTGCTGAGCTTTGGCACCTTCCTTCTCGCCTCTTGAGAGCGACCTTCCATCTCCCTCAAGGAAGTCCAGTTTGTCTGAGAAGCCTGGGTGCAGAGAGTGAGCCAGGTCACCAGGGCTGTGCAACAGAAGAAGCAGCCCATGGCCCCACCACACCCCCCGAGGCCTGCTCCCACCTTTCTGGTACTTCTTGATAGCCGTCATCATCTGAGACTTCTCCCGCTGCCTCTTCTGAAGAACCTCTGTCTGTACCTAAAAGAGACACAGCCCAGGCCAGTCCAGAAACTCCCACTGTGCTGATGAACTCGACACCAGCCCCGGGATCGAGGGTCCCCAGACCCATGGAAACCCCAACGCTGGGCCTCAAGATCAAGCCCTCACTGTCTTTTGTCCTGATGGAGCTGAAGGCAGATCTTCAGTCGCACCAATGCCGCCCAACACCCTCTCTTCCAGCTGCTGGAAGTTCATCACAGATGCAGAGAAAAACGCCTCCCTCCCCTCCAGCAGCATCAGGAAATAGCAGCAGGGAGAAGGTGGCTCCAGGGCCCAGGTCCTACTCCCCTTAACAGACTGGATGCGATAGCTGACCAGGCACTGAGGCCTCAACTCCCCTGGCGTCTTACCCCCGAAAGTTAAGCACCAAAGCCAGGTGCCACCCACTTTCTGCCTCTCACCTTCTTGCCATATTTCCTGAGCGCTCGAAGCTGCTTGGCCTTTTCAGACTTCTCCATGGCAGCCTGTTTCGTCTGCAGCTTCTGTCGAATCTAGAGGGGGCCGACAGAGGGAGCCCTGAGGCCAATGGTACCACGACTCTGCCACGGTGTCCCCCAGTGCCCGGCATGAGGGCAGATTTCCGCTCATTAGCATCAACAAGAATTTGGTAAGCACCTGCTCTACGCTAGGCCCTGGGCAAAAATCACAGCCACTGCCCTCAAGGAGCAGCCAGTGTGAAAGGCACAGACAACATGCTAACAAGTACATACCAACAAGACAGATGCAGAAGGTGGCAGCTTGAGAAGGAAGGCAGAAGGGGGAAGCCCACACTTCCCAAGTTCTGAAAGAAGCCAGGAGACAGGCGAGCAGGGATGGCAGTCAACCTGCAGCGCTCTGAGATGCTGAGAGCTGGTGCCAAGGAACAGACTCGCTACCAGTGTGATTCTGAAATAAGCCATCCATCGTAGGGAGACGGGAAAAGACTGCTGGGCAGTCTCCAGGCACGTGACAGTGAAGGACAGCCAGCATTGATATAGCACTTTCCAGTTTGCAAAGCACTTTGCAAGTATTCTCTCTTTATCTGCACAACCTCTGGAGGCAGGTGCTACCACTATCCCCATTTTAGAGGAAGAAATGAAGGCAGCCAGCAGTACAGTGACTTGCCTAGGGATCACACAGCATGAAGTATCTTCCTGACTTCAAGGTCAGCACTTGATCTCTCTGCACCCATGCTGCCTCTGCACCCATGTCTGTGGCACAGGAGGCAGTGAGCACCCCAAACTAAATCTGAAGGGGGAACCTTATTCCTAGGGTCACAGATGTAAGGCCATCTCCGACCTCCACCCTCTGCAGTCTGTGGCACTGCCCTGAGTTTTTTACTCTACTTTATGACAGGACCAAAGAGGCATCACTGAGTCAGGGACGCTGCCCTGAGTAGACAGATCAGATCCAAAAGGAACAGGCTGGTACAGGTGAGAAGAGCACTACTTAGCACTAAACATTAAGCTAGGAGGAGACCCAGGGCCAGGAGAACATGGTGGAGATATTTGGGCAAAGCTCAAGGGAGGCAGAAATAGAAGGAAGGGATCACTTCATCTTGTCTACCAGAGGAAATGGAAGGGAAGTTCTATACAAAGACCCCAGGTGTGGCTGGAGTCTAGGACTACTGTATGGACATAAACACCTGTCTCAGAAGGCCAACTGGCCAGTCCTCGGTAACCTAGATGGACAGTGACTAACTCCGGGCCACAATACTAGTAGGTGTCTTTTACCCACTACTCCAGGTGGATTCTCATGGCAGTGATCACGCAATTTATTGCATGTCAATTAAAGACTCTTTCACTAAGCATGTGCCAGGCCTGGTGCTCAGCAATGGGGACACCAATACAGAACTAAGCGAGTACCTGGCCTCCAGGATACACGTCCTTAGACAAATACAAGGAAGCTATCTATGAAATCAACCTAAATGATTTCAGGGGCATTGAGCTAAAACTGGGAATAAAACAAGGTTGCTCCTAAGCAGTACTTGAGTTAAGCAACCTGTACAAAGACAAGGAGGCTGGAGATGGAAAACTGAGCACAAGAAACAAGCATTATTAAGCATGTGTGTGCCAAGTACTGTACTAAGCTCTGGGCAAACTAGCCCACAGAGTGTATCAGACTGAGTAAAATGCAATCCGTCTGGAAATACAGGCTGAAGGCCAGATCATAAGACCCTGTAAGTACCAAAGAGTCATTTATATTGTCCCATTTGAGTATCTCTGCCAAGAAAATCCAAATGGGGTCACAAAGGGTCAGACAACCAAAAAGACTGAACCACAACAAAGGAAGCCTCCCTGCTTTTAAGTAGCTCCCGTCATACACTCATCAATTTTGGGCCGGTGACCCTTAAGGTCAGCTAGTCCAGCTCTCTCATGTAATGGGTGGGAGAGCAGAGGCCCAGAGAGAGAGTGAACTCACCCACGGTCCCCGGGGGCCAGCAGGGCTAGGATTCAAACCCAGGGCCTCTTCCGTAGGTCCACTCCTCTCCACTGGGCCACATCACCTTCTGTGATCACCTGGCCCAGAAAAACAGGCTCTCAAATGAACCGACAGATGTGATGGCGCAGGTGGTCTTAGGGAGACCTCAGAGGAGGGGAGAGGCCCCACAGGGCTGGGCCATGGAAGAGAGAGGCCTGCACGCTATAAAGCCAGAGAGCCCGACTTGGGATTGCCAGCGCAAATGTAACAAGTGATGAACACAAGAAGCCAAGGGGGCTTCGTCCAAGAGTGGGTCAGGCCAAGTCTAACAGTTTCCCTTTGACAGTTACTAAACAGCAAAAAAAGCTGCTAGGAAGCAGAACAAGGAGAGATGGGGAGAGATACTACAAAAGCAGAAAATGTCTTGTCAATTAAGGGGCTCGATAGGGAGATAAACCACCTCAGAAGGTGGTTCTCTTTCATCCTTACTCTCAAACAGAGGGTGAGTGACCACTATTGGGAATGGGAGGGATGCCCTAAGAGGAAACTTTCTGGATCTAACAACGTTGGGAGTGTGTAGCCTGTAAGGTCTTTTCCAACATTGGGATTCTGCTACGATCCCATAGCAGACATCAGTCTTTAGGACCTTGACACTCTCCTTCCTACAGAAACCAGAAAATGCCCCAGTGAAGCAAAAGGCGCCAAGTCCCACTTGACTCTGAACTCATGCCCATCACAAAGAGCAAGAACCAACTTTACTGCAAACATAGCTCAAAATGAAATGAGCACTCTGGGGCACCGGCGAAAAGGAAAGCAGCTGTGAAAGGATTCAGACAAGAGGAAGCCCCTGCCCAGACTGGGGCAGACACCCACCTTCTGCATCTGCTGGTCAGACTTGGCCATCTCTGCAAAGTAGTCCTGGGGCCTCTTGGTGGGGATCTGGTGCTGGTGGAGCCGGGGCAGCACGGCCAGGACCGCAGCCTGGGCCTGGCGGTAACTGGCAGACAGATGAGGGCAGCTGCAGCTGGGCACCTCCCGCGGCCCCCTACCTAACTGACCCTAGCTCTGCGGGAGGCTTCGAGGTCAGGCTGCCCCCTCCCCCCACAACTTACAAGGTCATTTCCCTTCGGAAGTCGTCCTCGGGGTCCACGGCTCCGGGGTCCACGGCTCCGGGCTCCACGGGCGTCTGCTGCGCGGGGAGCTCTGGCGCTGGCCCCACGGTCACGTCCAGCCGCTCCAACCACGGCAGGTCCTTCCGGAACTCGGCCAGGCACTGACCCAGCCCGGCCTAGGGAGGGCTCACAGTGAGCTTCCCGAGGGCCCCTCCGCGGGCCCCCGCCGGCGCACCCCACCCCCGCCCCACGCGAAACACACCCGCGCCCACGATCACCCCGCCCAAAGGCTCCACGCTCCTCCCCCCGCCCCCACGCTCGTCCCGTCATCGCGCATGCTCCAAAGCTCCAAGCGCCGCACGTGGAGCCGGAGCGCGAGCCCACTCGAAAACACTCCCTACCCCCGTGCTCACCACGTCATTTTGCCTGCGTTTCGGCGCCTCGAGCTCCACGTTGAGCCCCGGCTTAAGCACGCCCCGCGCGAAGGCCTCCTGCAGCTGCAGGGACACCAGGTGGGGTCGGGGTCAGGGCCGGCCAGGCCCGGGGAGGGGAGGAGGCGGGGTCGGGACCAGGACCGGCCCTGAGGGTGAGGAGAGGGTGGGGCACTGACCTCGGCGTCCGAGAACGCTTCTGAGTCCGCCTCCGAGTCCGAGCCTGACGCTAGCATCGCCATCGCTGCCCGACTGTGGCCTGCCACCCTTCCTTCCCTCCGCGAGCCTCGCCGCCTGTACTTCCGGTAAAGTGCTTCCGCTTCCGGCAGGAAGACCCGCCTCTTCCTGTTTACCGTTGCCGTGGGAACGCAGAGGCGTCCTGAGAGAGGCCAAGCCAAAGAAAAAGGAGAGAGAGAGAGAGAGAGAGAGAGAGAGAAGCGGCAGGAGCCAGGTGCGGATGGGGCCCCGTGAGGTCATAGGTCAGGGCTAGGGGGTGGGACAGGGGGAACCCAGCTCGGGAGGGTCGGGGGCCCAGCCCGAGAGGACGGTGGGGTCACAGGTCAGGGGTCATGGTCACTCTCTCTCCCTCCCAGCGGCACCATGAGCACTGTGGTGGCCCAGGCCCAGCACGTCTTCGGGCTCCGGGCCCGAGTCGCCAACAACCTCTGCTTCTTCGACGAGCAGATCATCATTTTTCCGTGTGGGAACCACTGCGTGAAGTACAATGTGGACCAGAAGTGGCAGAAGTTCATCCCAGGTACCCCTGCGAGAGGGCGGGGAAACTGAGGCAGCCCCCTCCCCCCCAACACACTCTCAGATAATGTTGAATGGGAGCTTGCATATCCGGGGAAGTTTACAAGCATTACCTCCTTGTGGGAAGTAGGTCCTATGATTATCCCATTTTACAGATTAGTAAACCAGAGCAGGCAAGTTAAATGACCTGCCAAGGTCCTGCAGCTAGTGTTTGAGGTAGGATTTGAACTCAAGACTTCCCATCTCATGATGTAGCTTCTTTTCATGCTGTAGATTCTCTTCATGCTGTTTTTTCTCTCAAGTCTCTAATAATTTTATGTGCCTTTTCACAGTCCTCATCTTACTACACCTCTTTCAGTCACCAGATCCGGTGATCAAAGTTGGGACGTAGTTATACAGTATATCCTAGTTGCCCAGCCCCTCCCATTTTGGGGGTGCTGGAGCCTGGCCTCTCCTCTACAGATTCTCTTCCACCTTGATACAGATCCTCTCATTTAAAACTTTAGTTTCTGCAAGGACAGAGCCATAAAGAAGTGGCCCCGCGTCACTCCTCAGCCTCTCTGGAATTTCACATAGTCCTTCTACACCTGAAATCCCCACCTCTGCCAGTGTGGTCCCCATAGTGCTTGAATGTGTCTCTCCTTGGAGTCAGGGGAGCAGGTAGACTCCTCACAAGGGGCGTCCTCACTTGTGGAAGCTGTGACTTTGGGTTGTCCAAATTCTTGGGGCTTTCTGCTTACTTCCTTAAATCAAGGGGTTTTAAACACATCAAGATTGTATCTATAAGGGAAATTGGATCAGCAAACAGAAAAAAAAAGTCTATGAGCCCAGTGGGCCAGGTCCTGTGGATCCAAAGAAAGGCAGAAGCTCATAGTCTAAAGGGGGAAATAATATGCAGATGACTAAGTATATGCAAGATATAGGTAGAGTAGGGTGAAGGTGATTTCACCAGGCGCTGGCAGCTAAAGGGACTAGGAATGGTTTCTTCTCAAATGTGGGATTTGTTGTCTTGAAGGAAGTCCAGGAAGTTAGGAGGTAGAGGTGACAAGAGAGTATCCCAGGCATGGAGATAGCTTGTGCAAAGATACAGATGTCACATATGAGGGATAGCAGGGAGGCCAGCGTGGCTGGACTTTTAGAGTGTGTGGAGAGGAGTAAAATTCAATTCAGTTCATTAAACATTTATTAAGCATCTTTGTTGTCGTTGAGTCATTTTTCAGTCGTATCTGACCCTCCATGACCCCATCTGGGGTTTTCTTGGCAGAGATACTAGAATGGTTTGCCATTTCCTTCTCCAGCTCATTTTATAGATGAGGAAACAGAGACAGACAGGGTGAAGTGACTTGCCCAGAGTCACACAGCTAGGAAGTGTCTGAGGCTGGATTTGAACTCAGGAAAAGGCATCCTTCTGACTCCAGGCCCAGCACTCCGTCCACTGTGCCACAAAGCTGCCCGGTATATAAAGCACATATTGTGCTTAGTAAAGATGACCAGCATGATTGGACCTTTAAAATATGTGGAGAGGAGTAAAATCAGATTCAGTTCATTAAATATTTATTAAGCATCTGCTATGTGCCAGGCATTATGCTAAGCACTGGGGATATGAAAAGAGGCAAAAGACAGTCCCTGACCTCAAGGGGCTTACAGTCTGATGGGGAAGACAACATATAAACAAACATATTCAAATCAAGCTATGTACAGGATAAATATTTCCTGTAGAAGGAGGAATTTTGGTTGGAACTAAAGTGTAAAAAGCCTGGAAGGGTGGAAAGGAACCACCTGGGAAGGGTATGAAAAGCCAAACAGAGGGCTTTCTGTTTGTTCTGTGAGATAATAGGGAGCCCCTGGGCTTAACCAAAGAGGAGAGTGACATCATGAGATCTGTGCTTTGGGAAAATCCCGTTGGAGCTGTGTGGAGGATGGGAGAGACATGACATATGGAGACTGGCTTTGCTGCTGTCAGAATGGTCCAAGTGGGAGTGGAGAGGCCAAACTGGGCTGGGTTTGGCACCTGCCTGAACATATAGACAGGCGACAGTGTGCTTCTTCAAGGATGGACAGTAATAGGAAAATAGGGAAGAGCAAAGGGTTTGGGGGAAAGAGGATAGGCTCAGTTTTGGACATGTTGGGTTGGGCTGTCCCAAAGGCAGGGGAAGACACAGGATAGGGGGCTGAGAAGAGAGGTGAGGGCGGAATCCTCCACAAAGAGGGCCTGGATCGAGCCCTGGGGAGACGCCCACTGTCAGGGAAACCCAGGGATCATTTGACACTGATGACCACTTTCTTCCCTTGGCTCCTGGAATAATGCTCTTAAACTGTCCTTTCATAAAGTCCTCCAATTCCTTCTCACCTTGACCTTCTTGTTGCCCCGAGGTCTGTTGTTGGCCCTATCCCACTCACTCCCGTACTGATACCTGATGCTCTGACCTCCCCCGGGGCCCAGAACCTCGTCACCAGCTGTGTGCAGGCCTCTCTCACCACCACCACCACCAGGACCAGCCCAACTTTGCCTGTCCCCTCCCCCCATCAGCTCTTTGTCTCTATACATCCTTCACCCACCTGTGCTTAGCTCTTCCCTTGTCCCTCCCTCTCCCTGCTTCTGCTGCTGCACCATCTCTGGCTTCAGTGCTTCTTTCCACCACCACCAGCCCGGAGGGTTGACTTGGGGGCTTCCAGCCAGGCCTTCCCCTCTCCCTCCAATCCACCCTTCCTGATTCAAACAGTTCAGTGCAGCAGACATTTACTGAAATACTGCCTACATTCATGGCACCGTGCCAGAACATGGGGATATACAGATAAAATCTCAGGAGCCCCTCCTCTTCAGAGGCTCACATCTTTCTTGGGGGAGCCACAAAGACACAGGTAAGAAAATGCAAAGTGATCGAGAGAAAGAACAGCTCAGATGAATTTTCACTGTTCATACAACTTGTTAAGTCTCTCCTCTGCACAAAACCCTTGAAGACACCCTGTTGCCTACCAATTACAGCCCAGAGTCCCTGCCACAACATTCAAGGCCTCCAGCACAATCTGCAGATTGCCAGAATGGAGCATTCACCATATGGGTTCCCTCAGCTAAAATCCCACCTTCTACAAGGAGCCTTTCCCAGTTCCCCTGAAGGCTGATGCCTTCATTCTTCTGATTGTCTCCAAATTATCCTGTCTATAGCTTGTTTGTGCTCAGTTGTATCTGAGGTTCACATATCAGCTGTTCCACTCCCTCTTTGTATAGATGTCTACCTGTGTACCCCAGTTATATGAGGGGATTTTCCCCACCTTCCTCTTCCTTCCCCCACTTCCCCCAGTGTATTCCTCTTCCCATCTCTCCCTATTCCCCTTTTAAGATCATCAAGACATAACATAGCCGCTCCCAGGCCTTCTGTCTAATTAGACTCCCTCTGTGACCCTTGATAATGATAGGGTTAAGAGGGGATACATATCACATCTACCCATTTATCCTCGGTTAGTCCGTTATGACTACTAATTGGATGAATGAGCAAAGTAGTAGAAAAGTCCACTACATTCCACATGTAGCGCCATGACCCAACTGCGTTACCTCCATTTGCAGGTTCAGAGAAGAGTCAGGGCATGCTCGCTCTGGCCATCAGTCCCAATCGGCGCTACCTGGCCATTTCAGAGACTGTGCAGGACAGAGCCACCATCACCATTTATGAGCTGTCTTCAGTTCCTTGCAGGAAGCGAAAAGTCCTCAGCAACTTTGACTTCGCAGTTCAGAAATTCATTAGCTTGGCCTTCTCTCCAGATTCCAAGTATCTTGTGGCCCAGACAGGACCTCCTGAGTCCAACCTAATCTACTGGATGTGGGAGAAGCAGAAAGTGATGGCAATTATTAGAACTGATTCCCAGAACAACTCAATCTACCAGGTAATGCCTGCTCTGGCATGGGCTCTGCCCATGGCCATGTGACTGTGCTGGGTGGTTGCACAGGTGCGCTGTCCAGACCATCCGGGCATCCAGGCCAGTGCTAACGAGGCTGTACAGCAGATGCGTGTGCTTTGTGGGGCTTCAGGGGAGGGAAGATGGTGCAGGTTCATGGGATTGTAGACATGCACTGAGCTGCAGGGACCTCACAGGGAGCAACCCCCCAGAGAAGATAGGAGGACTTGCCTAGGATTACACAGGCTAAAAGTGGCAGAGCTGGGCTCTAGACCCTGCACCTCCTTTCCTGGCACCTCTTTGTCTTGCCTTCAGTCAGAAGGCTCCTCTGAGACTTCGCACACATCATGGCAGCTGGGCCTCACAATGACCCTGGCGGGGCGGTGCTCTCCCCGTCTGACACATGAGTAAAACAGCGTTCTGAGAGGTTAGATTTCCCAGGGTCCTGTGGAAGACCCAGAGGTGCAGAGGTCAGGATTCAAACTCTGGTCTTGTTCCACCTCTGGCCCTCTGTCCACCACAGCCTGCTGCCTTTTAAAACCAAGAGCGATGTGAAGATGTTGGTGAGCATGTGAGGCCAGGGGAGAGCTGGTTCTCTCTCCTTGGCCTATAGTCAGGGACCCCAGGGATCCCATCTACCGCAGGCCAGCTTGTCTTGGCCTGAAGACCACCGGGAAGGGGAGGGAGATTCCAAGACCCAGGTTCCAATTCTGTCTGTGGCATGTGCCAGCTGTGTATCTTGGCCGAGGCTCTTCACTTCTGTCTCCTCATCTGTAAATGGGGATAAGGAAAATTACCCAGTCATCAAGAGACTTGAGTCACAGCTAGACAGGGCTTTGCAAACTGGGCTGTTTGTGCTGGTGGGGGCTGGGCTCCAGCTCTGCTCACGATGCCGAGTCTTCTGTCGCTTCTGCACCGTCCCTTTGGGGCCGAGCGGAGCAGGTGGGCTGGGCACTGAAAGCCCTTCACAGCCTGAGAAGCAGCTTCTCTGTGAGCACGCACGCCCGCCCTCAGGACAGCATCAGCCCCAGAGGTCAGCAGCTGCCTCGCTTTTGCCTCTGTGCCCCAGTGCCCAGCTCAGAGTCTGGCACGTAGGAGGCCCTCACTAAATTCTTGCTGACTTATGAATGGTCAGGTACTTGGGCATCCCCTGGCCCCAGTCAGGTTGGGACCCTTAGATGGAGGTGAACGGGAGCCCCTCACCTGAGAGAAGGAGGAGGGCATTCAGATGGGGATCCTTTTGGCATAGGGACTGATCAGAGCCCCCTGATTGTCTCCAAACCTCTTGCCCCATTGCTACTCCCAGTCATTGAAGGGGAAGGCCTCACTGCATTTTTGCCTACAAAAAGAGGCCATTGACCCTAGTCTCCCTCTTCTCCTTCGATCTATACAGTCATTCTCTCTACGTCATTCCCAGTGTTCTCTCTGGTGGGCGGGTGGCCCTACTGACCAAGGCCAGCCCTATATCTGCCTGTGCCCTTGGTCTCATCCCCTCTCTTCTGATCTCCCCCCTCCCCTTAATTTCCTTTTTTTAAAAAAATTAACATTTTTATTTAAAGTTTTGAATTCCAAATTCTATCCCTCTCTCCCCTTCCCCCTTCCCTTAGAAGATAAGCAATCAAATATAAGATATATATGTGCAATTAAGTAAAACATTGCCATGTGAGTAATTTTGTACAAGACTCAAAAGAAAAAAAAGAAAGAAAGTGATAAATAGCACGCTTCAGTCTCTATTCAGTCAATATCAGTTCTTTCTCTGGAGGCAGACAGCGTGCTCCGTCATGAGTCCTTTGGGATTGTCTTAGATCATTGCGTTACTGAGAAGAACTAGGGCATTCACGGTTCTTCATCAAACAAAATTGCTGTTACTGTGTACAGTGTTCTCCTGGTTCTGCTCACTTCACTGTGCCTCAGTTCGTGTAAGTCTTTCCAGGTTTTTCTGAAATCGTCCTGCTCATCATTTCTTATGGAACAATAGTATTTCATTACATTACCACAGCTTGCTCAGCCATTCCCAAATGGATGGGCATCCCCTCAACGTCCAATTCTTTGCCGCCGCAGAAAGAGCTGCTATAAATACAGATATGCCCTTTACCCTTTATTTTCGGGGAGATCTTTGGGATACAGACCTCACAGTCTTCCCTTTAATTTTTACTCTTCCTCCCTGATTTGTCCCCTCTGCAGATTTGACACTGTTGCCCACCCCATCCTCCTGGCATGTCTGTCCTGGAAGTTTTCAGGCTATATGTAGACTGCTCTGACCCCAGGAGTCTAAGAAGTGCACAGCCTAGTTTGTGCAGCCCCACAACTATTCTTCCTTCAAGCAGGCAAAGGAGCATTGACAATATGATTTGCAACTGATGGTCAAGTCACAAATCTCACAGGGCCCATGTATAAATGAAGACTTAGAACCCAGGCCCTCTTGTGGTATGGGCCCAGCTTACAAAATCAGGGTTCAGGTTAGTGACTTGCAAACTGGGGTTCATGAAGGCCAGGCCCTTTTCTATGTAGTAAGAATCCCATCACTGACAGGGAACACAGAATTGGAGAGTCAGAAGAGAGCTCAGGGGCCTCCTCCAAAAAGGAGTCCCCATCGTACCATTGAGGACAGATGGTGCCTCTGCTTGCAGCCCTCCGAGGAGGAGGAGGAGCCCCCCCCATCCCTTCTGCCTGTCCACGGACTCTGCTGAGGACCTCTGGCTGCTGCCTGCTGTGGCCAGCCCGGCAGAATGGGGTCAGTGAGTGACCAGCCCTGGCATCCCTGTGACGGGCGCTCCCTTAGGTCCACGCTCAGGGCCGCGCCTCCCACTGCAATCCTCATCACAGGGATTAGACGTGGAACTCTCCGTTAGAGCAATGACATCATCAAGCCAGCACTTGGCTGACTCCCCATTCCCTTCCTACGGTCTTTTTCACTATCCTTTTACAAAACCCATATCTAGAATTTGGTGAGGATTCGAAGTCAAGCTCCTGAACTCCCCCCAGACTTGTCTAAACACAAGGACTCCCCGTGTTTTACATTCTGTGGGCCCCAATTTGCTGGGGTCAGCCAGACCAGAAGGCGCAGCGGAGCCGGCATCCCTTGGAGGCTTCAGAGTGACCCTCATGGCTCTCTGTCAGCCAGCCTGGCCGTTCATACACTCCTCCCGTGGGACCAGGCTGCTGCCCTGAGGCACATGGAGTGCCGGGCTGTGCACCCTGGGATGTCTGGGGGGCAGCTTGGGCAGGGGGGAGCAGCATAGCCTGGCTGCAGCACAAGCTCTTCACAAAGAGAAGGCGTGTTCTTTTGGAAGGTGTGAAAAAACTGGCTGATTTTTTCCCCTCTTACAGGTGAGCTTCAGTCCCCAAGATAACACTCAGGTTTGTGTCACTGGAAATGGCATCTTTAAACTTTTCCGTTACGCCGAGGGAGCATTGAAGCAAACCAGTTTCCAGCGGGGAGAGCCCCAGAACTACCTGTGCCACGCCTGGCTCTCTGAAGACCGGATTATCGTGGGCACTGACATGGGCAAGCTCTATTTGTTTGAGTCTGGAGATCCGCGCTGGGAAACGAGCATCGTGTGCAAGGAGAGCGCCAGTGACACCTCCAGGAAACTGGAGGTGATCCAGGATTCAGAGAGGTAACAGGAGCTGCCCCGTAGGCATTGGGGGAACGAGGGGCACCAGGCGGCCGGGGCTTTTCTCCAGCCTCCGGGCAGCTCCAGCTGTCTCAGCCTTAGGGGGTGAAGCGTGGGGGCTGGCAGGCGGGGCTCTGTTAATAAACCTCACTTAGGATCGCTCATCCAAGACGGTGTTCGTCAGGGAGCTGTGCCTTGCTCTGAGCACCAGCGGCACGGAGACCCGAGGGAGGCAGCTGCTGCCCTCAAGGAAGCCACACCGTTTGAGGGGAAAACAACTGGTCCATAGAGAAGCCCCTGCCAGCTAGACACAGTGATTTTGGTGGGGGTCAGAGCACTCTTGACTGGAAGGGTTGAGAAAGGCCTCTTGAAAGTGATGTGGGAGCTGGGCCCTCCAGGAATCCCAAGAGGCAGGATAAGGAGGAGAGAGCATACCAGGCATTGGTACAGCTTGGGCAAAGACACAGAGGCTGGAGATGGAGCCACATGGGCTGGATCCTAGAGTGAGGAGAGGGAAGAGGGTTAGCTCTCAAGCCCTGTGCCAAAGGGAGGTATCCTAAGGCTTCTAAAAAGTCTTTAAAGCTTGCGCCATCTGTTGGAGTGCTGGATTCCCTGGGTTCACTAGCTCTTGTGCAGAGCAGGATTTCCTCCAGCCTGTCCCCAGTTTAGCCTTGCTGAGCCTTCCCCTCTCAGACTTGATCTTCCAGGCTGACAATCCCACGTCATCCAGGCCAGGGCGGCGGCATCCTTTGTCCATGCGTGTGCTAGACCGCTTTGGCTGCTTTCCTTTCTTGGTTGCCTACCTTTTCCATCTCCCTGACTCTCCCCTGGGAGTTCAACAAGTGTGGTGAAGGATGTGCATGGCCAGCCAGCCTGGCCTCCCTCCCACCCCTGCAGGATGCCCAGCCCTTGGCCAGCCTTGTGGGTACCAGCAGCACCATGAGCCTTTCTGTGGATTCAGGAAACAGCCCCATTCCCTGGGTTGTGTTGCCTAATGTTTTAAATTAACAATTTATCAGCCCTCTTATGGAGTTTCCCAAGTTTTCCTAATGTCAGAGGAGTGGGGGAGCCATACCTAGAGCTGGAAGGGACTGGCACGTTTATGAAGTGCCCCCTTGCTGGGTACTCAGCCCTTCCATGGAAGGAGTGATCTAGGCTAGCCTCCCCCTGGAACACTTCCCAGGATGGGGAGCTCACCCCCCCCACCCAGGTAGTCTGCTTCCCTCTGTGTCAGGACCAGTCATCAGGAAATTCTGAGCCTGAGACCAGAAAACAAAAATAACCTCCTTTAAAAGGGTTAGATGACTGACGTTAATTGTACCTCGAGGTTTGCCCAGTGCCCGCCATCTTACCAGACAGGCTCAAAGTCCCTGCTGCAGCCACCATTAGACAGATGGAGAAACTGAGGCTGAGAGCGGGCAGGTAAGTGAGCAGAGGGCTCCCGGCTGCGGTGCCCACAGGAAGGCCGCTTCTCTTTCGTCTGGATTGAGAAGGAATCTCTTCATCCTGCGATTCTGGCCCAAGGCTGTGCCAAAGCCAACGAGCAGTCAGCTGTGCTGTTCTGGGCCTTCTCCTAACCTCAGAATCACAGACTGTGAGAGTGGCGTGGAGTGTGGGCCCCTGGGGGCCTCCAGTGCAAGCCGGACCCTAGAGCAGTCGGTAAACACGTGTTCACGTTTGCTACGATGTGCCAGGCATGCTGCTGAGTGCTGAGGACGTGAAGAGAGAGAGAAGGCAGTCTCTATTCTCAGAGGGGAACCACATGCAAATGAATGTATGAACAAGGGTTATGTAGGATACATAGGAAATAATGAGCAGAGGGAAAGTGTGAGCATTGTGGGGGGGCGGTCAGGAAAGGCTTCCTGTAGAAGATGACAGGATATTAGCGGGGACTTGAAGCCGGGGAAACCAGGAAGTGAAGAGGCCAGGAAACGTCTGAGGGACATTCCTTGGAAATATGATGAAAATGCCCAGACTTGGGAGGTGGATCGTCTTGTTAGAGGTGTGTGTGTGACTTCTTTGGGCAGTCTAGTGAAGCCTGTGGACCCCATCTCAGAATCATGTTTGTAAATGTATAAAATTAAACACAGAGGAGTACAAAGGAAACCCATTTGTGATGAAACACAGCCATTCACAGACCCCAGGTTAGGGACCCCTACTCTAAAGGAATCCCTGCTGTCACATACTCTACAAGCGCTTGACCAGTATGTGCACACAGCCCTCCATGGAGCAGGAGCTCGCTACCTTCTACTTTGGAGCAGGATCGATGGGCAGGAGGTCTTTTCTTATGTTCCAGCCTAGATCTGCCTCTTTGCCGTTTCCCTTTGTAAGCCAGGTAGGACCATCTGAGGCCTCTGTCACTGTCTGTGGCCTCTTCCCCAGGAAATCCCTTCAGAACACAAGTTGGTATTTCCCCAGCAAAGATTGAGGGAGAATATTTGTTCAGTCATTACCCTCTCCTCGTCTCTAAAACAAGATGACCAGCCCCGCTCTGCAGGTGGGGCGGGGGGTGGAGGGGCTGGGATTCCCCGGGAGCAGGCTTTTCCAGTATGTCCTACAGCCCTTGTCCCTCCCCATTCAGTTAGCATAGCTGTTGTCTGAAGCGGTATTGAGTGATGGTGGCTTCAGCTCTGACCAGGGGACATGGATAAAGATTCTGTTAAAAGTGGAAGATGTCACCATCACCCTCCTCATCAAGGAGTAGCCAGTAAGCGTTTACTAAGCGTCTGCTCTGTGACAGGCACTGGGGATACAGAGAAAGGCACAACCAAGGGCCTGCTCTCAGGGGGCTTACTGTCTAATGAGGGAAACAACAGACAGCCCCGTGCAAACGAGGCACATCAGTAGAGATTGTGATCAGCAGAGAGAGGACACCAGCCTTAAGGGAGAGCAGGAAGGGCAAGATGGGCTTGTAGCTGGAACTTGAAGGAAGTCAAGAGGCGGAGATGAGGAGGGAGAGAATTCATGGCATAGGGAAGAGCCTGAGAAAGCAGCCAGTCTGGAGATGGCACATCCTGTGTGAGGAACAAGGCCAGTGTCAGTGGATCAAAGAGGAAGCGGTAAGAAGACAGGAAAGGCAGCACGGGGCCAGCCAGAGTCTTGAGTGCTGAAGAGACGATTTGTATTTGATCCTGGAGGTGATGGGGAGCCATTGGAGATCCAAGAGGGGAGGGGGGTGACATGGTCAAACGTGGACTTCAGGAAGATCCCTTTGACGCTGAATGGAGAATGGACTGGAGGGGGAGAGGGATGGCAGGAAGACCAACCTACAGGGGTGAGGTGATGGGGCCTGCAAGCAGGTGGTGGCAACGTCAGAGGAGAGAAGGGCTGGAGTAGAGATGTTCAAAGGCAAACTTGACCAGACCTGGCAACAGATTGGATATGGGGGGTGAGGACGAGACGTCAAGGATGGCACCTGGGTTACGGACTTGGGTGACTAGGCTGTGACATTAACAGGGAAGTTAAAGGGGAAAGATTGAGGGGAAAGAGTGGAATGAGTTCCATTTTGGACATGCTGAGTTTAAGATGTCTATGGACATCCAGTTGAGATGAGTGGCTGGAAACAGGATACTGGAGAGGAATTAGGGCTGGACAAGTAGAGCTGAGTATCGTTAGCCCAGAGGTGGCTATTGATGGGAGCTGGTAAGACCAAAGAGGTCCAGGACAGAGCCCGGAGGGACACCCAGATTTGACCTGAATGAAGATAGCAAGGCAAACCTAAAAAAGCTTTCAGCCAGATGCAGAGAACACAGACCTGCAGCTCTTCATCATGGAACACATAAATGCAGAGAGAAAATCAGATCCTGACGTTGTCATCCCCAGGCAGTGAGGTTATTGAAGTTCCATATTTGGAGGACTCTGCTTTCCCAAAGGGGTCAGGGATGGGGCCAGTTCCCAGGGCACTCACAGGGCTCCCACCAGGACCACCCGTCCTAGGCAGGGGAGTGTGCAGGGAATGGGCCTCTCCTCCTGCAGGGTCCATGCCTCCTCTCTGTTCTTAGCGCTATCTTCTTCTTCTCTTCTTGATGACACCTTGTTCACCTTTCCAAACTAATCCATCTCCCTCTTGAGCCTCAGCCTGCTCCCACAACAGGGGTGTGTCTCTCCTCTGCTTCCCCTCTCACCCCAGGCCCTTATTTGGAACAAGAGGCCCAGACTCTTCCAATTTCCCTAGCAGAGACCAAGAGGGCCTTGGATGATGCCAGAGGGCCAAGATGATGGGTTGACCCCCTGCCTCTTTTCTTCTAAGCATCCTGATGCATTATGTCCTGGGAGGGTGCAAGTGTTTGGTGCTGGGTCACCGGCGCTTCAAGGCTTGGGTTCCTGAGGCTCCATCACCATCTGGCCTAATCTCAGGGTGGACAACTGGGGTCCTTCATCCTCACCACCGGTGACCTCAGCCCTGCAAGTCTCTTCCTGTGGATTCATGTCATCTGGTGTTTTTCTTTTGCAGCCTCATTGAATTCCCAGCCCCAAGCTCTCCTGACCTGTCTAGCGAGCAGCTCTTTGTGGAAAAGAGGGAGAGCCAGAACGTAATGCCCCAGGTGTCTGCCATCGCCTCCTACTCGAAGGGTTTTGCATGTTCAGCAGGACTGGGCAGAGTCCTGCTCTATGAGAAGATGGAGGAAAAGGATGCCTATCGGGAGAGTCGGGAGATCCGGGTAAGGAAAGGCCCCCGTCTGTGTACTCTTTAAGATTCCTTGGGAAAGGAGGGAGAAGGACAGCCCCCAGGATCCATACTGGGAGTTAGATTTGGATCCAGTGAACCTCAGAGGAGAGACGGCAGCAGAAGGAGTGTCTGCAAGAGGCTCTGGAGACCAGGGAGTATGGCAGCTCCCTGTAGGACCACTGTGGCCTAGACAGACTCCTGGATTCTTGAAGGCCACATCTGGAGGGTTCTACCAAGCTGGGTCCCACAAAAGAAGGTGTGCCTGTACTTGAAGGCCAAAGGGACGGATCCTCGATAAGCATTTAATAAGTGCCTACTGTGTGCTAAGTTCTGGGGGCAGTTTCTGCCTTCAGAGAGCTTACATTCTACTGGGAGGTAAACACAGTCACGTAAGAAGTAAAAATAAAACAGATACCAGATGGATAGAAGGAGAGTGCAGGGAAACCAACTGAGCCTATGCCCACCCCAGGAGCCCGATCTGGAGGTGATAGGATTCTGAGAGAACCTACCGGAAAGGTGGCGGGGGTGGCAGGGGGCAGAGGAGGGCACACCACCGCAGCGTCATCGCAGCTTCTGGCAGGCATCACCTGGGAGCAGCCCAGGGAGAGAGGAGAAGCCTGTGCTGGAGCATGGGTGGGACGGTGCCCTCCACTCCCCTACCCTGCCCTTGTCAGGGGAGGCAGGTGGTCCTTCCGTGGCAGCCATCCCAAACATCCTCATCTGTCCCCCAGCCTCCCAGCCGAGAACTTCATCATCCAATTGAAGGCCGCCCTCTCCAAAATCAGATCTGATGGCCTCTTCTGATCCGCAGCCTTCTCAGCCTCGGCAGCCTTTGATGCGTAGCTCACCCTCCCCTCCCAGACACTTTGTCCTCTCTGTTTGCTCTGATGACCCTGTTCCCTCCTGCCTGGATCTTCATCCAGGTCATGCCCAGTGGCTTTCCCTCGAGGGCCTGGTCTGGGCCCTCTGCCTCACTTGCTGCTGATCTCTTCAGCTCCCATGGATTCCGTTATCACATCAGCCCACGTGTCTGGTCACCTCTCTGCAGCCTTTGATGCTGCTAACCGCCCTTTCCACCTGGACGTTCTCTCCTCTAGGGTTCTCCTCCTCCCTGCCTGACCACTCCCTCCTTCTCCTCGCCAGTGCTGGGTCTTCATCCAGGCCTCTCTCTCTACCTTTGTGTGTCTCTCAGTTCAGGGCCCATTTCTCATCTCTCAGTACTCTCTTACATGGTAAGAACTTCTATGGATTTAACTATCATCTTTATGCAGATGACGGTCAGACCCATATCTCCAGCCCCAGTCTCTCTGCTAAGCTCTGGTCCCATATCACCAACTGCCATTTGGACAGTCAACACTGAATACCATGTAGACTACTCAAACTCACCCTGCTCAAAACGGAATTCATGTTTCTCCTTTGTTTTTAATGTTTTAATTAATATCTTTGGAAAACATTTTTATTTTAACTTTTATTTTATCTTCACACAAAATAGAAATTTTCATATATAGAATAGAACATGAAACTGCAGATCTCTGTTCTATACAGCTTGGTAGGTCAAAGCTGTCCTGCCTCTCTGTGCTTCCTGGCCTTCCTTCTGTTCCCTTCTCTGATTTTTCAAAAAGATTCCTCAATGACTATTTTTCCTTTTTTTCCCCCTTTTTAATTTTTGCCTCCCTGTTTGTTTCAATCTTTGCCCCTTGCACGAACAACAAAGCCCTTGTAGCGAATGTGCATAGTCAAGGAAAGCAAATCCCCTCTGTGGCCGTGTCTACAAATGTGAGTTTTCTTCTGCAGCTTGAGCCCATCACCTCTGTCAAGGGCTGGGGGAACGAGCTTCCTCGTCAGGCCTCTGTGCACTGGTCAGTGCCTGGTCAGAGTTCTCACCTCTTTCAGAGTTCTTTTTCCTTGTCTGTGGTCACTGTGTGACTTGTTATGGTTCTTCTCACTTGACTCTGCTTTAGTCTGTACGGGTTTTCCCAGGTTTCTCCAAAACCATCTGTTTTGTCACTTAGACGTTTCATTACATTCACATGCCGCAATTTCTTTAGCCATCTCCCGACAGATGGACGATGCACAGCTTAGTGACTCTCGGTGCATCATTCCAAGTTGCTTTCCAGAAGGGGTAGGCCAATTCACACCTCTCCTATTAGTACATTAGGTGATCTGTTTTCCCACAGTCCCTCCAGCATTAGTTGTATCCTGTTAACTTTACAAATCTGATGGGTCTGAGGTGGTACTCCAGAGTTGCTTTAATTTACATTTTTCTTAGTATTGGTGATTTGGAACATTTATCAATTGGGTAACAATTTTTATTCTTATAAATTTGAATCAGTATCATCTATGTCTTGGAAATGAGACCCTTATCAGAGGAACTTGCTGCAAAGATATTTTTCCAGTTAACTGTTTTCCTTCTGATTTTAATTATATTGGTTTTGTTTATACAAAATCTTTTAAATTTTATGTAATCAAAATTGTCCATTTTTTCTTCTGTGATACTCTCTCTACCCCTTTTTCGGTCACAAACTTTTCTCTTTTAAATAGATATGAAAGGCACTTGATTTCCCCCTTGCTCCTCTAATTTGTTTATGTTGTCCTCCTTCATATCTAATGCATCCATTAATAGACGATGAGACATGTTAGTCTCTACCTAATTTCTGCCAATTCTCGCAGCTGCTTTTACTAGTGAGTCCTTACTCCAGCTCCTGAGTTTATCAAGCACTAGGTAACTGTTTATTTGCTTCTTTATGTTCTGTAATATTCCACTGATCAACCACTCTATTTTTTTAACTAGGACCAAATAATTTTGATGATTAATGCTTCATAGGATGGTTTGAGATCTGGTACTGGTAGACCTTCTTCCTTCCCACTGTTTTTTTTTTTCGTTCTTTCCTTTGAGATTCTTAGCCTTTTGTTCTTCCAAATAAATTTCATTATTTTTTCTAGCTCTACAAAATAGTACTTTAGTACCTCGATTGGCTCAACACCAGAAAAGTACATTAGTTTATGTAGTGATTTTATTTTATTGGCCTAACTTCATAATAAGCAATTAATATTTTTACAATTATTTTGATCTGTTTTTATTTCTGTAGCTTTTGTTTTATAGTTATACTCATGTAGTTCCCATATGTGTCTTGGTAGATAGAGTCCCAAGCATTTTATTTCCGTCATTAATTTTAATGGAATTTCTATCTCTTCCTACTAGGTTTCTGGTAATTTACAGACATGTTAGTGATTTATGAGGGCTTGTTTTATATTTTGCGTTTGTGCTGAATGTGTTAATTTTTAGTTGCCTCTTCTGGTTTCTCTACATACACCATCATCGCATCTGCAGAAAAGCAATAGCTCCATTTCTTCTTTGCCTGTGTTTATTCATTTGATTTCTTTTTCTTATTGTGAGAGTGAGCATTTCTAGCACTGTATTAAATTGTAGTGACAGTAATGAGCATCCATCCTTGCTTTACCCTTATTCTTCATGGAAAGTCCTTAGATCATTTTCTATTACATATATTTAATCTTGGTTTTAGATATATGCTACTTACCCAATTAAGGAAAAATACATTTATTCCTATGCTTTCTAGTGTTTTTAACGGAAATAAGTATTAGATTTTGTCAAAATCTTTTCAGCATTTATGTACATAAAGTGTTTTTTGTTATTTTTCTTATTAACGTAATCTGTTATATTTATAATAAATTTTCCTTTTATTGAACCAAACCTGCATTTTTAGTAAAGATTCAGTAAGTAAGGTAAAGATTTAGTAAAGATTAGTGTATAGTCTTTTTAATATGATATTTTTGCCTCTTTGCTAAGATTTTATTTAAATTTTTCACATCAGTGTTCATTAGGGATGTTGGTCTACAGTTTTCTTTCTCTGCTTTGTTTCTCCCTGATTTAGGTATCAGGATCCTATTTGTATCATAGAAGGCACTTGGAAGATTTCCTTATTTTCCTATTTTGGCTAACAGTTTAGGTAATATTAAAATTAATTGTTCTTTAAATATTTGATAGTCCTAGAAGGTTTTTTTTTCTTTAGGATTTCACTAATAGCTTGTGAAATTTCTTTTTCTGCTTTGGTTATTTAAGTAATCTATTTCTTCTGTTAATCTGAGTATTTTATATTTTTTGCAAACATTTATCCATTTCACCTGAGTTATCAGTTTTATTGTCATGTTATCATAGTTGAGCAAAATAACTTGTGATAGTTTCCTTCATAATTTTTTTCAATGTTGTGAATTCTTTTTAAATTTTTGATATGAACAATTTGGTTTTCCTGTCTTTTTAAAAATTAAACCGGCTGTTTTATTTGTTTTCCCCAAGAAAAATGTTTCTAGATTTATTTATCTATTCAATGAAGCATTTTCTTTTTAATTTTGTTACTATTTTCTTTGATTTTTCAGAATTTATATTTTAGTGTTTAGTTGGAGGTTTTTGATTTGTTGCTTTTCTAGTTATGTTTTGTAGATGTGTGCTCAAAATCATTGATTTGTTCCTTCTCTCTTTTATTGATGAAAGGATTTAAAGATACAGATTTTCCACTAAGAATTTCTTTAGCTACATCCCATACATTTTGCTTTATATCTGATTGTTGTCATTTTCATTGATGAAATTTTCTGTTGTACCTGTGATTTGTTCTTTGACACACCAGTTCTTTAGAATTAAGTTATTTAGGCTCCAATTAATTTTTTTATTCTTTCTTCAGAGGCCCTTTACTGAATATAAATTGTATTGTAGTCAGTAAACAATATGCTTTGCTGCATTTGTGAGGTTTTTGTGATCTATCATCAGTTTTTGTAAAGGTACTGTGTGTAGCTGAGAAATGTACTTCTTTCTCTTCCCATTCTGAAGTTCTGTTCAAGTCCTTAAATTCTTTCTTGTTTATCTTTTTATTAGATTTGTCTAATTCCAGATACATGGCATGTAAATGGATTGGATTTGGGGTTAGAAGAGTGCATTGAGGTATCCCACAGTTACAGGGTTCTTTTTTCCTTTTTTTACAATTAATTTTTTTAATCAGCAAAAATCCTCTTCTCTCTCCCACCCATCCAGGCCTGTCTTTATAAAAAAAAGAAAAAATGAAACCCCTGTTACAAATATGTAGAGTTAAGCAAAACAGATTTCCGGGTTGACTCATCAAATAGGCTTTCATCATGCCCTTCAGTTGGGCGGAGGGCAGCATGGCGATGGGCAGTGGGTTTCATCATGGAACCTCTGGAATCATGGTTGGTCATTGCGCTGATCAGAGTTACCTGGCCCTTCTGTTGATCATCTCCAGTCTATTCCGTATATATCTTGTTTGGATAAACTTATTTGCGTATTGTCTTCCCCATTAGAGTGGGAGCCCCTCGAGGGCAGGGACTGTCTTTCCCCTTTCTTTGTATCCCCAGGGCTTAGCACAGTGCCTGGCACACAGTAGGCACTTAATAAATGCTTGTGGAGTGACCGATTGACCATCTCTGTGTGTTAGCTGTGGTGGTGGGAAGGGGTAGATCACAGGAAATGATTAAGCTGAGGAGTCGGAAGATTAGAGTACTTTGGGGAGTATCAACATGTCTGTTAAAGTTGGTGAGGAAAGACTGTGAGCCAGGCACTGAACTCTTGGATAGTGTCCTGGAGCTCTGTAGACAACAGCTCCTAGAAGCTTGATTAAATGATAGGCGTGGGGAGTGAAAAGGACAGGAGGAAATGGTCAGCTGGAGTAGTTTCAGCACTTAATGATATGTGTGGGTGTGCTTGGGGGGGTAGAGATACAGGTCTGGGGGTGGCAGATTAACTGAGAGGCCAGACTGAGGAGACACCAAAGGAGACTTGAAAGTCCTCGGGTATGAGAGCAGCAATGTGGTAACCCAGAGGAGCATGGTAGATGTCTTCAAGAAAGGCAGGGCAGCCCCAGAGCCTAGAACACAGGGGGTGAGAGTCCCTCTGTCCTGTGCCCTGGGCAGTCTGTATCTCTGGGGTTGTATTCAGTGCTAGGTAACTCAGGGTTTTTTTCCTCTATCTTGTTTTTGTTTTCTTGAGGATGTAAGGGGATACCCCAACAAGAATGAGAATTCAGCAAAAGCTGAAGGTCTGTAGTGCCTAAAAGACAAGATAGTGTAAGGCAAAGGAGAGAACCTTCAGATGGAAAACAGATTTCGCTCACCTTAGAAAGGATGGAAAGCTTGAATCCTTCAGTTCCCTGTGAACAAGCCTGCAATACAGTGAACTTGCCCTTCAGACCTTGCTCCTAATACACTACATTAGATTCCTCAGGAGTACTGGGATTGAAGCTGACTCACTCTACACCCATCACCCCAGGACAATGCAGAATGGTTTCTTGTGACCAAGGTGCTTTTGAGTCAAGATTTGGTTTATAGGAGAGGCATGCCTTTGCCCTTCTGGCTAGAGCTGAGCCTCTGAGGGAGTCCAAGGGAAAAGGTTTCTGCCTATCCTAAGCTAAAGGTCATTTCCCTAGCTGAAAGAGCTTTGCAGCATTCCAGATGAAAAGGGTACAGAAAAGGGCTCCAACTGAATGAATGCACAGTACCTCCAAGCTGAGCCAGTGGCCAAATGTGGAAAAGTACCAAAGACGTCTATTGAAGAGAGAGCCTAGGAGACCAGCAGATCACCCTGTGCAGGAGAGGTGCCATGTCCTGAGAAGGGCCGGCTATCGTTCAACCTGCCCAGTCCGGCAGCGGATGCCTAACAGTGGAACCGACCCTGGCCAGCAGCAGTGTGGCCTGCTCGGCCCAGTCCAGGAGCCGCTGAGCATGGCGGTGAGGAGGCAGTGCCGTCGGGGAGTGACCTGCTCCGCTGCACCCTAGCAAGAGCATCGGCTGAGCTGCCACTCCAGAGGATGCACCATGCCCTGCAAAGAGCCAGCCCTACTGAGCAGGATAGCAACAATTGAGAAGGTCTTTGGTGAAGACCTCTGAAGAGAGAGAGGACATTGAGGCCCACAGCCTTGTGCACAGGTTGTGCATTGCCTCGTGTTCCCTACGTATGTGTCTCCCTCTCACTGTGTTTTAGGTTTGTGCCTACTGTCTCCCCCACCCTTCTGCACTCTGTGTGTGTCTGTAGGGGAGGAAATGCTTTGTGACTGCTGTCACTGTGCACTTGAGTAAATGCCTTTGTTAAAGATCAGAGTCCGTTGGCTGGTGGTTAGGGCTCGTAAGCCAGCGTTTAGGAGGATAACCCCTCGATCCCTGTAGTAGACTCCACCTGCCGATGGAGGCATGAATGAATGATCAAACCCAAGGGGATGTTGCAAGGATATTGATCGGTTCCGGTGGAGGGCGGCTCGAGGAGAGCTGTCAGAACAGGAAAGGGCCCAAAGTCCGTGATTCCTAAGAATGGCTTTAAGGATGTGGGGATAGAGCCTGGAGAAGAGAACACTTGGGAGGAGGCTGACAGCCATCTTCAGGTACTGAAGTTTTGTCATGTGGAAGACATGGCTTGGCTCTAGAGGGCCCTGGGGGCAGTCCAGGCTCAATACCGTTAAGCCCTTCTCACACTGGGAGTGTTGGCTGCTTCTGGAGGGAGCCGGGTCCTCATTGCCTGAGGGCTTCCACCACTGGCCAGCTGACCCTTTGTCACATATGTTATTGAAAAGAGAATCCTCGTTCAGATGTGAGCTGGACTAGATGGCCACTGACGTTACTTCCAACCCTGAAGTTTTGTGATCGTCTGAACTTTCATGATATATGGAGTAGAGGGAAGGGACAGAGTGTTGAGTTGACAGCTGCATAGAGCTTGTATTGGGTTAGGAGTGACAGGTTTGAATAAATTGATGTGGTCACATTACAGTCATGAATCCCAGGAGTTTGAAAGTGATCCTCCAGGTGCTGGGGTGCCATTCGGTGGCCTTGGGCGTCGAGTAAGGGGCCGTAATGGACTATCACCTTATGGGTCAGAAGGTCGACATAATTAGCTTAAAGCAAAGGCATTTATTTACTGAAGCAAGGTAGCATGAACCCCTGCCCCGCACCTGGGGCCCACTCTCCCACATACTACACAGGGCATCGGTGGGGAAAAGGGCACCTCTCAGGCATTACAAGCAGCCGCCAGGGCTCCAGGCCCCAAGTACCCGATCTCTTCTCATGATAGACCCACTGCCCTGCTGGGCCCTCGGGGTCTCCAGTGGGCAGGTGGTTGCTCAGCTTAGCTCCCTGGCCTTCTCGTTCCTCACTCCTTCTGCAGAGGTGAAGGACTATGAGTGTGGCGCTGAGTGCTTTCCCTCCCTTTTCTTTATTACAGGGGATGTCTCTATGGGCAGGGATTGGGTTTTGTTTGTTTTTCTGGGAGGCAGTCAGGGTTAAATGACTGGCCCAGGGTCACACGCTACTGATTGTTTGAGGCTGGATTTGAACTCAGGTCCTCCTGACTCTCTATCCAATGTGCACCTAGCCACCCCAAGGGATGCGCTTTTTAACTAAAGGTAACGTGACAGCAAAAATCATCAATAAAAATTTAGAGAAGAAAAATGACCTCTTCAGACACAATTGGTTGGTTTGTTTTTCACCAGTGCCAGTGACTTCAGTGAGATTCCCCCCAAGGACATTTTAGAGAAAGTCTCCCAAAAGTGATTTCTCCAAGAATCCCAGCAGGAAATGGGAAAGCTCCCACTCCTCAGTCCTGCGTCATCTGCAGGAGAAGCGGAGCTCTTCTAAGGTGTCCTTAGCCCTCCCCAGGCCGGAGTGGGCCCAGCTGAAGCTACCAGGATGATCAGTGAGAACAGGCAGAGGAAATCATTTGTCAGCTGTGTGCGATGCTGGTCTCTGCCGTTATCCCATGGCGCAGAGAGGGCGGCGCTGGCCTGGAGTCGAGAAGATCTGAATTCAGATCTCACTTCTGACATTTAGTAGCCATGGGGACCTTGGCAGATCATGCCCCCTGACTCAGCCTCAGTCTCCTCATCTGTAAAATGGGAGGAATAGTAAGAGCTGTGGTTCAGGTAAAATGAGAAAATGCCTTTAAAACACCTGCAGAGTGTAGAACACTAGTGCTGACGTGAGGTCTCCTCCTTCCCCATGCGTCTGGTTGGCCCTGCAGATTCCCCTGGACCAGCACAGCAATGACCCGAGCCAGTCCGACAAGCAGGAGATCCTCTGTATGTGCTTCAGCCCTTCAGAGGAGACACTGATCGTCAGCACCGACAAAAACCAGCTGTACGGCATCACCATGTCCCTGACGGAGATCAGCAAGGTGAGGGAGGAGGGCCTGGGCTCAGGGTGGTCGTATCCCACCTGCCCTGCTCTCCACCAACACGACCAACCTTGGGCAAAGCCTGGCCTTAGTTTCCTTATCTGTAAAATGAGGGGGTCAAACTAGACATCCTCAAAAGCCCCTTCCAGCTCAGAATCCTAGAGTCTGGGAACTCTGTGAAAAGGAAGCATGCTCACCAGTTTCCCAAGTAATCCCCACATGGTGAAGTGTCCATATAACTTCTACACATACAGATGTCCCAAGTGACGAGCACTTATTAAACACTTCTGGTGTACAAGGTACAAGCACTTATTAAGCACCCGTGGTGCACCAGGTACTGGGACATAAAAAGGAACTTAAAGCATTTTTAGATGTTCCAAGGTCTGATGTGAAGTTTCTCCTCCATATGCCAGTCTCCCTCGTGTGTCCGTTCCTCCATATACCACTGCCTCTATGATTGTTTGGTAGCAGAAAGCCCAGGAGTCTCTGGCCTGGACTTCTACTTTCTCAGCATTATTTCCTCCCAGGGTAATGGCTTCCTGGCCTGTCCTGCCTGGGGTTTTACATGGGGAGCTGGGCAGGTGCCCACCTGTGAACCCTTGTGCGATTTCCCCAGGGGGAGCCTGCCCACTTTGAGTTTCTCATGTTCCCGCTGCACTCTGCGCCCATCACGGGCTGGCTACCTGCATCCGCAAGCCCCTTGTTGCTACATGTTCCCTGGACCGATCGGTGCGCGTCTGGAACTATGAGACCAAGTAAGAAAGAAAAGACCTGGAGAATGCGATGCTCACCTCACTGTCATCCTGCCCGGGTTATTTGGCGCCGGGCAGTGGCCACAAGGCAGCCTGGCACCCGGGAAAACCTCACCCTGAGCCCTGCCTTTGGCACACGCTGGCTGAGTGACTCTCACTTCTCAGGGCCCCAGGGCGTCTGAAACCATCCATCAGAGGAGGCACCGTTAGGCATGGACAAAGCCATGTCAGCACCCGTGCAGTCCCAAGTCCAGGCCAAGAAATAAGGTCAAGCCCGGGGATATAGAGATAAAAACTAGGAATCCCTGTCCTCAGGCTGTGGGAGAGGTGGAGCTGCCAGTGAGGGGGGCTGTGCTTTGGAGGAGAGCGATGGAGATACCCTTCCCCTTGTGTCCGCAGCAATCTGGAGCTGTACAAGGAGTACCAGGAGGAGGCCTCCACAGTCTCTCTTCACCCCTCTGGGCATTTTGCTGTGGTCGGTTTTGCTGACAAGCTGCGCATCATGAACCTGCTCATCAACGACATCCGAGCATTCAAGGAGTTCCCCATCCGGGGGTGCCGAGAGGTGAGAGCTGCCGGGAGAGCCGGGGCAGAGCCGGGTGTCCTGGGAAGTGCAGGGTCCTTCTGAGAGGGTGCCCAGCCTCTGCTCGAAGACTCCTGGGGGTGGGGAGTTCACTCTCTCCTACAGCCCGAGGCACCCACTTCCTTGAGGACAGCTCTGCTTGCTAGGGGTATTTCCTTTCCGTGACTAAAGCTCAGCTGTGTGCCATACAGTTTGTGATCCATTTCTTCTGTCTGCCCAGGTTCAATGATAAAGTCACTTCTCTGTCCCTCTGTTGGTCTTCACACAAATCTTCTCCACCATGCTTCCCCCTGCCTCTTATTCCTGGATTTCCTCCCATGACTCACCTTCTTAATGTCTGATGTGCCTGACACCCATCCTGCCCCCTTTAATGATGGCATGACTGCCCGGAGATCTCTAGGACCAGAACAGAGGCCAGAGTAAACAGCTTGACTCCCACTCACTGATGGAAGGCTTCCAGCCTCTCCTCTTACTGCCCCCCAAAGTGGACCAGAGCCAGGAACATCCCCAAGACTCCTTGGGAGAACCAGCCCCAGGCGTGGAGTCAAGGGGGCCCTGACCAGGAGTCAGGGGCAAGTGAGGGGATCTTCAAAGCTGTGCCGGGGGGTGGGGTTGGTGAGCACAGATGAGGCAGTGAGGGAAACATTGTCTGTCACAGACTGCCCTCCCTGGCCAGCCTGGCAGGCGAAATGTGTGCTGTAGTCATGCCACCTGCCCCCGGCCCTGATGTAGTTGTCACTGGACTTCAAAGACCTGGAGCTGTCTGCAGGCCCTCCCCGGTGCTCACACATCTCTCTCTCCCCAATCACTCTGTAGTGCGCCTTTAGTAATGGAGGTCACCTGTTTGCCGCTGTCAATGGGAACGTGATCCACATCTATACCTCGACCAGCCTGGAGAACATCACTAACCTGAAGGGACACACAGGGAAGGTGAGTGCGGCCAGGTGTGGAGGAGGGGCGCCTGGTGGTGCAGCCAGCATAGGCTCTAGGGATCTCCCCCACCCCATACCTGTGTGCACGTGTGCACATGCCATGCTTAGCGGGCCCAAGATGAGCATCATGCACCCTTTGGGCTGCCAGGTGACGAGAGTGACTCACTGAGTCAGAGGGAGCTTCAGAGGCTGATACCTGAGCCCAAATCCCTCCATAATATCCATGACCAATGTGCGTCCAGCCCCTGCTTGGAGACTTCCAGGGAGGCACGCTTCCCCATCTCTCGTGGTAGCCCCCCCCCTTTATTAAGTACCTACTAGGTGCCAGGCCCCTTTCCAAGGGCTGGGGATATAAAGAGAGGCAGAAGACGGTCCCTGCCCCCCAGGACCTCATAATCAAACAGGAGAGACCATATGCAAACAAACATATACGGATTGGTTGTAGACAGGATAAACAGGCAAGAAGGCATCAGAATTAAGAGGAGCTGAGAAAGGCTTCCTGTGGAACATGGGTGGAGATGGTCCTGTGGCCCTGGACTCTGATGAAGCCACATCTAGGTTACTGGCTACAGTTCTGGGCATGAGTTAGGAAGGAGAAGGAAGGCTGCCCGGGGGCAAGGGGCCGCGAGTCCATGCCAAATGGAGATCGGGTGAAGGCCCTGGGGATGTGGACCATGGAGAAGAGAACACTCGTGCCACCTTACCCAAGCAGGCAGAACCTGCCACGGTGGGGCAGGGAGTTTGGGGAAGCCCAGCTTAGCTTAGGTGTCGGGAAAACTTCCCACAACAAAAACTGTTACACAAGGAATGGCTTTCTGGGTTGGAAAAGGACAGGGATTTGAAGAGAAATCTGGACAAAGTTTAAAAAGTTATCACTTAAAATATATTTGGGAGAAAGTTTTGCATCTATAAATGAAAACTGTGCAAACACTCCTTTACATTTCGTTTACTACCTTAACACCTCCTCATCTCTATCATAATCTTCCCTTTTCAATAGTTGCATCAGCTGGACTGGAGGAGGAGGGAAATGCGATGGTCAGAACATGCACACACACGCGCTTTTAATACCTCACTAAGGGTGCCCCTGACACGTGTACTAAACATTTTCCATCGATAGGAGAGTAGACTCATAAGTTACCAGGTTTTATGTTCCTTTGTTTGCCTTTCAGTGGTATTGATCAAGCCTGAGATTCCCCCCCACACACACACTTTTGGTGTCTCCCCTTCTCTCAGATATGGTCTGAACGAAGCCCTCGGTGACCTAACGGTTCTTTCTCTGCTGGACCTAGTCCAGCAGCTCTCCCTGTTTTCTCTTTATTGCGTTCCCAGACTCCTCCACCAACACTTCCACAACTGGGCCGCTCCCAGTCCTAGAGCCGTGAGTTCTCTGCCCTTTATGGAGAAGCAAGATGCCATATTGCAGAACTTTTATTCATTGTTTCCCTTCCGTTTTCATCCGTAAATGTCCTGGGGATGACTTTCCCTTTGGCGGTCTCAGCAATATTTTCTTCCTCCTGTTTTCCTTGCTGCTTCTCTCTGTTTGATGAGGCCATCTCCGATGTCCATCGTCCTCGTCTATAGGATTTTACCAAGAAAGTTTCCTTCCTAAACTGGCCTTGCCCTTGGCTGCTTTATCTCTGCGCTTGGCAGACAAGTCAAACATTTGCCAACTAAGGCAGCTTTTAGACTCTTTTGGTATTTTCATTACAGCAATTGGTTTGTATCAGTTAAACTTTTATTTCTTTGTGTGTGTATAGGTTGTATGTTCCAAAGACCCCTTGTGGGTGGGCAGGGTCTCATTTTTTTTTATGCCCCCCAATGCTTTGCACATAATAAGGGCTCAATAAATGTTGGCTAAACTGAATTCTTCAAGCCTATAGCACTTCATCAGGATTGATCTTTGCTCTCTTCCAGATCAAGTCAGTTGCGTGGAATTTGGATGACAGCAAGCTGCTTTCCTGTGGCACGGAAGGTGCTGTATATGAGTGGAACCTCTCCTCGGGGAAGAGGGAGACTGAGTGCGTGCTCAAATCCTGCAGCTACCACTGTGTGGGTGTCTCTCCTGACTCTAAAATCATTCTTGCTGTTGGATCTGACCAGACCCTCAAGGAGATTGCAGACTCTTCAGTAAGCAAGACCACGACATAGGGAGAAGGGCGGGGTAGAACCAAAGGAGCAGGGTACTAGCTGGTATTGTGGATGAAAATCTCAGATTGGAAATCTCTTCAGAGGGTTCCCGTAAGTGCATAAGGCACCCCAAATATATCCCAGATAAAACCTGTATAGTATAGCACACCCTCTTGAACTATCCTCTCTCAACTCACACTTGCAGGTTCAAGGTACTCTATTGGGGCAGCAGTCCTAAAAATATAACTCGTGAGCCCCCACCAACGTGTTTACCTTTAATAATTGGCTGGATGACACAGTTGGCTCAAAATAAAATATTTACTGAAATGGCATAGCATGAAAAATAGGAACAAATCATTCCCTCCTTAAACCTGGGTCACTGTCTTCCCATCCCACACAGCATCAGTGGGAAGAAGAGACACACATATGGAATATAAGAATAGAGAGGTGCCAAAAAAAAAGAATAGAGAGGTGCCTGTGCAGGAAGCTTACCCCTCTGACTACAGGAACACACTGTTCTTTCCTTCTGACAGTGTCTTCGTGAGGTTCCCCCTGAGTGTGGTATCTCTGCTTGGCAGGTCATTGAGCTGAGATTCCTGAGCTCAGTGCCTGCTTGCCAGGGCTAACTCTCTCCAAATTCACAAAGCCCCTCCAGTCTCATGCCTTGATTCGCAAAGGCCTACTCCACTCTGGGTGAAGAGACTAAGAGAATAAACATTTATTAAACACCTGCTGTGTGCCAGGCACTATGCTAAGTGCTTTCCAAATATGATCTCACTTGATCCTCATGACAACCCTGACAATGAGGTGATAGAGACGTAGGTGCTATTATTATCCCCATTTTACAGTTAAGGAAATTGAGGCAGACAGAGGTTTAATGACTTTCCCAAAGTCATATTACAACTAGGAAGTATCTGATGCTGGATTCAACTCAGGTTTTCCTGACTCCAGGCCCAGCACTCTATCCACTGCACCACCTAGTTTCTCCTACTGAGCAATTAGTTCACCTACGAGACAGCACAACTGATGGGATATAAAGAGGAGAACTCCCATGGCCCCCACCCAAAGGGTGAGGAACAACTCTTTATCAAGAGCTGGCTTCTTCTATAGCTGACTCTGTTCTTTGATGCCAGAAGTCATACTTTTCAGAGCTGATTTCTTAACTTGACCGATTCCTTAGAGCACATCTTTCTATTTAAGGGCAACCAGGGGCATGGCCCATCCCTGAGCTGGTCAATAGCTGCCTTCTTGCTTCCATTGTAGAATGTATGGGGTGTCCAGGGAGGACTACACCTCTGGTGTGAGGGCTTACCGAGCCCTTTTCAGGGCTACTCATCCACTTTTGGTGTTCACCTGCCACCCAGCTCTCACCTGTGGCTCCGAGAAGCTGTAGCATGTGCAGCGGCCACACCCCAGTAAAATCATCCCTGCAGATGGGCTAAACCAGGTTGAGGGTTCCCAACAGGCCTCCATCTACTGGTGAGGTAAGGAGGCATGTGCCCCAAGCACATGAAGACTTCCCACAGTGGGATGGGCGGATGAGAACATTTTGTTTCAATGGCCCATGAAGGTGGATGAAGCAGGCACCATGGAGCTCTTAGAGCATGGTCAGACGCCAGAGACGCCAAGGTCATCCGCCGCATCCAGAGCCCTCGTCAGTCATCTGGACTTTTATCTTGCCATTGGGCCCCAGTGATTGGAAGAGAGAGCAAGGCTGATGATTTCACACAACACTGCCTCACTTAAATCCAATTTATGCTCGAGTTGAAAGACATCAGTTACATCATTTTACTGTTTCATTATTTTATTATTTTACTATTCAGTAAGTTTTACAATTTTATAATTTTGTTATTTTACTATTTTATTATTTGTTATTTTACTTTGTTATTATTTTACTGTCTTACTGTTTTACCTACCTCAAAGTCCTGTGGCAACAGGCTGGTGACAGAGCAGCAGGTGCAGATACACTGGGAGCTGCAGTCGCAATCCTGCACACGGGTGGCCCAGGCCGTAGGGTCGTCTTCTCACTGGACCAAAGCAGCAGTGGGATTCGGCAGCCCCCTGGGTGTTTGAGTAGCCTTTTAAGGACCACACTGCTCACCTCCTGGCATGAGGAAGGGGCTAGAGAAGATGCCCTAAAAATTGTCTGGTTCACTTAACCCTGGCCTGTTCACCTTGAAAGGTGGAGATCCCACCCTCCCATCAAAACGCAAAAACTACAAAAACTTTTGTGACGATTATTCCACTCACCACTGGTACATGGAATGTTCACACATTTATGGGTGACATGAAATCCATTAGAACTGAAAGACAAAAGCTCTTATTTCAAGAGAACTTGGCAAGTATCACATCCAAATAGCATCCCTGAGTTAAATAAGTCTGTCAAATGAAGGCCAGCTTACCGAAGTCGGAGCTGGATACATATTTTTCTGGAGTGGCCACAGTGATGGTAGCACCGTGAGGCTGGCATAGGTCTTGCAATAAAAGCTGATCTAGTCAGTGAGTTTATATACCCACCAAAAGGATTGACAGGCTGGTGACAATGCGATTGCCACTTGCAGGAAAGTACCACACCACCATCATCAGTGCGTGTGTTCTCACCATGACAAACCCTGATGAGGTCAAAGAAAAATTTATGAAGACCTGGAGACCCTCATCATCAGTGGGCTGAACGAGGTCTATAATCCTGGGTGACTAATGCCAGAGTAGGCACAGACTATCAAACATGGTAGGGAGTCCTTGGGAGGAATGGAGTCAGCAACAGCCACTTACCATTGAAGTCGTGCATTTCGTGACCTTCTCATCACCAACACCGTCTTCCATTTACCTAAATGCAACAAAACTTCATGGATGCACCCTCAGAACAAACATTAGTATTTAACAGACTATGTCATTGTAAGAAGAGATAGACAGGATGTGAGAGTGGTGAAGGTAATGCAGCCATGCAGCTAACCTCCAAGCTGATATTAGCTTAGAGAACTGATCCTCTCCAAGCTAAACATTTGCATTCAACCAAAGCCGTGGCCCCAAGGCATGAAAACTATTGGAAGACTCAACGATAACAGATTAGGGCACTTTTCCCTGTGTGAACAGTTTGTTACTGGCTTGGAGGGACAGCTGAGCCAATACCCATTTACTCCTCTGGGCCAAAACGTTGACAAACATCAGTTTTGGTTTAATGAAAATGATGGGGAGATCCAAAAGCTACTGAATGAAAAACGAGAACTCTACAGGGTCAGCCGGCAGGATAGTTTGTCCATCTCTAAAATGGCAGCATTTAACTCCAAGAGCAAAGTGCAGGCAAAGCTTAGAGAGATGCGGGATTCTTGGCCCAGTAAGAAGGCAAATGAAATTCAGCTTTGTGCTGATAGTAACAATCCAAAGTTCTTTTATGATGCCCTGAAGGACTGACTATTCCATGCTGATGGAGCCACACAGATTAGTGATAAGGATATGATCCTGGAGAGATGGGCTGAACGCTTCCATAGTGTTCTCAACAGACCTTCATCAGCCAATTCTGAAGCCATTGACCGTACAACCTCAGGTTGATGTCAGTCTCTCTCTAGCCGAGCTTCCAGCTGAAGAAGAGGTTTTGAGTGCCATTAGGCTGCTCTCATATGGCAGAGTACCTGGTGCTGATTCCGTTCCAGCAGAGATCCCCAAGGTAGGGAGTCCAATGCTCATGCAAAAACTGATGGAAATCTTTGAGGTTATCCCCCAGGAGTTCAAGGATGCCTCCATTGTCCATGTATATGAAGGGGAAAAAAATAGGTTGTCCTGTGACAACCACAGGAGGGTCTCTTTCTTTGTCACTGCTAGCAGAATTCTAGCCATAGTCCTCTTTAATCAGCTAATCCTTCACCTGAAAGATAGTCATCTACCTGAGAGCCAGTGTAGCTTCAGAAAGGGCTGAGGAATAGTCAACATGGTGTTTGCCACCCAACAACTCCAGGCAAAATGCCAGGAATGGAACAGAGGTCTATATACGATGTTTGTCAGTCTAACCAAGGCCTTCAGTATTGTCAGTCAAGAGAGAAAATCGTGGCAAAATTTGGTTGCCAGAGAAGTTCATCAGTATGGTACGCCAGTTTCATGATGAGATGCTTGCCTGGGTTCTAGATAATGGACGATGCTCTTGTGTGTTCTCAGTCACCAGTGGAGTGAAGTAAGGCAGTGTGCTTGGTCCCATGCTTTGTTAGCATGTGTTTTCTGCAGTGTTGTTGGAAGCCTTCAGTGAGGACAGAAAAATGGTGTCAAGGTCAAGTACTGCCCTGACAGTAAATGATTTAACTTGAAAAGGCAACAAGCCAAAACTAAAGTGGAGGGATAGTTGGTGTGTGACTTTTTGCTTGCCGATGACTGTATGCTCATGTAGCCTCTGAAGCTGAGATGCAACAAAGTATGGATAGATTCACTGCCACTTATGCTAATTTTGGCCTGACAGTTAACAATAAGAAAACAGAGATTCTTCCCTAGCCAGCACCATAACATCTATATGTGGAACTGTCAGTTACAGCAAATGGAGACGTGTTGAATACTATGGACAAGTTTACTTACCTTAGCAGTATACTTTCCAGGGATGTTCACACAGACAATGAGCTCGATGCATAAATTGCCAAAGCTGTCTCAGTGCTTGGGAGGCTCTGAAGGAAAGTGTGGGAGAGAAGAGGTATTAGACTGACTACCAAGCTGAAGGTCTGCAGAGCCGTAGTGCTGACCTTGTTTGCCTGGGAAACCTGGACAGTCTACCAGCACCATGCCAGGAAACTGAGTCACTTCCCTTTGAACTGTCTTAGGAAGATTCTGGAGATTACCTGGCATGATAAGGTATCGGGCTCTGAGGTCCTCTCTTGAGCTAAACTGCCAAGCATTCAGACTGCAGAGAGTGCAGCTGCGATGGGTTGGACAGGATGCTCAGATGCCTGCTCCAGCTGCCTTCATGGCCATTGGAAGAAATTGTTCTCATCTGCCCATTCCACTGGGGGAAGTCTTCACATGTTTGGGGTAGACACCCCTCCAGCTCATCAATGGGTCTGAGGCCTGTCAGTTATCCTCAACCTGCTTTAGAATACAAATACAAGCAGGAAGACAGTCCTTGCCTTCAGTACTTTACCTTCTAATAGAGAAAGCAGCATATCGAAAAAAATTGAAAGGAGTGTGGGGATGGAGGGAGAAATGAAGGTCCCCAGCTCAGGGACACAGGCTAGAAAGCAGAAGCAGGCAGTCAGGGGTGCAGCCCGGAGAGGAATGTGCTGGCTGGCCTAGGCCTCCCCCTTAAAAATGGAGTTTCTGGGAGGAACCAGCCAATTGGAGAGAGGGCCCACAGAGAAGGAGATCATTTCCAGGGTGTGAAGCCCAGAGCTGGAGGGAGCTGGCAGGGCAGAAAGGTTTCTGGAGGCGTCTGTAGAGAGAGTCCAGGAGTAGAGTGGAGACGGTGGCCTGGAGAGGATGGTGGTGCTTTCAACAGTCACTGGAAAATTGAGAAGAGAAGAGGGCGTGGGGGGAAGGATGATGAGGTCAGTTCTGGATATGTTGGGTTTCAGATGACCACGGGACATCCAGTTTGAGCTGTCCAATAATCAGTTAGTGGGGTAGGACTGGAACTCAGAAGAGAGGGAGGGCCGGACAGATTGATGGATAGATATGAAAGTCATCTGCTTAGAGATGAAAATTGAGTCCATGGAAGCTGATGAAGTCACCAAGGGAGAGGTAGAGAGGAGGAAAGAGGATCAGGACAGAGCCTGGGGCTCACCCACAGTTAGGAGCCGTCTCGCAGGTGGGGGGGGGGACAGCAGAGGGTTGCTGTGTCTTCTCTAGAACAGAATTTTCTGACTCTTCCTCTTCTTTCTCCTTCTCCTGCTGCCTGACTTTAGACTCTGTGTCACTGAGCAGACATTTGTCACACACCGGCAGCGTGTGGAGGGCTAGAGTCAGGAGAAGGGAACCAAGATTCAGCGGCTGGCACCAGCCCTCTAGGGTTTACTGCCTCATGTTGGCCACCACTACCTGCCAAGGGCAGAGTTGGTGCCTGTCGGAGGAGGAGGAGTCTGGCTATGGTGCGGATGGCCTGCAGCAGATGCACGCCTGGGGACGCTGCCACGGCGGGATGCCCCCGCGGGGTCAGCCCCTGAGCAGAGCTTTCTGTGTCCCAGGTGCTTCGGGAAGTGTCTGCCTTCGATGTCACCTACACAGCCCTAGTCATCTCCCACTCGGGGCGTATGGTGTTTGTTGGCACCTCGATGGGCACCATCCGATCCATGAAGTATCCCCTGCCCTTGCACAAGGAGTTCAATGAGTACCAGGCACATGCTGGGCCTGTCACAAAGGTAAGAGGGGCCCTCCTGCCCTCCCCTCCTCAACTCTCCCATCCCTCTTTGGCCCACTTCCCATGAAGAAAGGCTCAGGGTAGTAAAGATTTAAACAGCTGTTCAGGTGTCTTTTAATGCCAAAGAAGTGTTTGTTTGTTTTTTTGGATAAGGCAGTTAGGGTTAAGTGACTTGCCCAGGGTCACACAGCTAGTAAATGTCAAGTGTCTGAGGCTAGATTTGAACTCAGGTCCTCCTGACTTCAGGGCCGGTGCTCTATCAACTGCATCACCTAGCTGCTCCTAATGCCAAAGAAATGTTAAGAGGCTTCAAAGGACTCATGGCGATCTTCCCTTCTGATTACCATAGGACGGCTGAGAACAAGACACAGGAGCCCTAACGGGGCAGCACCTGGCCTCTCAGATTGCAGGGAGTGATGCAGGGAGTGGGGTGTTAGAGACCCCCAGTGGGATGGCACCGGCTTCCAAGCTGGGCTTCAAGACTTCCTCATGGGACAGCACTGTCTCTCTCCGTGGGGTTAGAGATGCCCTAATGGGCTGGCAGGGCCTGAGGGTGTGCAGCCAAGGAAAGGGACCGATGATTAGTGAGCGCTGTGCCTAACGTGGATTCATGAGTTAGGACTAATGTCCCCGTGGACATGAGGGTGGGCCACCATGGGGCATGAGCTGCTGAGCTGCTGCTGCTCCTTTGGAGCTGACCAGCCCTGAGTGAAGCCCACTGGACGGTCAGTCTGGGATGGCCATACATACTTGGGAACGCTTTTCTTTCTGGCTTCCAAAGAGGATATTCCCTCATTTAGAGATAAGAAGCTGAAGAAAGGCCACTGAGAGCCCTGTCCCCCCCTTTCCTCGATTGGTGCTCTGGACAGGACTTGCCTTGTCAGGCAAAGGTCGGGGCATGTCCTGTTTTTCTAGGAGAGATTTAAGGCTGGGCGTGGCTGAGAAGTGTGGCCTCCACTGCCCTTGTAGACCCTGATCCACATGACCTCTTCGTTCCCAACGCTTCCATCCTTAGATGGCCATTACATTCGATGACCAGTTCCTGCTGACCAGCGCTGAGGATGGCTGCCTCATCACCTGGAAGGTCTATGATAAGGACGGCCGGGGTGTCAAGAGGGAGCGGGAAGTGGGCTATGCCGAGGAGGTGCTGGTCACTAAGACGGACATGGAAGAGAAGGTGAGGGCTGGGCTCGGCTCTCCACCGTTTGTCCCTTGGGCACACTCCTGGCCCATTCCTGGGGGGTAGAGGGTCAGTGCACGCGCGCGAGCCCACTGCAGGAGGACATGGCAGCCCCCCAGGAGCTAGGCTTTCATTGGCGTGAGCATCCCCGCTGGGGTCTCCTTGTTGGTGAGTGCAGACCCTCACAAGCTGGCCAGAGGCAACGCAGAGACAACCCTCTATGGCTCTGCCCGAATAGGCAGGGCGTCCTGGGGCCAGATTGACTGGCTTGGGAGAGCTGATGGTTCAGTGGTTAGTGTGAGCATTTACACCAAATCTATGAATCAGGGCTGGATTTACCGTTTTGTTGTTTATTTAGATTTGAGAAAGTAGTATGTATGTATGTATGTATGTATGTATGTATCTTTCTATCTATACACATGTATATACATACACATATACATATGTAGCATGTGTACAGGTGGGGGGTGTGTGTGTAAACTGTGTCAGAAAGAGCCTGAGCACCTTCTCTGAAATTTCCAAGATCTTCAGGTGCCAGAGAGAAGTGGAAATTTCGGAAGCTAAACATGTTCTGTAAAGGCAGTATCAAAAGGTCATGTTACGCTGTAGTGGGGAATTTAAAACAGAGAGAGTGGCTGCTTTATGATGAGCTTGTGTGAGCCACATGTGGAGGCTGCCCCAAACAGGGGATCTCACTCGTCCTGGGCATCCAGGGCCCAGACTCAGCTACTTTTGAACCGCCACCGACACTGTGGGCACACAGACGGCAAGCACACCGGGAGAGGCCCGGCAGAAAAAGAAGGCAAGGCCGTACCTGGGCTGGGCAGGACTCCCAGGGGGACGCAGAGTGGTGGTGGTTGCTAGATGGCTCCCATCAAGATGGTGGGACGCTCAGACCCTATGCTCAGGAATGGGTGTGGATGTTGACGAGACAGATCCCCCCCTTTTCCCAAGACACTTGGAAAGGAAAACTGGAAAGAACCTCCTTGCAAGTTTGCAGTGGAAGGAAAATAGAAAAATTTGTTTTGCTTAACTATTCATATTTTTTACAAGTGTTTGGCTTGGGTTGCTTTTTTCCCTTGGAGTGGGAGGGAGGGAAAATAAATGCTTGTTAAATGAAAAAATATTTTTAATAATAAATGAAAAAATAATTTTGAAAGAACCAGTCCCTGTGATGCCAAGAAACCTGTCTCCCTTTTTGGAAGCACATCAATGAAAGCAGCTGTCAAAGGAAGGCACTGAATGTCATTTGTACCGTGGCCCCAGCCTTAGGCCAGTTTTCCCATCCTTTATTAGATGTAAGGCTGTGTTCTGTGGGAACACGTGCTGGGGCTCGGGCTGGGGTAAAGCAGCCAAACAGTCCGTGTCAGTGAACTCAAACATTCTGCAGGACATAGGAGGGGAATCTTTGAAGAGGTGGGACCTTTCCTTGCTTTCATTCCATTCCACGCCCAGTCCCCCAGAGTGCCTATGTACAGAGTGTGAGGTTCTGTGCCTGGGGGGTTCAGGGGTCATTCTGCTCCAGCCTCAGGGCCTCACTTCCTGAACACCTGCCGTGTGCCAGGCCCTGAGCCGGACCCTGAGAAGGACCCAGAAAGAAACCGTCCCAGGTAGAGCTTACCGTCAGTCTGGTGCGGGGGAGAAGGAGGGAGGAAACCATCTCATGAGAAGATAGCGGAGGAGGGGAATAGATCCACAGAAGAGGGCACCTGGGTGTGGGTGAGGTGAAGCACAGATAGATGCGCCCAGGCCGGCTCACCCGCTGCTCCAAGCCTTCAGTGTTGGGCACCCGCTGCCCCTGAAGCTGGGGGCAAGGCTTGCTGACACAAAACAGGTCCCTCCCCTTAGGGCCCCTGCCGGTGCAGATCCTCCTAGCACCGCACTCTTTCCCTCCGCAGGCCCAGATCATGCTGGAGCTGAAGACGCGAGTGGAAGAGCTGAAGATGGAGAATGAGTACCAGCTGCGGCTGAAGGACATGAACTACACTGAGAAGATCAAGGACCTAACGGACAAGTTCATCCAGGAGATGGAGTCTCTGAAGACCAAGAACCAGGTGAGTCATTGTGGCCGCCCGCCACCCGTCCAGCGCCCTTCCTGGGCAGGGAGGGAGGAGTGTGGGCGTCACTGTTCCAAAACCCCTTGGTCCTAGAGCCAGAGGAGATGAAACCGGGGTGGGGGGGGAGCGGCTCAGATCCAAAGGGTTGGAGAATATGAGGGCATCTAGAACCCACTCTAGAACAGGTGACAAGGACAGACAGGGCATGTATTAATCACTTACTGTGTGCCAGGTTAAGCTGTGATGAGCACTGAAGATACAAAAACAAGGAACTTGCCACCCCTAAAGAGAGGTGGAAAGTGGGGGAGAGGAGACTTGGAAACCCCTTTTTGGAATGACGTTGGAAGATCACCTCTGGTACTCACAGCAGCACTCTTTTTAATAAGCATTTACATCATGCCTACTGTGTGCGAGGCACACTGCTAAGCACTTTACACTCTCACTTGATCCTCACAACCACCCAGGCTGCAAAAAAAACCACGCAGAACAGGCTTGGGGAGCAGACACCTGCCAGATAGGCTTCATGTCTGTAAGCCACAATGAAAAGCAAACCACCAGAGTCAGAGCTGTGAAAAGCACAAAGTGAAAAGTCCCACCTGCCTCACAAACCAGCTGCTAGAGGGCTGAGAAGCAAAGACTTTGGGGGACTGAAACTGGATCCTCTCCGCAAAGCTGTGAAGTGGTGGATTCCAAGGAGACCTATCAATACTGGCTCACCAGCAGAGTATGCAAAGCGTCCCATATTTATTACCAGAGCCCAGGTCATAGTTCCAGGGTGGAGAGGGATGCTTATGGTAACCCATGGGGGAGTAGGGACCCTGGTCTCAATTCCAACAAATCCGGCCTCATACACATAACACTTACTAGCTGTATGACCCTGGGCAAGTCACTTAACCCCATTGCCTAGCTAAAAAAAAAAAAGAAAAGAAACAATAAAATGAAAAAAATAGAAAAAATGTGAACTATCTTATTGGAAAAACAAGAGGGGTTCACTAGCAATTACAGCTGCAGGGGAGCAGGGACCCTGGTCACAGTTCCAGGGTGGAAAAGAATGTTTGTGACCACTCACAGACCAGAGCACAGACCAGGAAAGTATTAAACACACTGCTTCTTGGATCATACTACCTTGGAAGAACAGAAAACTTACAGACCCCCAGAACTAGCTCTGAAAGCATCTCCACAAAAAATCTGAAGCTTGGGACAGTGGCCCTTGCACCCAGGGAACAGAGCCCAACTGTAACATAAAGTTAAAAGTCAAGATGTAGGTGGAAAAATGAGCAAACAACAAAAGAACCTGACCATAGAAAATTACCGTGGTGACAGGGAAGATCAAAGCAAAAAACTCAGAAGGCAACAAAATCAAAGCTGCTACATCCAAAGCCTCGAAGAAAAACGTGAATTGATCTCAAGCCCAAGCAATAAATTCCCTGAAGACCTCGAAAAGGATTTTTAAAAATCAAATAAGGAAGGTAAAGGAAAAGTTGGGAGAAGAAATGAGACTGGTGCAAGAAAATCATGAACAAAAGAGTTAACAGTTTGATAAAGGGGGCACAAAAGATACTGAAGAAAATAACACCTTAAAAAACCAGAATAGGCCAAATGGAAAAAGAGGCACAAAAATTCACTAAAGAGAACTCCTTAAAAAGTAGAATTGGCCAGGGGAAGCTAGGTGGCGCAATGGATAGAGCACCGGCCCTGAAGACATGAGGACCTGAGTTCAAATCCAGCCTCAGACCAAACACTTGACACTTACTGGCTGTGTGACCCTGGGCAAGTCACTTAACCCCAATTGCCAAAAAAAAAAAAAGAAAAAAAGAAAAAGTAGAATTGGCCAAATGGAAAAGGAGGTACAAAAGCTAATTCCTTAAAAATTAGAATTGGGCAAATAAAAACTAATGACTCTAGGAGACATCAAGAAACAATAAAACAAGGGGCATCTAGGTGGCACAGTGGATAGAGCACTGGCCCTGAAGTCAGGAAGACCTGAGTTCAAATCTGGCCTCATACACATAACACTTACTAGCTGTATGACCCTGGGCAAGTCACTTAACCCCATTGCCTAGCTAAAAAAAAAAAAGAAAGAAACAATAAAATAAAATGAAAAAAATAGAAAAAATGTGAACTATCTTATTGGAAAAACAACTGACCTGGAAAATAGATCAAGGAGAGATAATTTAAGAATTTTTATTGTACTATCTAAAAGCCATGATTAAAAAAAAGAGCCAAGGGGCGGCTAGGTGGCGCAGTGGATAGAGCACTGGCTCTGGAGTCAGGAAGACCTGAGTTCAAATCCAGCCTCAGACACATGACACTTACTAGCTGTGTGACCCTGGGCAAATCACTTAACCCGAATCGCCTCCTCAAAAAAAGAAAAAAAAAAGAAAGAAATTATCAGGGAATACTGCCATGATATTCTAGAACCAGAGGGTAAAATAGAAATTGAAAGAATCCACTGATTGCCTCCTAAAAGAGATCCCAAAATAAAAACTCCCATGAATATTATAGCCAAATTCCATAGCTCCCAGGTCAAGGAGAAAATATTGCAAGTAGCCAGAAAGAAGCAATTCAAATATCATGGAGCCACAGTAAAGATAACAGAAGATTTAGCAGTTTCTACATTAAGAGATAGGAGGTCTTGGAATATGATATTCTGGATGGTAAAGAAGCTAAGATTTCAAACAGGAATCACCTACCCAGCAAAACTGAGTATAATTTATCAGGGGGGAATATGGATATTCAGTGAAATAGAGGGTTTTCAAGCATTTCTAATGAAAAGACCAGAGGTGAATAGGAAATTTGACTTTCAAATACAAGACTCAAGAGAAGCATAAAAAGATAAACATGAAAGAGTGATCTAAAGGATGCAATAAAGCTAAACTGTTTATATTCCTACATGGGAAGATGATGCTTGTAACTTCAAAGAATTTTTATCATGATTAGGGCAGTTAGAAGGAGTATATATAGACAGAGGGTGTGAGTTGAAAATAGTGGAATGGTATCTAAAAAAATAAAATTAAGGGGTGAGAAAGAGGAATGCACTGGGAGAAGGGGGATGTGAAAGGTAGAATGGGGTAAATTATCTCACATAGAAGAGGCAAGAAAAAGCTTTTATGGTGGACGGGAAGATGAGGGAGTTGGGAGAATTGCTTGAACCTTATTCTCATTGGAATTAGCTCAAAGAGGGAATAACATACATACTCAGTTAAGTATAGAAATCTATCTTTTTATTGTTGTTCAGTCACATTCAATTCTTCGTGACCCCATTTGGCAAAGACATTAGAGTGGTTTGCCATTTCCCTCTCCAGCTCATTTTACAGATGAGGAAATTGAAGCAAAGAGGGTTAAGTTACTTGCCCTGGGTCATACAGCTAGTTAGTGTCTGAGGCCATATTTGAACTCAGGAAGATGAGTCTTCCTGATTCCAGGCCTGGCACTTTATCCACTATGCCACCTAGCTGCCCAAAATCTATCTTACCTTACAGGAAAGTAGGAGAAAAGGGGATGGAGGGGAGGAGATTGTGGTGAGGTGGTAGTCAGAAGCAAAACAATTTTGAGCATGGATAGGGTGAAAGGAGAGAGTAGGATAAATGGGGGCAGGGGTGACGAAAAATAGGATGAAAGGAAATGCATAATAACCATAACTGAAAAAAAATTATAGCAAGTTTTTCTGATAAAGTCCTCATTTCTTAAATATGTGGAGAACTGAGTCAGATTTATAAGAATACAAGTCATTCTCCAATTGATAAATGGTAAAAGAATATAAACAGGCAGTTTTTAAAATGAGTTGTGGGATAGATTAAGTATGCAAGACGCGGTAGTCAGTGACTATAGTAATCTATTATTTGATAAACCCAAAACCCCCAGCTTCTGGGATAAGAACTCACTCTTTGACAAAAACTGCTGGGAAAACTAGTAAAGAGTATGACAGAAACTAGGCATAGACCAAAATATCACAGCAAAATAAATTCAAAATGGGTTTATGACTTAGATATAAAGGCTGATACTGTAAGCAAACTGGGAGAGCAAGGAATAGTGTACCTATAAGATTTATGGAGAACAGAAGAATTTATGACCAAACAAGAGATAGAGAACATTATGAAAAGTAAAATGGATAACCTTGATTACATTAAATTGAAAATTTTTTTCCACAAACAAAGCCAATGCAACCAAGATTAGAAGGAAAGTAGAAAGAATTTTTACAACCAGTCTCTCTGATAAGGGCCTCATTTCTAAAATGTATAGAGAATGAAGTCAAATTTATGAGAATACAAGTCATTCCCCAATTCATAAATGGTCAAAGGATATGAACAGGCAGTTCTCAGATGAAGAAATTAAAGCCATCTCTAGTCATATGAAAAAATGCTCTAAATCACTATTGATTAGAGAAATGCAAATCAAAACAACTCTGAGGTACCACATCACACTATCAGATTGCCCAAGATGACAAAACAAGAAAATGATAAATGTTGAAGAAGATGTGGGAAAATTGGAACACTAATGCATTCTTGTTGGAGTTGCAAAATGATCCAGCCATTTTGGAGAGCAATTTGGAGCTATGCCCAAAGGGCTATTAAAATGTACATACTCTTTGACCCAGCAATACCATGTCTAGGGCTATATCCCAAGGAGATCATACACATGGGAAAAGAACCCACGTGTACAAAAATATTTATAGCAGCTCTTTCTTTGGAGGCAAAGAATTGGAAATTGAGGGGATGCCCATCAATTGGGGAATGGCTGAACAAGTTGTGGTATATGAATGTAATGGAATACTGTTGTGTTATAAGAAATGATGAACATTCTGACTTCAGAAAAACCTGGAAAGACTTGTATGGACAGATGCTGAGTGAAGTGAGCAGAACCAGGAGAACGTTGTACACAGTAACAGCCACGTTGTGCAATGACTAATATTGATAGACTTAACACTTCCCAGCAATACAAGGATCTAAGACATCTCCAAAGGCCTTGTGATGGCTAACTTTGATAGATTTAGCTCTTCTCAGCAATTCAAGGATCTAAGACAATTCCAAAAGACTCATGATGGAAAATGTTATCCACATCCAAAGAAAGAACTATGGAGTTTGAATGCAGATCGAAGCATACTATTTGCTATTTTGTTTTTCTTCTGTTGAGTTTTGTTTCCTCTTTCTGGTGGTTCTTATTGGTTCTAATTGTTACTTACAACATCACTAATATGAAAATACGTTTAATAGGAATGTATATGTATAGCCTATATCAGATTGTGCGCCATCTTGGGGAGGGTGGTGGGGAGGGAGGGGGAGAAAAATTTTAAACTCAAAAGCATATGGAAGTGATTGTTGATAAATCAAAATAAATTAATTTTTAAAAATTAGTTTATTTTTAGTTTTCAACATTCAGTTCCTTAAGATTTTGAGTTCCAAATTTTCTCCCCCTCCCTCCCCTCCTCCCACCCCAAGATGGCATGCAGTCTGATATAGGTGCTACATATATGTTCATATTAAACATTTTGACATTATTCATGTAAAGAAGAATTAGAACCAATGGGAGGAACCACAAGAAAGAAGAAACAAACAAAACAAAAAGAAATAGTATGCTTCCATCTGCATTCAGACTCCATAGTTCTTTCTCTGGATGTGGATAGCGTTTTCCATCATGAGTCTTTTGGAATTGTCTTAGATCCTTGCATTGCTAAGAAGAGCTAAATCTATCAAAGTTAGTCATCACACAGTATGGCTGTTACTGTGTACAACGTTCTCCTGGTTCTGCTCATTTCACTCAGCATCAGATCATACAAGTCTTTCCAGGTTTTTCTGAAGTCTGCCTATTCATCATTTCTTATAGCATAATATTATTCCATTACATTCATATACCATAACTTGCTCAGCCATTCCCCAATTGATGGGCATCCTCTCAATTTCCAATTCTTTGCCACCAGAAAAAGAGCTGCTATGAATATTTGTGTACATGTGGGTCCTTTTCCCATTTGTATAATCTCTTTGGGATATAGTCCTAGAAGTACTATTGCTGGGTCAAAGGACATGCACATTTTTATAGCCCTTTGGGCATAGCTCCAAATTGCTCTTCAGAATGGTTGGATCATTTCACAACTCCACCGACAATGCATTAGTGTTCCATTTTCCCACATCTTCTCCAACATTTATCGTTTTCCCGTTTTGTCATGTTGGCCAATCTGATAGGTGTGATGTGATACCTCAGAGTTGTTTTGATTTGCATTTCTCTGATCAGTAGTGATTTAAAGCATTTTTTCATAAGACTATAGATAGAACAGGCAGTTTTCAGACAAAGTAATCAAAGCTATCTATATAGGTGGAGTTGTGAACCCATCCAGCCATTCCATAGAACAGTTTGGATTTGTGCCCAAAGGGCTTTGACACAGCTACTACTAGGTCTGTATCCCAGAGAGATAAAAAAAAAAAACAAAGGAAAAGGAGCTATATGTACAAAAATATTTATAAAAGCTCTTTTAATGGTGGCAAAGAAGTGGAAATTGGGGGGATGTCCATCATTTGGGGAGTGGCTAAACCAAGTTGTGGTTTATTTGTGATGGAATCCTATTGTGTTATAATAAATGATGAGCAGGATGCTCTCAGAAAAACCTGGAAAGACTTACGTGAACTGATGCTGAGTGAAGTGAGCAGAACCAGGAGAATGTTGTACACAGTAACAGCCACATTGTGTGATGATCAACTGTGAATGACTTAGCTGTTTTCAGCAATACAGTGATCCAAGAAAGTTCCAAAGTACTGATGATGAAAAATGCTATCCAACATCAGAGAAAGAACTGATGGAATCTGAATGCAGATCCGAGTAAACCATTTTTACTTTTCTTTATTTTTCATGTTTGTTTTTGCTTGTTTTTGGTCTTTGTTTTCATTTGCAGCATTTCACATGTATGGTCGCTATCAAATTGCTTGCCCTCTCAAGGAGGGGGGATGTAAAAGGAGAGAATTTGGAACTGAAAATTTAAAAAAATTTTTTTTAAATTTATATGTAATTGAGAAAAAGAAAAGAAAAAAATAGAATAAAACAATAATAATAAATGTGTCTTCATCTCAGGGTTGCTGGATCAATGTGCTGTAGAAAAGTAAGCAATTGTTTTTGTCTCAGGCCAGCAGGGTCCTCTCTCTGTGATTGTCCTTGGGGCTATGCTGGGGAAGGCTGGATGGTTTTTTAAGAGAAATTGCCCCAAGGTCCCTCTCAGCTCTGGGGCTTGGGGCTTCTGGGAAGATCTGTCCTCCCAGGAACTCTTAAGTAGAAATATGTCAAAACAGGAAAGAGCATCAGAAACCTTTGTTTGGGTTTCAGGTTCTGAGAATAGAAAAGGAGAAGCAAGAGGTCTCACACAACAACTACGTGGAGGACCTCTTGGAGAAGCAGAACCAAGAACTACAGGACATCGGTGAGTGAGCCGGCCCTGGGGTAGGCTGAGGTGGAGGAGGGGCAGTGCCTGTCCTATCTGCGCAGACACCCAGAGGTCGCCAAGTGAGTGGGGGCACTGGACTGTATGGGGAGGGGCCCTGGCTAATGCAGAGGAGCCATGGGCGCTATGGGGGTGACGCACTGTGCAAACCTCTACAAGTCACTTAACCTGTCTGCCTCATTTTCCTCAACTCTAAAATGGGTATAATAGTACCTGACTTCCAGAGTTGTGCTGATCAAAAGAGATTCTATTTATAAAGTGCTTATCACACACAGTGCTTGGCAAATAGTAGGTGCTTAATAAATGCTCGTCCCCTCCCTCCCTCTGAGGTCTGGCTTCTGACCCAATCATTGAACTGAAATCACAAAGTGGTGTTTTCTTTGCCGAATCTCCAGTTCTCCGTTGTTGCTCTTCTTGTCTTCTTCCTGGGTACTCTCCCCTCTCTGGGGTCCCCTGACCCTGCTCCCTCCTGCGGCTCCTCCGCCCTTTCTTCTTGCTCCTTCTCAGGTTCTTGTTGGACCTCCAGGTCACTCCCACTACCCACAGGTGTCCCCCAGGCCTCTGTCCTGGAACCTCTTCTCTTCTGCCTCCATATCGTCTCACTCGGTTACCTCACCAGCTCCTCCACATAGGTGATTCTCAGATTTCTTTATCCAGCCTCAACCTCTCTCATATCTCGGGTGGACACCTAAAACTCAGCATGTACAAAAGTGAGCTGGTGATCCTTTCCCAGAAGACTTTCCCCCTCTCCCTAACTCCCTGCAATGTCACCTCCCAGTCACCCAGGACCGGTGTGGTTGTTGTCATCCTTCGCTTTGAGAGGACCAAATGACATCACCGTGCTGGGGTCAAGCTTCAGTGGGTCCGGCTGTGGCTGACCAGACCAATAGGAGCTCGCAGTGTTCGACCAAGGTCAGGCACAAGTAGTCGGTGTGAACCTTTGGAGCAGATTCTCTAAGTTTGCACATCTCTGGAGTTACTTTTGAGCTATTTCAATTCTGCTTTGCTCATAGAGCACAGTACCTTTTCTGATCTCCCAGTCACCCAGGATCAAAACCTTGGTGTCATCCTCAATTCCCCTCTCTCTACAGCCCCCCCATATCTAACCCTGTCCACTGTACCTCTACAATCTCTCCAATACTTCCCCTCATCTCCTCTCACACTGGCCCCCGGCCACATGCAGGGCCCATCATCTCACACCTGGACTACTGCACTAGCGACTGGGGGGTGGGGTCTGCCTGCCTCAAGCCCCTCCCCCTCCACTGTGCTGTCAGTGATCTTCCCAAAGTTCAGCTCTCTCTCTCTCTCTCTCTCTCTCTCTCTCTCTCTCTCTCTCTCTCTCTCTCTCTCTCTCTCTCTCTCTCACACACACACACACACACACACACACACACGCATACACACACACACACACACCATTCAGTCGCCTCCAGGGGCTAACAACTTAGAAGTGAACAGATACTAAAACTTCCCAAGCCCCAGAGAGAATCAATCTAAAAGGTGTATATAACCACAGTTTCCTCATCTCCCTCTTGGAAAGGGAAGAAAGTCAGAGAGAGTGGGTGCCACTCTCTCTGTGTGTGTCTCCCTTCCCGGCTTTTCCTTGCACAGAGGCACACATCAGTCCCTTCACCCCAGCCCAGGCATCCCTAAATCTTCCATGCTGGCCCAACCCCTAGCATCCATCCCCAGGGTTTTCTCTCAGCTGTCTGCTCCCCCGGGGTCTCCTTCACTTCTTCAGCAGGTTTCCTGCTTCTTTCTACAAACCCCCTCAAGCTCAACGTCAGGGTCAGGATTAGAACTTGGGAATCTAGTTATATGCCCACCTGACAGATCAGCCCTTTCCCCTGAGTCTTCCTGCCCACTGGGGTCATGACCAAAGATAGGCTGCACGTTTATTTCTTATAGATTTTGGACTTGGAAAGAATGCCAAGCTGATCTGGTGTCAGGGAGACACTGGCTGGTGGACCCTGGGCAGGAGCCTTTGGCACTTAGGACCCCAGAGGGCTCTTTCAAACAAGGCAATTCCCCCTTGAGGAACTTTGTACTAGATTTGGAAGTCAAAGAACCTGACCTCTGATTCTGGCTCTTTTCCTGACTACCTGGGTGACCTGTGAGAGCAGACCACTTCAACTCTGGTCATCTCGGCTATCTGGAAGGGCCTTTCCAGCAGCTCTCTTGGGAGCCCTGACTAGGCCCGGGCTGCCACAATCAGTGCTAAGCCTTCCCTCCCAGATAATGTCCCAGTCACGCTGGGTCTTGTCATTTATATGTTATCTCTCCCATTAGACTGGGAGCTCCTTGGGGGCAGGCCTGCTCTTTGCCTCTCTGTGGATCTCCAGGGCTCGGCACTGTGAGCACACACTCCATAAGCGCTTAATAAATGCTTGTTGGCTGGCTGCACCCGTGCTCTCCCTATTTCTTGGAAAAGCTCTGTCCATGCAGAGCCATCGAACAGTTCAACGAGCATTAAACACCTCCTGTGTGCCCAGCGTGGCTAGAAAGCTGACACACAAAACCCCCTTTGGTTCTTCTGAGTCTCAGCGATGCCCGGGAGGGCTCCCTTGTGCCTTCGTGTGGGGCCCTGGGTGCTGCTGAGACTGTGGGCATTGCTGAGCCCGTGGGCGTTGCTGAGCCCGTGGGCGTTGCTGAGCCCGAGTCTGAGGCTCCGACGGCCTGACTGCTGACTCATGCAGCATTCTCTGGTGATACTTTCTAGATTCCTTTTAGCAATACTGTTCGGGCCCACATGCCACCAAAGCGGTAGGAGCCAGCCGCTGTGACAGGGCTCCAAGTGCTCCCAGGCACCGGCCAGGCAGTCCTCGGTCGTCTCCCTCTTGGGAGGTGCTTGGACGAGTCTGAGCCTGGAGGTCTCTGGGCTCCCAGGGAGCCTGTCTGTCCTGGCCGTCTAGTCCTGTTGTCTCCCCTCTGCACCTTTGCTCATGCTTGGTGCCTAGGCCGCACTGACTCACATGCAGCAGCCCGTGGGCAGCAAGGATTCGCTTCTTCCAAAGCTGCCAGAGTCTTGCCGAGCCTTCTTCTCCTCCCTTCCAGCTGAGGGTCCACTTCATGCCGCTCCTCCAGGATCCCCCAGGCCTGCAGTTCTGAGCTCTCCACCCCCTTCATATTTCCAGTCCCTCTCTCCTCCCAGATATCTGCTAAAGGCAGCTGATCGGTCCTCAGTTCTTCACAGCCTTTGTCTGTGTCTCTCCTTTACACTTCAAATGGTGTGCTTCGTGTGCAAGTCTTCTTGTGGAGGGCAAGGTCTGTCTCCTTTCAGCATGGAGCGCAGTGCTTTGCACACAGCCAGTGCTGAATCAGTGCACAGTGAGCTGACGTGGCCAGCAGTGGTCCAGCATCCCTCCCTTGTCCTTGGGCTCCCCACAGCCCTTTCTTGGGGGGAGACCGGGCGGGGCAGGCATTGGCAGCGAGCCCTAGGCTGCTCTCAGAGCCTGCCATCCTTCTTTCCAGAGTGCTGTAACAATCAGAAGCTGCTGCTGGAATATGAGAAGTACCAGGAGCTGCAGCTCAAGTCACAGCGGATGCAAGAGGAGTATGAGAAACAGCTGCGGGACAATGAAGAGACCAAGAGCCAGGCCCTGGAGGAGCTGACTGAGTACTATGAGGCCAAGCTCCACGAGAAGACCAGCCTGCTGGAGGAGGTGCCCGAGGGCCCCGCCCCCACCTGACTGGCTGGGTCCCCTGCTGAGGGATGGGAGAGGCAGGAGCAGCCGGGCTGGGCCCCACCCCAGCAGGGGCCAGAGAATCCTCGGGCCCCTTTCTCCCTCGAATGGCATCCAGTAGGCTTTGGGCCAGGTCTCTATTAGCCTGGAGAACTCACGTGACCCTTAGGCCATTCCTTGGGCACATGGAGCAAAGAGCCTGACCCCCTATCCCACACCATCCCAAGTCCCCCACCCACGGGCCCTCAGCCCATCCCGAGGCATGAGTCCCCTGCCCACAGGCCCTTGGCCAGTCCCTGGACACACGCAGGGAGCAGGGGGGCAGGGTGCTAGGGTGCTGAGCCTTTGTGTCCTCCCCACGATCCCTGAGCCAGGCCCAGGATGACTCGCGGCAGCAGCTGCGAGAGTTTGAAGAGACGAAGAAGCAGATTGAGGAAGATGAAGACCGTGAGATCCAGGACATCAAAACCAAATATGAAAAGAAGCTCCGGGACGAAAAGGAGGCCAACCTGCGCCTCAGAGGAGAGACTGGCATCATGCGGAAGAAGGTGAGGCCCCAAGAGAGGACTGGGAGGATGAGGGGGGCCAAGAGGGGACGGGGGGGGGATGAGAGGGGCCAAGAGAGGACGGGGGGGATGAGAGGGGCCAAGAGGGGATGGGGTAGGGATGAGAGGGGTCAAGAGGGGACGGGGAGGGGATGAGAGGGGCCAAGAGAGGATGGGGGGGGGATGAGAGGGGCCAAGAGGGGATGGGGTGGGGATGAGAGGGGTCAAGAGGGGATGGGGGGCCAAGAGAAGACTTGGGGGGATGAGAGGGGTCAAGTGGGGACAGGGGGTACCAAGTGCGGGTAGGGGGAACAAGAGGAGACTGGGGGAATGACAGGGGCTGAGAACAGCCTCTGGCCCTGGGCAGAGGAAGTGTCTGAGAGGACTGCTGTCAGAGGAGGAACCAAGGCCTGGGCCCACCTGCCTTGCTCCCCTCTTTGTCTGTCCTTTTATCCCTTTTGCTTCTCCCCTGGCTTTCCCTGAACCTTCATCACTCTGGGGGTGACCTTGGCAAGGCTCTCCATCTGGTCCTTCTGCAAGCACTGATTCACAACCAAGGCTGTGCAGTGAAAGCACTGAGCAGACAAAGGCACACAAAACTGTCCCTCACCTCAAGGTTACCCCAGGACGCACATATGCGGCCCTCTCCTCTGCTCCAGGCTGCTCATGCCTCGCCCCTCCCACCCATCTCCCTTTGGCCTGGATGTCCAGGCCCCTTATTTTGCCCATCCCTTCCAGCTTGTCATTGTCCCTCCTAAAAGGTGAGGCCCAGAGCAGGGCCAGCCTCCAGAGGTGGTCTGGCCAGGGCATCAGCCACGGCTTATTCCCGGTTATCCTGCCCCTACCTTTCCAAGTTGTCTGTGGCTTCAGAGACTCTGCCAGCATTCTAGATATGCCATGTGCCCAGCACTGACCTGACCCATCAGTGCTGCCAGGCTCCAGGAGTTCATCAGGGGCCCCAGTCTGTGCTCCCACCAGCTCAGTAATGAGCTCCCCAAGCTTGGCCAAGCAGCAGGCCCCTAGCCCGCCATCACCAGGCCAGCTGGAAGAGAACGAGGCTCCTCTGAGGACCCAGTCCTTCCTTGTCCTCCCCAATGCCCTCCGCTTCTGGCACTCACACCACCTGCCAGCGTTCTGCTGCAGCGGGCATGATGCTCCAGGGCCATCCCTCTGCAGGGAGGCGCTAGGGAGGGCTGGATGCTAAGGGGCTCGGGTCACCAACCGGCAGTGGTGGGGCGGGTCTCAGTTCAGCAGCCTGCAGAAGGAGATCGAGGAGCGGAACACAGACATTGAGGCCCTGAAGGGGGAGCAAGTGAAACTCCAGGGGGTCATCAAGGCCCTGGAGAAAGACATCCAGGGCCTGAAGCAGGAGATCCAGGAGAGAGATGAAACAATCCAGGACAAGGTGACAGAGGGGGCTCCCCCAGCCTCCATACTGCCTCCCCTGCCCATAGGTGCCCCCTCAGCCTCTGTACCACCTGCTCTGCCCAGAGGGGCTTCCTCTCACCATTCTACAAGCCCCCATGGTTTCGTGGGCCCCAGCCAGCTCAGGGAGGGGAGGGCTGTGTTCTCTCCCTGCTGCCGTCTCCCCAAGTCCTTAAGTGAGTCCATGTGACCCCCTTGTCTCTCCTTAGGAGAAGAGAATCTATGATCTGAAGAAGAAGAACCAGGAGCTGGAGAAGGTCAAGTTTGTACTGGACTACAAAATCAAGGAGCTGAAGAAGCAGATCGAGCCTCGGGAGAATGAGATCAAGGCCATGAAGGAGCAGATCCAAGAGGTCAGCAGCCCCCACCCCCTGCCAAAGCCTGGGGTAGTCCTTGGCCGCCCCCGCAGGCCGGCACTGGAGGCTCTGACCCCGTCCCTGCCCTGCGGACACTGGGGAGAACGGGGTTGAGACACTGAATTCCATGATGCAGACACACCAGAGGGTGTCCTCCAGGCACAGCAGCAGGTCCCAGCACTTCCAGGGTTCCACAGGGTCTCGGCTTCCCCGAGCAGAGGCTTAGAGAAAGCGTTTGCCCAAGATTCCCAGCCAGGGCATCCCAGAACCTTTGGAGGAAGGGCCTTCAGGGGTCCTCAAATCCAAAGCGGTGAACAGGGATGCTGTCTGACTGGCCACGTGTGACACATGCCTTCCTCCTATGCACACAGCAGTGGAGATGAGCCCCAGGGGCCACCAGCCCGGTTTGTGTAGCTCTACTCCTTTGTTAAAAGGAAAGGTTTTCAGTTGGGTGAAGTCCTGGCCAAGTGACAATTTTAGAATCTCCCCTATGGTGCACCAGCATTCCCACCTCTGACACTGCCTGAGTGACCTTGGACAGGTCACTGACTCCCTGGGCCCAGACTCTGGCCTCTGAGGTCCCTCCAGCCCCAGACCTGGGATCCAAAGAGGCCTTCAAGGAGGGACACCTGCCATTTCCCAGGGCAGCCCCTTCCTCATGGAGAAGCTTTTCATGACACGTCACCAAAATCTGACCTTCTCTGCAACCTTCCCAGTCCTCCTGGTTGTGCCTCCTCGGCCAGGCAGAAGAAACTGACCCCCCTTCTACCTTATAGGCCTTCAGGGCTCAAAGAGGGCCCACGTGTTCCTGCCTCTGCCCCAGCTTGTCCTTCCCAACTGAAGACAAGGTTCCAGAGGCCCCAGGCCTCTCCCGAGATTCCCTCATGTCCCCCCCTTTTGGCTGCCCCATCGCCCTACTGACTCTGGCTGAGCTTGCAGTCCACTCAGAACCCTAGATCTTTCCCAGGACACCTGCCATCCAACCAGGCTTCCCCCATGGTGTGCTTGGGGAGTTGGTGTTTTATTCCCAAGACTATTTTTTATTCCTATGAGACTTTAGATTTATTGCTCTGGATTTATGGATTTATAGATTTATTGCCACCTTAGGTCAAGCCCAAGGCTTGAGCCTGTCGAGACCTTTCAGGAGCCCGCCTGGCTTTGGTGTCTGATGCCTGGCTCTGGTGTCATACAGCCCAGCCTGTCTGGTGTCCCCTGCAGATGCCATGAGCCAGAGCAGAGCTGTCCATCTCTGTCCATATGCTGGGCATCGACAAAAATGGGATGCAGCCCAAGGCTGAGCCCAGATTTAAGGTGGTCCCTTGAATGCTCTGGAGCCCACCTTGGCATCGTCCCCTTTGCTGCAGACCCGCCTCTGAGGGGCAGAACTGCGGGAGCACCTGCAGACGCCAGGCCTGGGGGAGCTGACCAGAGTCTTGCAGCCACTGCCCTCTGCTGGCCGTGAGGCCTCACTGCCATTCTCCTCTTTAAAGGCTGATCATCCCAGTCCTGGAAGGGGGCAAAGTGCTGTCCCAGAAGGGAGAGCGGGGAGGGAGCGGGGACCTTGAGTCCAGCCCTCACACAAAGGGAATCCCGCTAGAACACCCTGACCAATGAGCATCATGCTGTGCTTGTAGACTTCCAAGGGAAGGGACCTCTCCGAGTCAGAGGCAGTTCCCTCCCCCGCTCTGGGGTGCCTCAGAGGCAGCCCCCTCCCCCCTTTAGGGGCCTCTTGAGGTTGGGAGGTTTTCCTGACATCCAGCCTCAGTCATTCTCTTTGCAACTTTCCCCACTGTTCCTGGTTCTGCCCTCTAGGGCCAAACAGAACAAGTCCAGTATAATAACGGCAATAGCATTCACACAGCTCTCTTAAGGTTTACAGAGCACCTTGCAAATATCACTGCATTTGACCCTCACAACAACCCTGTGGGGCAGGTACTGTTATCATCCTTATTTTACAGATGAGGAAACTGAGGCAAATAGAAGTGAAGTGACTTGCCTAAGGTCACATAGGTAATAAGTGACTTGAACTCAGGTCTTCCTGACTCCAGATCCTCTTGGCTGTCAGACACCAGACCACAACAAAACACAGAGGGACTATCACCTGCTTCCCTACCCCTGGAGTCTCTGCCCTTCCCAATGCAGCCCAAAGACCCCGTCCCCACTGACTCATATGGAGTGTGATACCCACTAACCCCCCCCCCCAGCTTTTCCTTAAACTCCCAGCATCTCCCTGTGCTCTTGTACTGGTGAGGTTGACTTTTTTGTACCCAAATGTAAGACCACATTTATTCCTGTCGAATTCTGTCTTCTTAGATTCAGCCTGTCTAGGAGCCTGACTGTCATCCAGTGTGTACCTTTCCTTTCATGATTATTTCCAGTTTATCCAGTTTGTAGTTTGTTTATACGTAGTTATTTGTATGGTTTTCTCCCCCATGAGACTGCACGCTCTCAAGGAGACTGTTTTTTGCCTGTCTTTGTATCTGCAGCCCTGGGCACGGTGCCTGGCACTCCGTAATAAATGCCAGGTGACTGACTGGCTCTCCCTGCAGCTTAGTCTCAAGTGCAGATATGCTAACCCTGCCACCTGTGCCTTAATGAGAGCCATTGGTAAAAACATGGCAGCGGCACTGTGTGCAGCAGCCCGAGTCCCTGCGTTGCCGACATCAGACCCATCAGTGCTTACCATCCCACCTGTCCTCCATCCATCTCCGTGCGTTGTCGTCTACTCCACATCTCTCCATCTTCTCCACAAAAATGTGACGAGATGCTTCGTCAAAAGCTTTGTTAAAGTCTGAGTAAACTATATCCCCAGCATTGTCCTCATCTGCTAGTCTGGCAATCCTGTAAAAAAGGGACATGAGGCCAGCCTGGCATGACCTGTTCCTGGTGAAGCCAGGCAGGCTTTTTGTAATCATCACTTCCCTTTCTGGGTGTTCAACCAACCATCTCTTCAGTGAACTGTTCTAGAATTTTCTGAGAAGTCAAAAGCCAAGCTCACTGGCCTGGAGCTTACAGATTCTGGGATCAAGTGGAGAGCGCTGCACCTGGAGTCAAGAAGACCCAAGTTCAAATTCTGTCTTGGACATGTAATAGCTGTGTGAGCCTAGGCAAATCACAACCTCTCTCAGCCTCAGTTTCCTCATCTGCAAAGTGGCGCTTTGCAAACCTTAAAATGCTAGGTAAATGCCAGCTATTATTACTGTTTTCCTCTTTAAAAAAATCCAAACAACATTTGCCCTTCTCCAGTCTTGTGATTCCTTTCCCATTTTTTCATGATCCCTTCCGCATCACTGACAGTACGTGGGCCGCTTCTTTCTTGTGGCATCTGATAAGTCTTTCCACTGGGCCGGGGTCTTAGATCGATCCAGAGCTGCTGAGCAGGGGCTCACTGACCGAGTCACCTTTCCTACCTTGGGAGCCAGCCCCGCAGTCTTTGTTCTGCTACTTGTAGTGCCAGGGTCCTTGTGCTTGGCAAAAAGGAGAGAAGCAATGTCAGAAGGTAGCCCCACCTGCCCTACAAGACCCCCGGTGCTCATCAGCCTGTGTTTGAAGACCTCCAGAGAGGGCCAGCTCTTGGGCCTATGTCGGGTCTTCACGTGCCTTGCTGACACTGGCTTCCATTGCCCCTCGTTCTGGCTTCAAGGGCCCAGAAGAACAAATCGACCCCGTCTTCCACGAGGCAGCCCTCCCTCCAGAGACATGAAGATGATGTAGCCACAGTGTCACACCAAATGATTCTCTTTTTCTAGCGCTGGCTCTTTGAACTGATCCTCATTTGGCCTGGGGGTTCTCACATGTGGGTCACCCCCTCAGCCCCAAGTGAAGGGAGAACCAGGAGAAGGAGTTATACAGAGATAATACCACCAGAAGACAACTTGGGAAAATTTCAGAACCTGAGGAAGGTGATGAACAAATGGCCAGCCCCATTTCCACAGGACCTGCATGTTACCTCTGGGCAGAGAGGCAAGGGACACAAGTGACATGGTGGCTCCTTGGGGACTCAGTTTGGCTGACTGTCAGTATTTGGTATAAGAGACTTTTTTTTCTGTTTTTAATTGAGGAGAGAGAAAAAAAAAGAAGTTCAGAAGAAAGGATAGACAAGCAGGCCTGTTTCGGAAATCAGTCAACAAGCGTTTACCATCACGTCTACCTTGTGTCTGGCACTATGCTAAGCATCCCCGATACAAAGGCAAAAACACAGCCCCTGCCCTCAAGGAGCTCACCTTCTAGGGAGAAAGACAACTCGCAAACAGCTGGTAGCTATGGGATATATACTGATTAATGAAAGTAATCCCAGGTGCGTGAAGGAAGCCAGGAGGCTGAGATGAGGAGGAAGGGCGTAGCAGACGTGGGGGGGGGGGGGACAGTACAAAGGCCCAGAGATGGGAAATGGAGTGTTGTATTGGACAGCAGCCAGGAGGCCGGCGTCACTGGACTGGAGTCCATGGGGTGTGGAGTGTAAGAAGACTGGTCACGAAATGAAGTAAAGCACTGCATTTTCTGTTTGATCTTAGAGATAATGTGGAGCCACTGGAATTTACTGAACAGGGAGTTACATGGTCTCACGTGCAAAATCACTTTGGCAGTTGTGGGTAGGATTGAGAAAGTAAAGTGTGGCATTTATTACGTTTGGGTCTTGGCTGGTGGGGCTGCCAGGGAGGTAGAAGCAGGTGGATCTGTGGATCTGGGCCGCTTTGGGCTGCAGTGGGCTACTCAGATCAGTGCTCACACTCAATCTGGCATCGGTGTGATGGACCCCGGGAGGCACCAGGCTGCCCAAGGAGGGGCTGAAATCAGAGCAGATCAACGCTCCCACGATGAGCAGGGTGTGGTCAGGCCTGTGAATAGCCTTTGTGCTACAGGCCTGGGTGAAATGGAGAGCCCCAGTCTTTAAAAAACAAACATGAAATGGAGAGTCACAGTTTCCTATACAGTCTGTTTCTGCTTTCTCCCCTGTGTATGGAAATGTTCATTTTGGGGAAGGAGGGAGCAGGGAGGAACAGGTCAGAATCTTTTTTAAAGAACTAATTTCTAAAAGAAGCTCCTTCCTGCTCTAGATTAAAACACAAACTCTATCCATTTTCCGCTTCAGCCAGACTGGCCTGCTTGCTACCTTTCACACACATGGCAGCAGCTCATCTCCAATCCTGGCATGCCCTCCCTCTTTATCTTCTCTTGGAATCTCTGGCTTCCTTCAAAGCTTAGCTCAGCCGCCGCCTCCTGCAGGAAATCTTTCCAGATACCCCACTTGCTGGTGCCCTCCCCCCAGAAATGACTATTTTTCTACGTACACGTCCGTTCTCCATTCCTCTTCCCTCTCCCCTGTGTAGGCTTCTCGAGGGGCATGGACTCTCACTTTCATTTTTGTATTGCTCATACCTAGAACAGTGCTGGGCACCCAGTAGGCACTTGATAAATGTTGATGGAATTGCACTGTTTGTAAATGGTAGTGTCGGTGGTGCCAAGGAACAGAGGGTCATCTGAGGGGGTGAGGAGGCTGTGCTCAGGTGCACCCTGACATTCTGCTTTCTCTTTCCTCCACTTGGGCAGATGGAGGCAGAGCTAGAGCGTTTCCATAAACAGAACACACAACTGGAACTGAACATCACAGAGCTGTGGCAGAAGCTCAGAGCCACGGACCAGGAGATGCGCCAAGAGCGGCAAAAGGTCGGTTTGACGCCCCTAGGAAGACCTGTCTTGATTGTCGGCGGCTGGGTTTCTTCTCAGCGTCCCTAAAAAGCCTGCCCACTTCTCAGCCCTGGCCATTTCTGCTCGACCCCAGTGGGCAGACCCCTGAGAGGGCCTTGGCTGTCAGGAGAACTCTCCTAAACAGCAGAACCATCCCAGAGAGGGAGGAGTGGAGGGAGGTGGGGGAGCTTCCCTTTCCCTGGAGGCATGCCAGCAGAAGCTGGGTGCCCACTTGCTAGGGAAGTGGTGCAAGAGATTCTTGGCCGGGAGGCAGAGGCCTCAAACTGATAGATGGGAAGAGATACTGAGCCTGAGTGAATATGACAGAGTTTGGAGCAGGGCCGGCTCAGAGCTGGCAGGTCAGAGGGTTCTGTTGACAGTGGGTTTCGATGAGGGGATGGTGCGCCAGTGCTGATCTGTCCCTAGAAGACCAAACAGGAGGAAGTCAGCACAGAAAACAAGGGCCGCAGGGCCCTGGAATGGTGGTCTGCTGTCTCTTGAGCCGGAACGTACCCAATCCGGGATGCCTTCTTGGGGGAGGGAAGGGGCTTGTGGTATATGCTGCCTCTGGCCACATTCCCCAGGGACAGGTGCTGGGCGAGCATCTGTGCCACGACCAGAGGGCCCCAGCAGGTGCCTGGGCACCAAGATCTTGTGACCCTCTGGGGTCTCCCAGTGTCAGGCTTCAGCCCCTAGCAGAGGCCCTGGCCCGCGGTTAAGTAGGTGCTGCTTTCAGGAGCGGGACATGGAGGTGCTGGTCAAGCGCTTCAAGATCGATCTTCACAACTGCGTAGGCTATATCCAGGAGCCTCGGCATCTGAAGGAGAAGATCCGCCTTCTCTTTGACAAGTACGTCCAGCAGGCGGACATGGTGAGTGGGAGCCCTCCCCCCGCCCCCCAGCCCGCCCTGGAAGCCCACCCGGCCCACCTGACCTGTCGCCCCTCCCCCCCAGGTGGAGATCGTGGGCGTGGACACAGATCTGCAGCAGGAGTACATCCGGCAGAGGGAGCACCTGGAGAGGAACCTGGCCACGCTGAAGAAGAAGGTGCTCAAGGAGAATGAGCTGCACCGCTCGGACAACCTGCGCATCATGCAGGTGAGCGGCTGGCGGGCTCCGAGCTGCAGGCACACTGCCGCCCACATCGGGCAGTCCTCAGTCCTCTGGAAGGACAGCAGCCCCACGGGACAGTCTGAAGACACCGGCAATGCCCTAACAATCAGTGCCCCTCCGGGCCCCGTGGGGCCCCCTGGCGCCCGGTCACAGTCACGGGCACCGTCCTGCGTGGCTGCCGGGAACGAGAAGAGCCCGTGGGCCAGGATGTCCTGGAGCTCTGCGCTCCCTGCTGGGAGCTCCGACCCCCAGCCCCGAAGGCTGACCTCGCCTCTCTCCTGCCCTCCCAGTTCTGCTGGCTTCCCCCAAAGGAATAGCCGACAGAAAGCCCCCCTCCATCCAGACCCCCGATTCCTTGGGGAGGCCCCTCCGGAGGGGCTGGGAAGGGCACCCTCTTATCTGTGCCGGGGCTGCCTACGGCAGAGCCGAATGTCGGTCTGGAAGGGAGAGAGCGCTGCCAGCGGACTCACCCCAGGCTCCCTCTTCCTCCTCCTCTGCAGGAAAATGTGAGCTTGATCAAAGAGATTAACGAGCTGCGAAGGGAGCTGAAGATAACACGCACACAGGTGCACGACCTCGAGTCAGCTTTGAGGCTGACCAAGAAACTCCGACACGTGGAGGTCCCCGAGGCAGGTACTGAGCCCGCCGTCCCGTCCTGCGCAGGTGCTGCACAGACTGAGCAGGAGCCCCACAGAGCCCTTTTTAGTGAGGGAGCAGGGGCCCCGCCCCCCGGGTTTCTCCCGGTAGGCCCCCCGGATCCAAGCCACGCCTTCAGCATCCCCAGGAACAAAGACACTTCTCATAGTAGCCCCCAGCTCTGCGTCCACTCTGCCCGGCTTTTAGACACACGAGCGCCCCCACCCACGCGCGCGCACACGCACTCATTCATTCCCTGATCCAATGTTCCAGAGCCTCCCTGGCTATTACCACCGTTCTGTACCCCCAGATTTATTCCTTCATTTGATATTCTAGACCTTGATCTCATCCCCATTTCTACTCTTCTAGATGTCCAGACCTCATTTCTGGGCTTGATTTCTAGACACATTCACCTCTGGTCTTATTCTTTTTGTCTAACGTTCCAGCTCTGTGATTTTTACTGTTGTGGCTCATGTTCTAGACCATCCCCCCCATTCCTTTGTCTGATGTTCCAGGTCCTTGGCCCTCATAGCTGTGTCTCATGTTCCAGGTCCCCGGGCCTCATTTTTCTGCCTCGAGTTCTAGGTCCCCGGGCCTCATTTCTGGGTTTTTGTTATCTGGGGTCCTTTTCACTGAACGTGGCTCAGTGGCCTCTGGTTCCCATGAGCCACACCATAGCTTGGCTTCCAGAGCCCAGCCTCTCCCTTCTCTTTGCCTTCTCGAAGCACCCAACCTGGAGAAGCCCACCACTGTTGGGATTTTGAGGCTGAATGAGAAAGAAGAAACCGAGCGGATCATAGAAATGCAGCGGCTGGAGATTCGGCGCCTGCGGGAGTACATCCAAGAGCAGGAGCAGATTCCAGGGCTCTACCCCATAGGGAGGCTCCCCTCCCTGGACAATGACCGGAGCCTGGAGAACCTGAGCGACTGAGCCTCCTGCCCAGGAGGCCACGCCCAAGCTGGCTGCCTGGGGCCCGGGAGAAGGAGGCCTTTGTCCTCTCTGGCCCTGCTCCATCCCTGCCCTGTTTCCTGAGCCCTGGGGGGAGCTCGAGGGGAGGAATAAAGAAAGGGGCCTGCACTCAGTGAGCCAAGTTTCAGTCATTGGGCAAGGGGGCAACGGAAGGCAGGAGGCCTGGTGACTTGTCACTATCCTTTCTCTCAGTGGTGCCCCTGGGCCTTGCCCACCCTCCTTGTCCCCTGCACAGATGGGCACCATCTGCCTCCCCACTTCCCCTACTAGTTTTACTGCCAGTAAATTCAGGCAAACAAAGAAAGAAGACAAATGGAAGCAGTGTCCCCAAATTTTCTCTCTCATTCATTGAAATTGAAGAATGCCAGTCCCCACCCCCACCCACCCACCCATGAGGCTCCAGCCTGGATTCAGCCCCCACCTATGCTTTTCCATGGAGCTTTGAATAGGTTCTGAGCCCCAGCTCTCCCTTTCATCCCTCTTGGGTTCCCCTCAACTACCACCACCCCCCATGAGACCTTCCATCTAAGATGCCCAGCCTATGCTGGATCTGAGGTCTGGAGTCCTTTCAGCCCCAACTCACTCTATCCAACATCGCCTACCTTCATGCTCCAGTGGAGAGGTAGGACTGAGCTCTGAAGTCCTCTCTCATACTCCCTCTTCCTTAAATGAGGCTCTCCATCCTGGATTCCTTAACAGTGTTCTTGAATGGATCTGGGCCTGGGTGCCCTTCCTCTCAACTATCACAAGGCTCTCCACCCCAAATCATTTACATATATCCTTGACTGGAGCCGTCTCCCTCCCCACCGTGAGTCAGTCCACCCCAGATCCTCCACCTGGGATGCTTTCCTACAAGACTCAGCCCTAGTGCCACCTTTAAGAGGCCTTTCCTCTTAAGGTCCTTGGCACCTTGCCCCTGAAATTGCCTCCATCTGTATCTTGTATGTACCTAGTTGTTTGCATATTGCCTTCCCCCCTTAGACTGGAGCTCCCTGAGAGCAGGGACTTTTTTTTTCTTTTTTGTTTTGTTTGTTTTGCCTTTCTTTGTATCCCTGGTACTCAGCACAGTGCCTGCTGCACGGTGAATGCTTATTGATTGGTGATTACCACCCTAGGCACCAGTTCCTGACTGCGCCAGCCTCTCCTAACCTCCCACACTGCCCACCGTCACTGCAGCTTCGTCAGACCTAGCCAGTGGAGTAGGTGAAGCTTTTTATGGGCATTGTCTCCTTGAGCCTCAGTGACTGTTGAGTTAGGCACAGCTCCACATGAGGAAAGGCTTCCTAATCGTTAAAGATGCCATGGGAGGGAATGTGGAATGTAGTGACCTCCCTGTCACTGGAGGTCTTTAAGAAGAAGCTAGATGGCTGTTTGCTCCACAATCCATTTCCGACAGTCTCTGATTGTAGGCTCAGAGAGGTGGTGATTGTGACAAGTCACTCCTCTAGTGATGGATGGGATGGGGCCAAGACTGAAATCCAGGCATCCTGGTTCCTGCTGCCTCTATTCATGAGGCAGGGACATACCAGTCCAGGCAGAGCCAGAATCCTTAGAATCTTGGCTGTAAAAGGGCCCTCAAAGACATGCAAACACAAAACCCCTCTTTATCACCTAGTAGAAATTGCTCTGGATTTGGGGTCAGAGGGCTTGGGTTTGAATCCCAGCTCTGCCAGTGACTGCCCATGTGGTCTTGGGCAATGCACTTGGATCTATCTTGGATTCAATTGTGAAAGAGGGGCAAGGAGAGGGGGAGGTGGGCTCACTGGCCTCCCATGATCATCCAGCCTCTGCTGGAAAACCTCCAGTGAAGGGAAAACCATCATCTCCCTAGGCAGCCCATTCTTCTTAAGGATGGCTTTCACTGGCAGAAAAATGCATGTACTATCCAGTCAAAATATGCCTCTTTACAACTTTGCAAAATGATTCAGCATTTACCAGGTACCAACTATGTGTGCAGCTAGGTTCTGGGGTACAAAGACAAGAAACAAAAGAATCCCTTCCCTCAAGGAGCTTCCATTCTCCTGGGGGAAGGGGGATGCAACTTGTACACCAATAAGTACAGAACAAGGAAAAACCGGGGAGAGAGACAGCCACTGCTGGAGGCATGAGGCAGGCTTCTAAGAGGGAAAGAAGGGCAAGAAAGGTGTCGCTGTCCAGCAGGTAAGGTGCTAGGGTTGACACAATGTTAGTGAAGTGCACTTAAGAGAGTATCCTCGCCCCAAGCATTGAGAAAGACAGACTAAGGCTCTCCCCATGCTCCTGCAGCCACTTCTCACAGGAAAAGACCCTGCATCCCTGGCCAACCCTCTCTAGCACTGAATGTTTCTGTCATGCCCCAGTCCAGGGAGGGGTGGCAGATTCCGTTCTTTCAGTCACTCGCAGACAGTCTCTTTGCCCTTATCAACTATAACAGCGACAATAAAGATAGCATTTGTATAGAGCTTTTAAGGTTTGCAAAGCAGTTTGTCATTTGGTCCTCAAAGCAACCCTGAGAGGCAGATGCTGTTATTTTTTTCTAACAAGTAACTGAAGTCAACAAAGGTTAGCCTTGCCCAAGGTCACAAGGCTAGGAAGTACCTGAGATTGGATTCAAACTCACCTCTTCCTAACTTCAAGTCCAGATCTAGCCACTGTGGACTGGGCTGACTCCAGAATGCTCTCCACCCCACCCCCACACCCTAACCTAGCTTTCAGTCTCTTCCTCCGACTCCTGTGAGTTTCTCATATTTCCTTATTTCCTTGGTTTGGAGTTTTTAGGTCTTCTTCCTCACTCTGTACCTCTATCCGTCCCTTCCTTCACCTATGTCTGCCTATTGAACTCTACCCTATCAGCTCCCCTTGAATCCCTCAGCTCCTGACCCTCTTGCCAAGCCCCAGCCCTTAGTTACTCCCATTTTCCCCCTTCTCCACTTCCAGCCACATACCGCTGTGACCTTGATAATTGGGTAACTGAATCTCAGCTGGTCCTTCACTACTACCCAGAAGCCTTTTTTTCTCCCATGACTGACTTTTTAATTGTCCTCTGCACCATGGCTGCTCCAGACTTTCTCCTCTAGCCTCCCATCCCTGTCATCAGAGAACTTCACCTCCTCCTTCAACTGAGAAAATTAAGACCATTCATCACAAGGTCCTTTTCACTAAGCCCCTCCAACTGGGCTGCCCTAGATCCCATTCCCTTCTGTCTCCTCCTCTACCATTCTCTCTCATCTTCAAACTCTCTTCCTTTCCTGGCTTCTCCCCTGATGCCTATGAACCTCATGCCCAGATCTACCCTATTCTTCAAAAACAAAAACAATGTACACCTTCACTTGATCCTACTTTCTCTCTCAAGCTGTATCTTATATCTTGTCTCCTATATCTTATCATAAGACGAATAAATGAATGAATGGGGGAAAGCATTTATTAAGCACCATGTGCCAAGAGCTATAACATTCAAAGAGAGAAGGCCAGACAGTCTCTGCTCTTAGGGAGCCCACAGTCTACCAGGAGAAGACAATACATAGAAGAGAGTTTGGGTGCAGGGCAGATGGAAGGATTGAGGAGGGTCTTAGAACACAGTGATAGACAAGATGATAAAGCTTGATGGACCATCTAGTTTGGCTGGAGTGTGAAGGGGAGATAACATCTTCAAATAAGGTAAGTTATGTAAAGGGCTTTGCGAACTCTGAAGTGGCATATAAATGTTAGCTATTTCACATCAGTATAAAAGCCAGTATGTGGTGCAGAAGATAGTGCTGGACCTGGAGTCAGAAAGACCCGAGTTCAAATCCTACCTCAGACATTAGCTGTATGACTCTAGAAAAGTCTTCACCTTATGTCTGCCTCAGTTTCCTCCTCTGTAAAATAGGGATAATAATAACACCTACCTCCCAAGGTTGTTGCAGTGCTTTGCAAACCCTAAAGCACCATATAGTTGCTAGTTAGCTTAATTACTCTTATCTTCTTCAGTGTCATTTCAATTCATAAAACCATATTGATTTCTGAGGTTGAAACATGTTGACAGTGCCAAGGACTTTCATAAATAGAACTTTCTTTTCTGGCTCTCTGGTATCTGTGGCAGCTGAGAAGGTGAAGACTACAGAGGCAGGGGCAAAATCCAAGTCTCCACCAGGGTTGCTCCAGTGAGCAATGGCAGGTTTTCACATGAGCAGATACTTAAAAGTTAGAAGGGAACATGGAGGCCATATCATCCAACCTCCTTCATTTTTACCAAGAAGGAAACTGAGGTCAAAGAAGTTATGACTTGCCCAAGGTCATTCTGGTAGTCAGTGGCAAAGCAGGGGTTTGGGTTTTCTTCTCCCTTTCACAGCCAAACTCCTAGGAAGTTTGTCTAATATACCCTGGCCTCCATTTCCTTACCTCCTACTCATTTCTCACATTCGTCCAACTGGACTTCCAACTCTACCAGTGAACAGAAGTGCTCACTTCAGGGTCACCCAACAGTGATCTCAACGGCTCCAATCAATGACATTTCTCAGTCTTTGTTCAGTTTGACCTCACCAGCTTTTTATATTTTTTGTCTACCCTCCTCTCATCCATGTCTCCCGTGGCTTCCATGATACTGCTCTCTCCTGGTTCTCCTTCTACCTGTCAGGTCAGTCTGACTGGCTCTCTGCCTAGATGATCCCTCTTCTCTCTCTATACTCTCTCACTTGGTGATGTTTCCAGCACCCATAGGTCCAGTGATCTCTATGCCAATGACTCCCAGATCTGTGTATTCAACCCTCTCTCTCTTGAGCTCTAGGTTCACACTTTCTACTAGACATCTGCATTATGATTAGACTGGAAGCTCCTTGAGGGCAGGGAGTGTGGTTTTACCTTTCTTTGCATCCCTAGTATTTAGCATGGTGCCTGCCATATCATAGGTGCCTAAGAAGTGCTTATTGACTATTTCCCATGGGAATTTCAAACCCACAATGGCCAAATTGGAACTCATTATGTTCCCTGCCCTCAAGCCCCTTCATCTGCCCAATGTTCCCATTTCTGTCCAATCACCGTCATCCTTCTAATCACCCAGGCTCATAACCTCCTACTCATTTTTGGCTCCCCATTCTCCCTTTCACGTCACATTTCTGAATGGCTGCTATGTCTTCTCAACTCTCCCTCCACATTTCTCCAGCTGCCCCCTTCTCTTCACTCACATAGCCACAACCCTCAGTCCCTGCCATCTTCACAACTTGACTTCAACCCACCTCTCCAGCCTGATCCTTTTAAATCTTCTTCACACACTGGTCAGTTCAGCTTATTTGGCCTTGCTGATTCCTTGTACATAAGGCTTCATCTGCCTCCTCAAGTCAGCTTCTTGGAATGCCTGGCTTCCTTGAATCCCTGCCTTGTCTCAAGTGCTCCCATCTAAATCATCAGATAAGGACTTGTCTGTATACAAGTGACATCGCTGAGTTGAATGTAAACTTCATGAGGGTAAGCACTGTTTGGGGATTAATAAATGTTCAGTGGATGGAAGTGAATGGGACTGAAACCAGGCAGGAATAGGCTCATCAGGGATTGACAGAATTCAGAACCTCCTTTTCTATCAGGGTCTGTCAGGCCAGAGCAGGACCCAAACTATCCCATTGGACTGGGCTCCCCATGAGACCTAGATACCCCCCAACCATCAGCTTTAAACAACCTGAAGGAATGAGGCCCAGAAAAGAGTGGTGGCCCCACTGGGAGCAATAGGGGATCTGGGGCTCAGAGATCATGCTGGAACTCAAGGGGTCCAGATCCCAGGCACTAGGGTCTGGGAGGAATGACAGGGTAGACAGAAGGCCTGAAGTTTTGGAGGAAGAGGTTGAGGGCAAGTTAGAGCACCTGGGGTTATATTAGGAGGGCTCTGCTGGGTCAGAGATGGATTACCCTGGAGCAGTGGGGTTTGGGGGGCAGTTTGAGAGCCAAGAGTATACCAGGAGGTCTCTACAGGGTCAGTGAATGTGGGGATTGGGTAGAGGGTGTGTGATGGGGGCAGTTAGGGAGCTATATCCAGAGGGCTCAGTGATCCTAAGGGCCTCAGAAATTTGTAGGGGAACCAGAGGAACAGGTAAGACAGGCAGCATTCCTCCTCCTCCTTTTCCTCCTCCCCTTCTAGCCTGCACCTCCTCTTATTCCACCTTTTCCTCTTCCTCCTCCCAGGGCAGGTTGGCCCTGAATTGGAGGGATCCCATTTCCAGTAAGGCCCCAGCCCTGCCCCGCTGGGGAATGTCCCCGCCTAGGTCCTGCTGGGAGAGAAAGGGGAGGGCAGGCAGATCAGCTGCAGCCAATCAAGGGGAAGACTCAGGAACAGGAAGGGCCACCTGCTGCTCACCCTGCCTCCTCCCCCAGCTCACCTGAGGCTGCTGAAGACAGGTAATCCTCCGTCTAGATTTTCCTCTGGGTTTTGGCTTCCTTCCGGCCTCCCTGCCACCTCACCTTCTTTGCTACTGACCTTGGACCCTGTGGACCTGCACCTCTGCCTGCAGGTCAGTCCTCAGTCTGTGCCTCCTTGAGATGTCAAACCTGGTGGGTGGAAGGCAAGCAGGAGCCCAGCTTACGCTGCCCCACCCCCACCTCTACCCTGAACTCCAGGACAAGTCACTGACCCTCCTTGGGCCCGTCAAATAAAGATGACAAAAGCTGACCTGCCCTGGCCATCTGCCAGTGAGAGGAGATGAGGAGTGATGTGTGGAGGGGCTGTGGACAGAAAAGGACAAAGTCGGGCAGCTAAAGGTACACACCTCCCCACCCCACCCCTCTCCCACCCCCAGGACTTAAGGGCTCTATCCAGGGAGCTATGGCCAGGCGTCCTCCGAAAAACCCCAAGACAAAAACTGGCTCTTCTCTGGTGGGAGCCCTCCTGGGACTTGGGACTCAGAGCTTACCACTGATCCCTTCTGCTCTGGGACAGCTGTCAGTGTGGAGAAAGTTTCTTCTGACATTCAACCTCATCTGGCCTCTTTGCAACATCTCACCCCTTCCTGATTCTGTCCCCATCCCCCCTCCACTTGGGAGCCCTTCAGACCCCTAAAGACAGCTCTCATGTATCCCCTGAACCTTCTCCAGGCAAAATACTCCCAGTTCTTTCAACCTAGCCTCCTGTCATGTGCACCAAGCCCTTCCCTATCCTGGCTGTCAGTCAACCATCTCCATTCCTCTGACATGGTTACTCCAGTGGTAGGTGAAGGGAATACTATGGAGTTTATTTAGCTATTACAAAGGCTTCTGATGATATGTCTCGTGCTATTCTTGTGGAGGAGATGGAGAAATATGGACCAGATGATAATGCAATCAGATGGATATGGAACTAAGAATAGGTAATTGTTAATGGTTCCATGTTACCATGGCAAGAGGTCTCCAGTGGACTACCTTCATCAGAAGAATTGGGGAAGGAAAGATAATGAGCTCTGCTTTTGGACTTGTTGGGTTTGATACATCTATGGGACATTCAGTTCAAGATGTTTAAAATGGTATTAATGACAAGGAGCTGAAGCTCAGGAGAGCCTGGGCCTGGATGTGTAGATCTGGGAGTCACTGGCCTAGACATGATAATTGACCCCATGATAATGAAGTAAACGTGTAGAGAGAGAATCGAGGGCCCAGGACGGAGCTTTGGGGGACATCCACAGTGAAGGAGTGTGATGTAAATGAAGATCCAGCTAAGGAGACTTGGGAGGCGGTGGTCAGTCTGGTCAGAAGCCGAGAATCTAGAGAGGAGTGAGGAAAAAGTGTCAATGTGTCCAAGGCTGCAGAAAGCGTAAGAAGGTTGAAGATTAAGAAAAGGCCATTCAATTTACCAATTAAGAAAGATCACTGGTAACTTTGGAGAGAGAGGTTTGGGTTGAATGTCGAAGCTGGAAGCCAGGTTGGAAAGGGTTGAGAGAAGAGAAAGCAACAACAAATGTAGACAGCTTTTTCCTAGGACTTGGTGAAAGAAAGAAGAGAGATAGCTTGAGGGGATGGTAGGATCAAATAAAATTTGGGGGTTTCTTTTCCAGGTTAGGGGAGAGATGAGTGTATAGGTAGCAAAGAAATAGCCAGGAGACAGGGAGAGACTGAAGATGAGAGAGGAGGGCATGATGGGGGTGGTGGGGAAGTCTGCTGAAGAAGATGGGATAGAACAGGAGCACATGCTTATAGAGTGATCTATCTTGACAAAGAGAAGGGCTACTTTTTTAAAAAAATTTTCCCTCTCCTACTTGTTGAGAAGACAAGGAATATGATACCCATTATACATATGAAGTTATACAGAACATTTCCACATGTCATGTGGCAAAAAAAAAGTAATAAAAATAAAAATTTTAAATGTTTTAATCTGCATTCAGAGTTCATCAGTTCTCTCTCTGGAGGTTGATAGCATTTTTCATCATAAGTGCTTTGGCATTGCATTGATCAGAGTAGCTAAGTCTTTCAAAGCAGATTACAATATTGCTGTTACTGTGTAACAATGTTCTCTTGGTTCTGCTCGCTTCACTCTGCATTAGCTCACATAGATCTTCCCAGATTTTTCTGAAACCATTTCTTTCATCATTTCTTACAGTACAATAGTATTCCATCACAATCATACACCACAGCTTGGTTAGCCATTCCCAATTGATAGACATCCCCTCAGTTTCCAATTCTTTGCCATCACAGAAAGAGCTGCTATAAATATTTTTGTACATATGGGTCCTTTTCCTTCTCCTTTGATATCTTTGAGATACAGTCTCAGTATCAGTATTGATAGGTCAAAGGGTATGCATAGTTTTATAGCTGAGTAGAGCACTTCTTTAGAGACCTGAGTGAAGGAAGAGACAGTGAGCAGAATGTCAGAGAGGTGTAAGATGAGGAGGGGAAAGAAGAGGTAGCTTAAGGTGAATGGCCTCCATTTTCTCAGTAAAGCTATGAGGTAAGGTTCTCAGCTGAAAAATAGAAGGCTGGAAGAGAGAAGAGAAAGTTGGAAACAGCCATTGTGGAGAGAGGACTGGGAAAGAACACAGCAAGAATCAAAGGATTGCCTTGCTGCAGTAAGGACCTAGCTAACATTAGCCAACAGGCTTTTGGTGGACCCAGTTAGTGTAAGTAGGTGACTTCCTGATCTCTCATAGGAACTGATAGAGCAAGGGATGTGAGGATAGAGGACAGCATGGAGGTGAACTGGTCAGCTCCAAGATCAAGATTGGAAGAGAGGAAAGAGAAGGGACAGCCAGAGAGAAGCCCTAGCGACTAAGGGAGGCAGGGAGGAAGGTCATGGTGAGCAGAATAGCTGTGAGAGGAGTGAGGCACACAGAGAGATGGAATGATGGCAGGTTAGGATCGTGTAGAGAGTTTCCAGATTTTGTGAACACGTGTAGGTAACAGTAAGATCAAGGGTGTGATCATTCCCCAGTGTGGCTAGGGCAGAGGCGTGGAGGAGGAAGTCATGGTGGTTGAAGAGACTGAGGGATTGGGAGGTCAGGGCATTTGAGGGAATATCAGTGTATATGTTGAAGTCTCCTAGTGTGGTGGTAGAGGGCAGGGTGCTGAGGAAGACTGAGTCAGGAACCGACTTCCTCGTGAAAGAGGGGAGAACGACTTTGGAGCTGGTGGGCAATGGCTTCTGCTGTATAGACTGGATGACAAATTTGCTAGCATGAACCTCAGAGGAGGAGGGGGGCTGAGCCATGGGGGCAGAAGGAGGGTCTGGAAGTGGCAGTGGGGAACAAAGACAATTCTGACTTTCCCCACCTCAGGCGGGAGCCAGTGCTGGAGAGGAGAGCCAGGGAGCAAGACCTCTGTGAATGCCAGGAAGGGGAAAGATCGCTGGAGGAGCAGTTCTTAAATCTGCTCTGGGGGCCCCTGGAAATCCCCAGTCCTTTTCAAGGGGTCTATGAAATCAAAATCATTTGCATAATAATAGCAAGACGTTCATTTTTGATATAACCAAAATATCAAAGAGGTATAATCCGCATAAGTAAAAGCTCTCAGTAAGGAAGGGAGGGGGAGATACCAATTTTTAAGAGTGTAAAGAGACCCAAAAGTTTGCAGACCCCTGGGTTGGAGAAAGAAGGCAGCCATGAAGGTGTGTGTTCATACATCAGGGCTTCCAGAGGAGCCTTTGCCAGGGAGGGGCCTCTTACTGATTTGGGCACCTGGCTTCACCCACTGTCTTCCCCTGATTGATCAGGAGCTCTCATGCATTTTGTTTTCAGGTCCTGGGTGGGCATTAGGGGCCCAAACCTGAGTATGACACTTAGCAGGTGCCTGTAATTAGCCAGGATCATGACCCCTAGAGATGGGCCCCTTCCCTTTGGGAAAGGGAGTACCAGGAAGGGGGTGGGGTTCCAGCTGTCTGGGTGCTGAAGAGTTACGCTGCAGCCCCATGGAGCTGGTGGTGACAAGAAGCAGCTGAGGTCATGGGAGTGGCCTGAGGTTCAATGGGCCTTTATTCCAGGCCCTGCTGGGACGGTGCTGAGAGCCCAGCTCTGGAGCTGTCCAGATAGGAGCCCCACCAGCTTAACATGAAGGAGCCAGAACACTGGAATCTTAGAAGGTGAGGGAGAGGGGCTACTGGGAGGATGGAAGGGGAGGGAAGGCAGGGGCATTGCTGGGGAAGGGGATCTCTTAAAGGGCCTCGGGGAGGGGGATGGTACTGGAGAGGAGAGAGCAGAGATCTTCCCAGGGCACCTTTTAGGAGCTGCCTCTGTGTCTCTGTCTTCCTAGGTGACAATGGACTTGCTGTGGACTGTGCAGAGGGACTCGACCCACAGGGCCTAGGCCAGCTGTGGGGGGGGAGGGCAACCATGAAGCTAAGGCTTTGAGCCCCCCACCGTGATTCTCCCTAAGTCTCCCTGAGCTCTCCGGGCCCCCTACATTCCCTGGTCCTCTCTAGCTCCAGCTTGGCCCTCAAGCGCAGCTGCAACAGATGGCCCAGCTAGAAGCATCCCCTGGCCTGCAGCAGCATGGGGTGCCCATGTCTGTGAGCGGGGCAGGAGCCCTAGATGCACTGGAGGAACATGTGGAACTGTGGTGGTCTCAGGAGCCCCGGCGTGCAGCCCTCTGCTTCTCTGTGGCTGTGGGGCTAGTGGCTGGCTGTGGAGCTGGTGGGGTAGCCCTGCTCTACTCCACCAGCAGCCGCTCAGGTGAGTGGCGTCTGGCGATGGGCACTGTCCTCTGCCTGTTGGCCCTGCTGGTGCTGGTGAAGCAGCTGCTGGGCTCAGCTGTGCAGGATATGAACTGTATCCGGCAACCCCAGCACGTGGCCCTGTTGCGCAGTGGGGGTGGAGCAGACAGTCTCGTGGTCCTGGTCAGTGGCCTGGTGCTGCTGGTCAGTGGCCTAGTGCTAGTCGGCCTGGCTGCTTCCCCCACGTCTGGCCCTGGCCCCAGCCCCAGCCCAGCCAGGCCCCTGGCCACTATGCTAACTGCAGGCATCATCCTGGGTGTCGTGGGGGCCCTCCTCCTGTTGGGACTGCTGCTCTACCAAGTAGGCATGGGAGGCCGCTGCCTCCTGCCCACCACAGCTACGGGCTCAGGTCGAGGCCAGAGACGAGCAGGCAGCAGCATCTTCAGTATCTCTGGACGGCTGCGAACCACTCCCAGCATCGCCAACCTCCTTGGACTGGGCCACAGCAGCAGCTGAAATCCCTTTGACTTTCACTGGTGACCTCTAGGTCCAGCTACCAGCCTCTGCCCTCTGGCCTCCCGCCTCACAGGCAACCCGCCCCACCAAGAGTCACCTTCCAGCTCCACTCCCTTGTCTCTGCCTTCTTCCATCCTTCTCTGACCTCCAATACTGACCTCCAGGACCCTTCTCTGTTCTCCCACCTTCCATCATCACTAACAGGTCTGGCTTACATGTGGTGGTGGTCAACGTAGTCCTGGTTGGGCATGTGTGTTATCTGTAATCAGAAATCCCATATCTGTCCTAGTATTCCTTTCCCACACATGAAAATTCCATCCTTCTTGGGGATCACCAGACCTTCCACCTTCCAACAGCCTCCTAAAAGTAGCAAAGCAGAAAATCCTCCATCCAAAGTCAGAGACTCCTTCTGAACCCCTTTAAATGAGATAATATTTATAAAGCATGTAGCACAGTGCCTAGCATCTAATAAGCGCTGATTGCTTATTAACCCTCCCACCAGCTCAGAGACCCCCTTTAACCTCCCCATCCCAGCTCAGAGATTCCCTTCTGACCCTTAATCCAGACCAAGGACCCCCTGAGCCTCCCCATCCCAACTCAGAGATTCCCCTCTCTCTCCCCAGCTTAGAGGAGACCCTCCCACTCTGACCTTGTTAACCCCTCTCGTCTCAGATCAGGCTCCCAAATAAAGGTGCTGGACAACACCTTGCGATGCAGTCCACATTTATGAAGCCCTCCCGTGTACTGAGTTCTTAGATCAGACCCAGTTCTGGCCCTGGGGAGACCCAACAGCCGCAGCTCAGAGTGAGCTGGGTTGTTTCGGGGAGCTCACCAAGAGGTGCAAAGCTTGGTGGAGTCTGCAGCATCACAGGTGTGGAATGGAGGCATCCCCTTTTACAGATGAGGACACTGAGGCTGCCCAAAGCCAAAGAGCCTGCCCAAGACCACACAGGAAGCGAATGTCAGAGGTTGGACCTGATCTGATCCTGGAACCAGCCCTCCTTCCCCCACCATACTGCTAACATTAAATAGCAATAGATGGGGTTTTTTTTTAACTTTTAGCTGTATCCTCTGGAGCCAAACAACATATTAATAACATGCTTGAAGACAGCAATCATGCACCTCTCAGCTTTCTCATCTGCAGCCTGGTGGAGACTCCACCTTTGATACAAACCATTGACCTCAGGCAAGTCCTTCAACCTGCATGAGCCTCCTGGTACTTATCTCTCAGATATCTGTCCCACTCGTCCCACGGGGCTATGAAATTGTGAAGATCAAAGAAGGCAATGGGTAGGTATTCAGCGTAGTCTATAGATGTCAGGACTCTGTGCACAGTGGGCTAAGCATCCCCTGGACCTCCAGCAAAGCCTGGGCAGAGATGGTCCCGACTGGCTCCCCTAGGCACTCTGGGGCTTAGCAAAGCCCTTCCTAACCTAGCACCCAGAGCTAACTACAAAGGTCAGTCATGAGTCTAACCAAGACAGCACAGTTAGGTCTTTTCTCTGAAGTCTCTGGTATCTCCAGCTTCTCCAAGGCCTCCAGAATCTTAGGGATCTGATATATTGAGACCTGTGCAGTATGTAGTATCTCTGGCATTTCTGGGGTCTCTGAGATCCTGAGGCTTCTCATGCTATTTCTTCTTGCAGACAAGAGGGAGAGAAGCAAGCTAGACTACAGTTCAGGTAGATATATACGTTCAAGCATAAATGTAGCTAGACATGGAAACTGGAGGTCCTGAGTTCCAATCCAACCTCAGACACTTCTAGCTGTGTGACCCTAGGAAAGTTGCTCAGTTTCTTCATCTATAATATGAGAATAATAGTAATAGCACCTTCTGGGCAGGACTGTTGTAAGGATCAAACGAGATAAGACTTTGCAAACCCTAAAACATTGTTTAAATGTTAGATATTGTTATTATCAAATGACTTGACCCAGTGAGTTGTTCTTAAATGGGTTAATATCAACATGGATGGAGATGTCTAGAAGAGTGTCCCAGAAATCTGTGCTAGTTCACATTTTCATCAGTGACTTAGATAAAGGCATAAATGGCATGCCTATTATATTTTCAGATGCCACAAAGCTGGAAGGAATAGTTAACACCCTGAATGGGAGAGTCAGGATCTAAATATATATCAGTTGGCCATGACATCAAACTGAATCTACTAAGTTGAAATTTGATAGGACTATACATAAAGTCTTGCGCTTGTGTTTTAAAAAATAATTTGCACAATTATAGTATCAAGGAAACGTGACTAGACAATAGTTCCTGTGGGGGAGAAAAGATCTGGGGGAACGGATAAGTGTTTGATAAATATGAACCAACAGTTCTCAAAAGAATTACAAACTATTGACAACCACATAAGCAACCACTCCAACTCAGTAACAAGAGAAATGCGAGTAAAAACAACTCTAAGGCTTCATCTCATACCCAGAAAATTGGCAGATTGACCCAATATGGAAGCGGTCAATGTTGGAAGGGCTGTGGAAAGACAGGCACATTAATGCCCTGATGGTGGAGCTCTGGATTGGTCCAACCATTCTGGAAAGACATTTGGAGTCATGCAAAGAAAGTGACTAAAATGTCCAAAGGCGCTGCTGACCCAGAGATCACACTACTAGGCACATACCCCAAGGAGGTCAAAGATGAAAAGAAAGATTCTACAGACATCAAAATATTCATAGTATTTTTTTTGAAGTAGCAAAGAATTGTAAACAAATTAAGGTACATGAATGTAATGGAAATTTTGCTGGGCTGTAAGAAATTTTGAGCATAAAGAATTCCAAGAAGCATGGGAAAACTTATAGGGACTTCTCCCTCTCAATTATTTCTCTTGGGGATCTCATCAGTTTCCATGGTCTCAGTTATCATCTCTTTGTAGATGTCTCTCACATCTATTTGTGTAACCCTAACTTCCCTTCTGACCTCCAGTCTCACATCTTCAACTGTCTTTTAGATGTCTCATATGGGGGGTCTTGTAGACCTCTTAAACTTGACCTGTCCAAAACTGAGCTCATCATCTTTTCCCGCAAACCCTCTGCTCTTCCTAACTTTCCTCGTACTGTCCATAGTACCACCATCTTCCCAGTCACCCAGGCTCAAAATCTGGGTGTCATCCTTGACTCCTCACTCTTTTCCCCCATATCCAATCTCTAGCCTTGTCCTGTGACTTCTGTCTTCATAACACCTCTCCTCTATCACCGCTCTGCTGCAAGCCCTTGTCACCTCACCCCTAGGCTATTGTAATAGCTGCTGGTTGGTCTCCCTGCCTCAAGTATCTCCCCATGCCAATGCTTCCTCTACTCAGCTGTCAAAATGATCTTCCTGAAGCATACACTGCCCTCAACTGTGGTGGCTCCCTGTTACCTTCAAGATCAAATATAAAATCCCCTTTTTGACTTTCAAAGCCCTTCATAACCAATCTTCTTATGTCTTATATTCCTCCACATACCCTTTATTCCAGGTACACTGGCCTCCTCAATATGGCTTAACTGCAACACTCTCTCTACTCCCATGGTTTTTGCTCACTGTCTCTTATGTCTGGAATGCTCTCCCTCTTCATCTCTGCTTCCTGGCTTCCTTAAAGTCCCAGACAAAATCCTGTCTTCTACAAGAAGAGTTTCCCAATCTCCCTTAATGCTAGAACCTTTCCTCTGTTGATGACCACCAGTTTATCCTGTCTACATCTCCTTTGTACACAGTTGTTTGCATTTTGTCTCTTCCTTTAGACTGTGAGCTCCTAGAGGGCAGGGACATCTTTGTTGTTGTCTTATATCCCCGGTACTTAGCATATAACAGGTGTTTAATAAATGCTAGTTTAACTGACTGATGTAAAAGTTAAGTAACCAGAACCAGAAAACAATATATACAATGGCTACAACAATGAACATGAAAAGAACAACCACTACAAAAAATGGGAATGTTACTAGTTGGTCCTGGAGAAGAGATTAGAGAACCCACCACCCAACCATCTATGCAGAGGCAGAGGGTTATGGGTATGGAACACTGTCTCAGTTAATATGGTGGTCAGTTTTACTGAACTATTTTTAAAAATTTATTCTTTGTTACATGGAATTGTTCTCTGGGGAGAGGAGGAGGAAGGGCTATATTTGTAAATGAAGGTGGAAAAGAGATCAATAAAATTAAATAATTAACTCGGAAGGAAATAGGATAATAAATGTAGTCAGGTGGGGTGTTGGCTAAGTTGCTATTCAAGGTGGTGATTACCTGGATAAACACACCACCTCTCCTTGCTAGGGCTCATTTCGTTGTTAAGTCTCTCCAGAGGTCAGCACCAGTCGGGGACTTGGGGATCTGTGGCATCATTAATTGCAGTAATTAACTCTCTAGTTGGCTCTGCCCCCTTCTCAGCCTGAGCTAAGTAAAATCTGTCCCTTGTGGGTTAGCTTCCCTGTCTCAGTTTCCAACCATGTATTTATTGGTTGAGATCAAAATTCTTGTAAATGGCTAAACATTTTTATAGCAGTCTTGATGTGGTTTGGGGTTTCTGGGAACCCTAAAATGTCAGGGTATAGGGCAGTGTCGGCTTGGAATTAATTCACACACTCAAACCTTCCAGTCAAGAGACAAGGTTTATTATAATGCCTATGGGAGCTAGCGAGATTCTTAGGGAATCTGCAACTTAATGGAGATGAGACTGATGCTTCTATACAAAAGGGACTGTGAAAGGATCTGGATGGGATTAAAGAGCGGTAAGTAGTCTGGGGTGGGCCAGGTGCAACAGTGAAAGGACTATCAAGCAGGCTAATTAGGATTAAGGAGTTGTCAGCATATGCAAGTAGTCTAGGGCTTGGCAGAGAGCCTAATGGGTGAAAGGAATGTCCAATAAGCTAATTCGGTGATCTAAGAGGGCTGGGATCTGGGCTGCTGAAATGTATAGGAAAATCCAGCGACTGGGTTGCTTTAGAAGACATGGTCTTTTCCTTTTAGGGTCCAGGTCCCATCACTCCATCAATATACCCCATTAGGAGTATAAAGGAGCAGTTAAAGGAACAGTTCCACTTTCAGGTCACTGTGGTTATGGGGTGTGGACCCCCCCTTCCATCAGTTGGAGGGGAAATGGTGTTTTTCCAGGACAACATTCAGGGAAACAGGGTGGGCCGGTAATGGGGGCTGGACTGGTATAGTCACCCAGCTCTGGTCTGCTTCCCTCTCCTGTCCCCTGCCCCTGCTTACCCAAGGGCATCTCTCCCCACCTCCATGCAGGATCCCCCACTGCAAGAATAGGGGGTCAGTTCTGCCCTGGCTGCCCAATTGCTGGTTCCCCATGGATTCTCCCATCTGGGCCACAGGGCTTCCTGGTGGAAGCTTTCAAAGGTAAAATGATCTTAGAAACACGGGGAGCTCTGGGTAATGGCTGTCTCCATGGCAATGCTCCTGGGGAAGGGAGGGCAGCTTGAGAAGGTCTAGGGTCTGGTGGACTGGGTCCTTGATGCTCAATCAGCTGGAGGAGGAGACAGCTAAACAGAAACAGGTGCAATCAAGAGAGGCAGAGCTTTCAGGACTAAGCAGGTGACTGGCCCTCTGCCCCAGCCCAACCACATCAGGAGAACCCTGTTCAGTTCTGGGCGGCTCTCATTAGGAAGAGCACTGAGCAGCCTCAGCATCCTGAGGAGACTAACCAGAATGGTGACAGACTTTCAGTTCCAGTGCGAGGATTGGTCCAAGGAACTGAGGCCATGGAGATTCAC